ACTAAGTAATGAAGATGAAGATGAAGGTGTAGAGGTTGGAGGGCTGGGTGATACAGCCTCAAATCAATATCACGATATATTAAGCGATATATAATGGACGATAACTACTCCACAAGCTGCTCACCCCCTTCCACATTAAATTTGTCTACTTCAGCCACCACTCTAGCCGCTACAACTTTTGAACCGTCCTCCATCTCCTCCATCTCCTCACCTGTCTTTCCCTCTTTGTTACGGACTGGATGGGGTGGAGTCATGTCTCTGACGTAGGACAGCATCTCAAAGGGACAAGAGACCATAGCCTACCTACACACATCCAAAACCAACTTTCAGTTATTTATTTTTCCGACACTGAAACTATCGATATGGGTAAAATGATGTTGGTTATTGTCGTAAATTTTGGTATCTGTAAATTTTTGGTTGATCCCCCAGTCCTAGCAGGTTGTTTCCAGGAATTTGGATTTCTTGGTGGTGCTAGCTCTGCTAATGTTAGCCACACTTAGCTCATCAAATCGACATATTTGCCTGCTAACTCTGTCATACATAATCTTGATTATTGAATAATTTGTCTCCAATTTTGACTAATTTCTGAGTCTCTTTGTAACTTTCTTAGGTCCAGTTGAAAATTCTTGGTTGTATCACATGACATTGAAGACACAAGCTCAGAATCTGCTGAAATAACACAGCAGAGCTTCTCCTTAATGCCCACCTTCAATCACTTCGACCTTTGAGTTTATGAACAGTCTCAACTTGTTTGACCTTTGTGGTTGTCAGGATGGTGGTGTTCAGTGTTAGTGAAATTTCCCCTTGCTTGGGTTGTTGGGCCCGCGTGTTAACCACAGAAAAACTCAGAGAATCAACCCCACTCAAAAGTGAAATAGGAGTCCTATGATTCAATAAGAGATGGAGTGAATTCAACATACAAAAGTGAACCTTTTCTGGATACACTGTTTACACTTGAGCTGATTCTGAGCAATCAACATGGTGAACTTTTCTTTTTAGATTTAAAGGGGTTGTTGAGCACACCATTTTTAAAAGGTTGTAAATAAATGTAGATAAGCTGTACAGATACATAAATTCATATCCTCACATATTTGTTTTAAAACAGAATTCAAACTGAACATGTTGTTTCTTTTTTATGTGGTTCGTTTAAATGATCACCAAGGAAAGTGATTGTAAGAGGCTGTAAGCAGCTGAGGTGGATTGAACTATCTACTCTTGTCTAATCGGTGCGGTCATGCCGGCTTAATCAGGCTTCTCATTGGCTCACTTGTAGAGGATTATTCCATAAGTGGTCAGTGAAGTTAAAGCAGACATTAGCGGACATTTTCACCAACTGTATTTTGGTTGAGGTGAGACCAGAGCTGGGCAGGCTGAATGAGCCTTCTGATCATGATAATTGATAAATCATGAGACAAACCTCTAACTTGAAAATTTTCAGTCTTCACTCTTCTCTCTTACACGAAGAATTAGCTCAGGCAGCGGCTTTAGCAGACGATTACGATGCAGGCTTTGAGTAATAACTGTAATACTAGGACCCCGTTGGGGCACTGTCGGGCCCGAGCCGTGTCGCGCCGCCCCCAGTGCGACCGCCTCCCCCTCCCGATCGCGTCACACTCAAGATCCAAAGATGGTGTGCGCACTTGTCTGTGGTCATTTCCTATTATAATGAATGGGAGGCGCAGTTTCTACCAAAACACTCGCTGCAGACAAACTTCATGTCCTATTTGAAAAAAGTCTGGACCATGAGTGAGGGCACAAACACAGCTATGATATATCGAAATGGCAGGTTGCTCCTCCTTACGGTGTTGCCTGGAGAGCGATGCGATTGAGCCATTGAGCGATGGGCAGGAAAAACTTAACTTTTTCTCCTGCCATATGGGGGGGGGGGGGGGGGTGTGGATTCTTTTAAGAATGTGGATATTTGGGTCATCTTTGGCGCCCCCTAGAACGTAAACCGTGGGGTGCAGCATCATGATTTTTAAAACTTTGAATGGCCATGGGGTGTAGATTGGCCTGAGCAAATTTGGTGTCAGTGGGACGAAAGCCTTAGGAGGAGTTAGCCACATTCCAATGTGTGCTAATCGGCAAAAAATGCAAAATAGCCCTTTAACCGTACATTTTACAGATACGCGCGCATTGACTTTTTCGTAGATCTTATTGAGATACATGTGTGTGTCAAATTTTGTGTCAATATGACAAAGCATACAGGTATGACAGTCAACAATGTGTATTTTCACCTTATGGGACAAGAAAAAATGGACTTTTTTCTCCTGCCATGGGGGGCGCTCTTTTGGCGAGTAAAAATTCCTTCACAAATGTGTTGATGGCTGGACATTGCATCATCCTAGAAAACTTGGAGGCCAGAGAGGACAAAAATAAAAAGTTATAAGACTTTTAAATATGTGGATTTTAGGGTTATCTTTGGCGCCCCCTAGAACCTAAACCGTGGGGTGCAGCGTCATGATTTGAATAACTTTTAATGGCCATGGGGTGTAGATTGGCCTGAGCAAATGTGGTGCCGGTGGAACGAAAGCCTTCGGAGGAGTAAGCGAAATTCCAATGTGTGCGGATCGGCAAAAAATGCGCAATAACCCTTTAACCGTACATTTGACAGATACGCTAGCACTGACTTTTTTGTAGATCTTATGGAGATACATGTGTGTGTCAATTTTTGTGTAATTTTGACAAAGCGTACAGGCGTGACAGTCAATAGTGTAATTTTTCACCTTATGGGACAAGAAAAAATGGACTTTTTTCTCCTGCCATGGGGGGGCGCTCTTTTGGGGAGTAAAAATTCCTTCACAAATGTGTTGATGGCTGGACATTGCATCATCCTAGAAAACTTGGAGGCCAGTGAGGGCAAAAATAAAAAGTTATAAGACTTTGAAATTTGTGGATTTTAGGGTTATCTTTGGCGCCCCCTAGAACCTAAACCGTGGGGTGCAGCGTCATGATTTGAATAACTTTTAATGGCCATGGGGTGTAGATTGGCCTGAGCAAATGTGGTGCCGGTGGAACGAAAGCCTTCGGAGGAGTTAGCGAAATTCCAATGTGTGCGGATCGGCAAAAAATGCGCAATAACCCTTTAACCGTACATTTGACAGATACGCCCGCACTGACTTTTTTGTAGATCTTATTGAGATACATGTGTGTGTCAATTTTTGTGTCATTTTGACAAAGCGTACAGGCGTCAGGTGAATTTTTCACCTTAGGGGGCGCTATGGAGCCATTTTGCATTTTCTTGTTTGGGCAACTTCGGAATATCAAATTTTTCACCAGGCCCGGTCGTCCTGCCAAATTTCATGAGTTTTCGCCAGTGGGAAGTGGGCCATTTTCCAGTTCAAAGGGGAGGAAAAATAATAACTAGGACCCCGTTGGGGCACTGTCGGGCCCGAGCCGTGTCGCGCCGCCCCCAGTGCGACCGCCTCCCCCTCCCGATCGCGTCACACTCAAGATCCAAAGATGGTGTGCGCACTTGTCTGTGGTCATTTCCTATTATAATGAATGGGAGGCGCAGTTTCTACCAAAACACTCGCTGCAGACAAACTTCATGTCCTATTTGAAAAAAGTCTGGACCATGAGTGAGGGCACAAACACAGCTATGATATATCGAAATGGCAGGTTGCTCCTCCTTACGGTGTTGCCTGGAGAGCGATGCGATTGAGCCATTGAGCGATGGGCAGGAAAAACTTAACTTTTTCTCCTGCCATATGGGGGGGGGGGGATGTGGATTCTTTGAAGAATGTGGATTTTTGGGTCATCTTTGGCGCCCCCTAGAACGTAAACCGTGGGGTGCAGCGTCATGATTTTTACAACTTTGAATGGCCATGGGGTGTAGATTGGCCTGAGCAAATTTGGTGTCAGTGGGACGAAAGCCTTAGGAGGAGTTAGCCACATTCCAATGTGTGCGAATCGGCAAAAAATGCAAAATAGCCCTTTAACCGTACATTTGACAGATACGCGCGAATTGACTCTTTTGTAGATCTTATTGAGATACATATGTGTGTCAATTTTTGTGTCAATATGATAAAGCGTACAGGCGTGACAGTCAATAGTGTGAATTTCCACCTTAGGGGACAAGAAAAAATTGGCTTTTTTTTCCTGCCATGGGGGGCGCTCTTTTGGGGAGTAAAAATTCCTTCACAAATGTGTTGATGGCTGGACATTGCATCATCCTAGAAAACTTGGAGGCCAGTGAGGACAAAAATAAAAAGTTATAAGACTTTTAAATATGTGGATTTTAGGGTTATCTTTGGCGCCCCCTAGAACCTAAACCGTGGGATGCAGCGTCATGATTTGAATAACTTTTAATGGCCATGGGGTGTAGATTGGCCTGAGCAAATGTGGTACCGGTGGAATGAAAGCCTTCGGAGGAGTTAGCGAAATTCCAATGTGTGCGGATCGGCAAAAAATGCAGAATAACCCTTTAACCGTACATTTGACAGATACGCGCGCATTGACTTTTTCGTAGATCTTATTGAGATACATGTGTGTGTCAATTTTTGTGTCATTTTGCCAAAGCGTACAGGTGTTACACTCAACAATGTGTATTTTCACCTTAGGGGACAAGAAAAAATGGACTTTTTTCTCCTGCCATGGGGGGGCGCTCTTTTGGGGAGTAAAAATTCCTTCACAAATGTGTTGATGGCTGGACATTGCATCATCCTAGAAAACTTGGAGGCCAGTGAGGGCAAAAATAAAAAGTTATAAGACTTTTAAATATGTGGATCTTAGGGTTATCTTTGGCGCCCCCTAGAACCTAAACCTTGGGGTGCAGCGTCATGATTTGAATAACTTTTAATGGCCATGGGGTGTAGATTGGCCTGAGCAAATGTGGTGCCGGTGGAACGAAAGCCTTCGGAGGAGTTAGCGAAATTCCAATGTGTGCGGATCGGCAAAAAATGCGAAATAACCCTTTAACCGTACATTTGACAGATACGCCCGCACTGACTTTTTTGTAGATCTTATTGAGATACATGTGTGTGTCAATTTTTGTGTCATTTTGACAAAGCGTACAGGCGTGACAGTCAATAGTGTGAATTTTCACCTTAGGGGGCGCTATGGAGCCATTTTGCATTTTCTTGTTTGGGCGACTTAGGAATATCAAATTTTTCACCAGGCCCGGTCGTCCTGCCAAATTTCATGAGTTTTCGCCAGTGGGAAGTGGGCCATTTTCCAGTTCAAAGGGGAGGAAAAATAATAATAACTAGGGCCCCGGTGGGGCACTGTCGGGCCCGAGCCGCGTCGCGCCGCCCCCAGGGCGACCGCCTCCCCCTCCCGATCGCGTCACACTCAAGATCCAAAGATGGTGTGCGCACTTGTCTGTGGTCATTTCCCATTATAATGAATGGGAGGCGCAGTTTCTACCAAAACACTCGCTGCAGACAAACTTCATGTCCTATTTGAAAAAAGTCTGGACCATGAGTGAGGGCACAAACACAGCTATGATATATCGAAATGGCAGGTTGCTCCTCCTTACGGTGTTGCCTGGAGAGCGATGCGATTGAGCCATTGAGCGATGGGCAGGAAAAACTTGACTTTTTCTCCTGCCATATGGGGGGGGTGTGGATTCTTTTAAGAATGTGGATTTTTGGGTCATCTTTGGCGCCCCCTAGAACGTAAACCGTGGGGTGCAGCGTCATGATTTTTACAACTTTGAATGGCCATGGGGTGTAGATTGGCCTGAGCAAATTTGGTGTCAGTGGGACGAAAGCCTTAGGAGGAGTTAGCCACATTCCAATGTGTGCGAATCGGCAAAAAATGCAAAATAGCCCTTTAACCGTACATTTGACAGATACGCGCGAATCGACTCTTTTGTAGATCTTATTGAGATACATATGTGTGTCAATTTTTGTGTCAATATGATAAAGCGTACAGGCGTGACAGTCAATAGTGTGAATTTCCACCTTAGGGGACAAGAAAAAATTGGCTTTTTTTTCCTGCCATGGGGGGGCGCTCTTTTGGGGAGTAAAAATTCCTTCACAAATGTGTTGATGGCTGGACATTGCATCATCCTAGAAAACTTGGAGGCCAGTGAGGACAAAAATAAAAAGTTATAAGACTTTTAATTATGTGGATTTTAGGGTTATCTTTGGCGCCCCCTAGAACCTAAACCGTGGGATGCAGCGTCATGATTTGAATAACTTTTAATGGCCATGGGGTGTAGATTGGCCTGAGCAAATGTGGTGCCGGTGGAACGAAAGCCTTCGGAGGAGTTAGCGAAATTCCAATGTGTGCGGATCAGCAAAAAATGCGGAATAACCCTTTAACCGTACATTTGACAGATACGCGCGCATTGACTTTTTCGTAGATCTTATTGAGATACATGTGTGTGTCAATTTTTGTGTCATTTTGCCAAAGCGTACAGGTGTTACACTCAACAATGTGTATTTTCACCTTAGGGGACAAGAAAAAATGGACTTTTTTCTCCTGCCATGGGGGGGCGCTCTTTTGGGGAGTAAAAATTCCTTCACAAATGTGTTGATGGCTGGACATTGCATCATCCTAGAAAACTTGGAGGCCAGTGAGGGCAAAAATAAAAAGTTATAAGACTTTGAAATATGTGGATCTTAGGGTTATCTTTGGCGCCCCCTAGAACCTAAACCGTGGGGTGCAGCGTCATGATTTGAATAACTTTTAATGGCCATGGGGTGTAGATTGGCCTGAGCAAATGTGGTGCCGGTGGAACGAAAGCCTTCGGAGGAGTTAGCGAAATTCCAATGTGTGCGGATCGGCAAAAAATGCGAAATAACCCTTTAACCGTACATTTGACAGATACGCCCGCACTGACTTTTTTGTAGATCTTATTGAGATACATGTGTGTGTCAATTTTTGTGTCATTTTGACAAAGCGTACCGGCGTGACAGTGAATAGTGTGAATTTTCACCTTAGGGGGCGCTATGGAGCCATTTTGCATTTTCTTGTTTGGGCGACTTCGGAATATCGAATTTTTCACCAGGCCCGCTCGTCCTGCCAAATTTCATGAGTTTTCGCCAGTGGGAAGTGGGCCATTTTCCAGTTCAAAGGGGAGGAAAAATAATAATAATAATAACAAAAGAAGGAAACTACAGGAACAAGAGGGCTCTCGCAGCTGCTTAGCAGCTACGCTCGGGCCCTAACAAAAGAAGGAAACTACAGGAACAAGAGGGCTCTCGCAGCTGCTTAGCAGCTACGCTCGGGCCCTAATAACAAAAGAAGGAAACATGCAGGAACAAGAGGGCTCTCGCAGCTGCTTAGCAGCTACGCTCGGGCCCTAAAGAAAGAAAGAAAGAAAGAAACAAAGAAAAACCACTTGGGGAATAATAGGGCCTACGCCCGGCTGCTCTGCAGCTGCAGCGTCATGATTTTTACAACTTTGAATGGGCATGGGGTGTAGATTGCCCTGAGCAAATTTGGTATCGGTGGGACGAAAGCCTTAGGAGGAGATAGCCACATTCCAATGTGTGCGAATCGACAAAAAATGCGAAATAGCCCTTTAACCGTACATTATACAGATACGCGCTTTTTGACTTTTTCGTAGATCTAATTGAGATACACATGATTGTCAATTTTTGTGTCAATATGACAAAGCGTTCAGGCGTGACACTCAACAATGTGTATTTTCACCTTAGGGGACAAGAAAAAATGGACTTTTTTCTCCTGCCATGGGGGGGCGCTCTTTTAGGGAGTAAAAATTCCTTCACAAATGTGTTGATGGCTGGACATTGCATCATCCTAGAAAACTTGGAGGCCAGTGAGGACAAAAATAAAAAGTTATAAGACTTTTAAAAATGTGGATTTTTGGGTTATCTTTGGCGCCCCCTAGAACGTAAACCGTGGGGTGCAGCGTCATGATTTGAATAACTTTTAATGGCCATGGGGTGTAGATTGGCCTGAGCAAATGTGGTGCCGGTGGAACGAAAGCCTTCGGAGGAGTTAGCGAAATTCCAATGTGTGCGAATCGGCAAAAAATGCGGAATAACCCTTTAACCGTACATTTGACAGATACGCGCGCATGGACTTTTTTGTAGATCTTATTGAGATACATGTGTGTGTCAATTTTTGTGTCATTTTGACAAAGCGTACAGGCGTGACACTCAACAATGTGTATTTTCACCTTAGGGGACAAGAAAAAATGGACTTTTTTCTCCTGCCATGGGGGGCGCTCTTTTGGGGAGTAAAAATTCCTTCACAAATGTGTTGATGGCTGGACATTGCATCATCCTAGAAAACTTGGAGGCCAGTGAGGGCAAAAATAAAAAGTTATAAGACTTTTAAATATGTGGATTTTAGGGTTATCTTTGGCGCCCCCTAGAACGTAAACCCTGGGGTGCAGCGTCATGATTTGAATAACTTTTAATGGCCATGGGGTGTAGATTGGCCTGAGCAAATGTGGTGCCGGTGGAACGAAAGCCTTCGGAGGAGTTAGCGAAATTCCAATGTGTGCGGATCGGCAAAAAATGCGAAATAACCCTTTAACCGTACATTTGACAGATACGCCCGCACTGACTTTTTTGTAGATCTTATTGAGATACATGTGTGTGTCAAATTTTGTGTCATTTTGACAAAGCGTACAGGCGTGACACTCAATAGTGTGAATTTTCACCTTAGGGGGCGCTATGGAGCCATTTTGCATTTTCTTGTTTGGGCGACTTCGGAATATCAAATTTTTCACCAGGCCCGGTCGTCCTGCCAAATTTCATGAGTTTTCGCCAGTGGGAAGTGGGCCATTTTCCAGTTCAAAGGGGAGGAAAAAGAAGAAAGAAAGAAAGAAAGAAAGAAAGAAAGAAAGAAACAAAGAAAAACCACTTGGGGAATAATAGGGCCTACGCCCGGCTGCTCTGCAGCTGGCTCGGGCCCTAAAGAGGGCTCTCGCAGCTGCTTAGCAGCTACGCTCGGGCCCTAATAACTAGTTTGAAGGAGGTTGATGGAAACTGGTAACACTCAGTAGTGGTTTGGCTTTTCATTGAAGCCCACATAAAGAAGAGAAATGCTTTCCCCAAATCATGTTTTTGCAAACATGACCTAGATAGATGCATGGTTTTAGACAGCCCTCACTTCCACATGTAGTGTCACTCTGGCTCACAGTTAACCCTCATTGTGTGTACTTTAGGTGTTACAGTGGTTGAGTTGGGAGAGTTTTAGGTTGTCCTCCTGCAAAGTCGCTTTATGCCTTTTCATTTTGAATGTATTACTTTTGTAGAAAATATATGATTTCCTTTATTCTTGGAAAAATCAACTCGTTCAAAAGGTAAATATGGAAGAAAGCTGCTTTATAGTGATCTGTTGATCCTCAGAGTAGAAAAACTATAACTCAGTCCACGCTCCTCTTTTCTTCTCCTCTCCTCAGAGACTTCAGCAGTCAGATTACAAGCGGCACTGTATGGCTTTACCATCAGCTGGGGCCACATATGGCTATCCCTAAAGGAGGTCAGAGGTCGTTCGCTGCCCACATTCCTTAAGCTGCGGCTACACTGCCACCCACCTCCCCCATTCAGACACATTGAAATGCTGTGTTTGAGTCTGTCAATTAGATTCAGATACAAGAGCTGTGTAATGATGGCCAAAATGATCATCCTGATTATCTTTGTCAATACTGAAACCATGGTTATTAATCACATTTAGAGGACATTTTAAAAGGGCTGGGACGATATGCTTTTCTCCTGATTCAATTCTTCTACGATTTTTTTTATACCGATTCGATTTAAATTGCGATTCTACGATATTGTTGATTTTTAGTCTGCATTTTAACACCAGTGAAACAGTTGATTGATTTTGATTGTGTACAGACTATTTCAAGAACCATACTTCATCACTTGTAAGTCAGTTTTGAAAATTTATACTTAAATTTGAAAGAAAAAAACATTTTTTTTAACATAAAAATCGATATCAAAAATTGTAAAACAAAAAATTGCGATACTTGTGTGAATCGACTTTTCCTCCCACCCCTAATTTTTAATATATACTGTTGACATATGTATCCTACATCTTAACCACTGGCATAGACACTGTGCTCTCACTGTCCCTCTGCATTACTAACACACACCACCTGGTCTTCCAGCGCTCAGCCTGCTTATTGTCAGATGTTTTTTTTTTCTGCACTCAGATATTTGGATTGTGTCACCAACAACAGCAAGCTGTGCCAATATGCAGATCTCTTGTTGTCAGGAGTTGTTTTATTTGGGTGACTTTATAAATAAACTGCTGATGAATATTGCTCATAGAGCAAACACATGCAGGTTAAGTAAAAGGGCGAAAATACTACTTTTGATCAACAATCTCGTACCTGTTTAGTTTTTAATGAGTAGAATATTCATTTTTGATTTGATAATTGGCCTCATTCATGCCAAAATCCCCAACAATATTCAAATAACCATGGAGACAGAGGCATGAATCAGCACTTTAATCTCTCTGATATTGTTGTCCCATATAAGCATAGGAGGTCTGGGGTTTTAAACTGGTCTGGGTACGAGACAGATCAGTTACTGCTGGAATTGATACATAAAACACCTCTCTGTTTTTGAAGGCGGGATAGCTGAATATAACACAAAGGTCAGGTTTGAGTTTGTTTGATGTTCGCTCAGACTTCCACTGTAGTAGCACGTTTCAACTCTGTCTTTTATTTCTAAAATGTCATTCACTTAAAGAGCAAGGTCTACGGGAGCTTTATAGTCGTATTCTCCTCTCATCTGTTATAAAAAAAAACTCACAGCAGTCAAGCTGTCTGCAAACACAGAAATACACACACTGGCACACATCTGTAATTGACCACCTGTTTCTGTGTGGCCTAGTTAACACAGTGAAGCACGAGTCCTCTGGGATTGTTAACTGCTAGCATCTTATTTCAATTGTTTCACAGCATCACAAAGGGACAGGAAAACCATACGTTGCATGTCTTTGGAGATTCTTTAAAGAAATTGGGAGAATAAATAGAAATGCACGGGGCAAATAAAGTTCAGCAGTTGGCCTTTATTCGAACTGGGAGCGGATGCTGAATATTGTTTAACTTTAGCTTTGAAGACTTTGGAATATAGGGAGAATCTTAGTTTGGTGGGATAATGTATTCGGATAACTTTTGTATCTGTGCTTAGTTATCAGGAGCTATCCTGATACTGTAAGATGATGTGCACGTGTCTCTTTTTGTATCAGTGTGTGAGTTCAGACGTAAGTGTATATTCCTGTATACAGACAGAAAGACTCCTGGCTCGTCTGTGTTTGCAATAAGCTAAGAGAGCCAGAGGAGCCCACCACTGAGGGGAAGCTTTAGGGTCAACACGCACACACGCTCACTCACATTCATATACACACACACTCCTGCCTGTTTGTCAGCTCTGCTGACTGCAGGAAGCAATAATGGTAGCGTGCTTCCGGAGTTCCGGAGGCTTCTCTCAGGGGAGTGTGGCTGCCCTGTCCAGCTCAGCAGAGAGAAACTGAAAAGAACACAGTGGAGCAGAAAATTATAGAACATGGAGAATAGGATGGAGTAGAATAGAAAATGGCACAATGGAAAAGGATTGTAAAGAGTACAGTGGAGCAGAACCAATAATAAGAGGATTATAATTTACACAAACAGAACATCAATAAAAGACAAGCAGAAAATAAATGAGCAAAACAAATATTATCTGAATTTACTACTCAGCTGTGTTGAATGTTTGACTCTGCTGGGTCAGCACTCAGGCTGGGTCATGATTCTTCAAATTTATAAGCACTCATTTTCAATGTCAAAAACATGCAAATATCAGCGACAGTTGTTGGAAATACAGGTGTAGAGCAGCAAGATTCAGACCTGAGGAGTAATGTGGACGCCATGCATATGTTGTCTGCATGACTGCATAATATAAACATGCATGTGACACCATGTTCAGATCAAGTAGTACCTTGACCTTAGTGACATGAACCTGCAGCTTCAGGGTTAGGGTTAGTCCAGGTCTCTCTGCAGATGCCTTGATTGCACTCGTGGTCAATGATCAGAGCTTGTTAAACTTGAATAACCATCAAATGGACCTAAGTAAAAATCCAATAGTATTTTTGCCCTAGTCATCAACATTCTGTGAAAATTGTTTGTTTTTTTCTCAGTAGCACACTGTCTCTATGAAGAACAGACTGTTGCTATGAATGCGTCTGTAAACACAGACTGACTGTAATCGTATCTATCCACAGAAAAGGAGTCTGGTTAATTTGGCATCCTTTGTTTACGATGTGAAAAACCAAAAGAGACAAAAGAGCGGGGAAAAGGCACAAAAGGCAGAAAAGCTGCAGCCCACAACAGAGAAATGTACAACATTGAAGACGGAGCACGGAGTAAACACCTCGCAGTTTGTATGGGACAGAGTTTTTAAGGACAAAGAAGGTGTCACAAACTCTAAAAAGTAAAAACACGAGAAAGCAGAACTCCTTTATACCAGGGTCCTCCAAAGTTCCAATCGACCACAACAACCTGCTCCTTAAACGATGTTCCTCTTCATTAACAAGAGTAGAACATGCATACAAGAGCAGTCAGAGCAGCTAAAGGCTCCATAACAAGGACAGCTGGACAAAGGGTTGTTTTGACATAAAAGACGCATGACCCGAGTTCCTTCTATTTGACTATATGGATAATTTGAGGTCACATATAGTCTGAGTTTCAGGGGAAAACATGATTAATTGGTCGCACACCACAGAGATGGTCCAGCGCCGCGCTCTGTGCTCTCTAAACTGTCCTCAGCTGCACGGCAGAAAAATGTTAGGACAGGAAGAGAGCAGGGAAGGCGAGTCAGCCTGTGGAGAGAGTCTGTGTGTCAGACCTCATCATCTATGTATCCCATCACCCCGCAGTGTGAGCCAGTGATAGGAGACAATCCCTCCCCCCGTCCTTCTACTCCTCCTCCTCCTCCTCCTCCCCCTCGGATCTTCCATCCTTCTGCATGGCTTCATCTCCGCTCATCTCTCCAGCCCCTTCGCTCTGTTCCCAACCCTGACAGTACTGCTGCTGCTGCTGCCTCTGTATGCATGTTAGCCTTGGTGATTGCATGCGTTTGAGGCTGTGTGGGGGCCCCGTACTTTTACGTGTGTGCCCGGCTCTGTGTGTGTGTATGTGTGTGTGGTGGTTCTGTTGGCAGTCAGAACGTATCGATCTCTGCGGGATGGAAAGCGCCACGCTTGGTTTGATACCACCTGCTAGCATTCAGCCACCTACACTTCCTGTAATGCAGCTCAGCAGCTCCTCTCTGTGAGAGACCATCCCTGCCTTGTTTAATGCCCACATCTTTCAAAGTCAGGACCCCAGACACCAACTCTTACACCTACTTTCCCACTCATAGTCTCCCAAAGGACATTATCAGTGGAAATGTTAGACCCCCTGCTGAGCTGGATTGAAAAAATCTCCTTTTCTGATCAGATCTGTCACTAAATTAAGGGTCACTGGAAGACTTTACCCCCTTATACAGTCTTTCAAATGTATGATTGAACCTTTTCATTGAGAGTGCACATTTTAAACTCCACTGTCAATGTGCCAGTCATCGCCAGAAGCCAGGTTTACAGGGTTCAACTGATGTAAAATCAATTACAACAATGAGCATGATGCAATGCCCACATCAATTAAAGTAAGAGGGACACAGCAGGCATGGGCAGCAATAAAGCAGAGCATGAGAACAGGATGATCTATTTGATCATCTACAATCAGGACTTATAAAATTCTACATTCAAAAGTTGAAATAAAATTAGTTTTATGAGATTTTTATGGTTATAGGAGCAGTTTTTGACCGTGCACAATCAGAGTGTGGTAGGGAGGCATCTATTAGAGATTTTGATACCATCAAAGACTGATTTATTAGAAAATCTGCCACTAAAGTAACATCACAGTATCATGTAATAATCTTATTTAGACACACTGGAATAAGTTTGATGTGTTTGACTCCTGAGCTTCAACTTTTTTGCATGAGATTTTTATGTTTCATGATCTCGATAAACTCCTCGGTCATTCTCGGTGTACCTGAAATGCTCCCGCTGTGCCTGCGTCACTTCTTTCGACGCTGAAATTTGCTGCTTTGTCCCTCTGCCATAGTTGAGCTAATGTATGAGTCTTGAAAGGCACGGCACATCAGGTTAATGCATCACATCCAGGTTGCTTCAAACATGATAAATCTGCCTCTTTTTACACTCGAGAGTTGATCTAAACTTTATAAACAAATCAACACGCCAACAGTTTATAAGACTGGATTATTTTATGTTTGGCTGCATGTAAAAACATCAGGACCTTTATACTAATGACAAAAACAGAACATTATGTGCATTAACAGTTTTTTTTATCTCAGTAGAGGCAAAGCATTACTCAGCCGGTGACTCAAGGTAGGCAGGAGGATTTTCCAGTTCTGTTCGACTTCCCTCTGTTGTTTCTTTGTCATCTTCCTCTCCGGCTGGCTGTGAGTGAGGTGTTTTCAGAAGTGCAGCTGCAGGCTAAAACTTTGCTTTGACCTATTTGAAGAAGTGTTTCGTTTCTTTTCTATTAGATCTATGCAAAATATCACAGCGGTGTTGGAGTTTCATCTGCATCGGTGGCAGCGCTCTTCTTGATCTCGTGCAAGCATAACGTAACTGTTACGATACATCCTGGAAGCCTCCGGGCCTGAACTGAAATCCCCATTTGACCTCATAATGAGTGATTATTTCTTTTATTGTTCATTCATTAGCTGGTGTTGGTATACTATCTCTCCCTCATATCATTTTAGGGTTATAGAAATCCTGTTTTTCAAATCTCTAAGCGTTAGATATACAGGACATCTAGTTTAAAAGCTCTATAAAACATAGAATAAGAATTCTGCTTCATATATTTTTTAATGTTAATATCAAAACAACACTTTTTTATGTTTCTCGAGTATCTTGGATCATCTCGAGGTATGAACGCAGGCTTTTTGTGGCTGTTATCTATGGCTTCAAGTATAGACACAAATGTATACGTGAGCATGTACACAGTTTGCACACCATCTGCCAGTGGTCATGGGGGTTTCAGCTGATGTGTAGTGACAAGCAGCTCAGAGACGCAGCGAGCCCTCCATATATACTATTCACACACACAAATACGCTCACACAGAGCCATCATTACAAATCCAGCGGCTCCTGATGACGAGGTTATGACCCTCGTGGGGTTACTATGTCTCCTGTCAAGACTGATCACCGATGAATGAAAAGGGGGTACAAGGACAGAGACGACGCAAATCCCACTGCAGAAGCATATGTTCTCCAACAAAATCTGAAAACACTGCGGTAAATGCACAACAACAGAGGGAGCATGTGAAGCTCTCAGGACATACATATGCTTTTACAAAGAGGGCTTTGTCACAACCTGATTTCCACTAAGCTATATATGGCAGAGGATACAGACAAATTTTGTCTAAACATTACTGTATGTAAACGCATTAACATATGGGAAATATTATAAAAAATGACATAATATTTTTGATGAATTATAAAGGAGTAGTCTTTATTCGAGAAACATGAAAAGATTGTGTAAACATCAGCATATGAAGCCTCTGCTGGACTTTTGTAAAGTAAAAAAATAGGTTGTAAGTAGGGGTGTCCCAATTGATATCGGATATTGGTCTGATACCAGCAAAGAAACGAATATCGGATTATATCAGCCTGCATCCAAAATCTCCAATACGAGCAGTCCATCCTAGACTCCGCAGAGCCCTGATCTGGCTTGCAGAGCCCACAAAATCACAACAACAGTGTGTACTAAGGTACTAACAAAGTAGGCAGGAGTAAGATTGATGTCGACCGTGTGGCAGTATTTTTTGTTGAAGTCCAAAAAAGACATTGCAGCTGAGTGGAAAAACTTGTCATGCTCAATTTTGTGCCAATATCAGATCAATATCTGTATCGTATTGGAAGTCAAAAGTTTGTATCAGGACACCCCTATTTGTAAGTGTCAGACTGTTTCTTAACTTCTTGTCTTTTCATTTGAGCTCTTTTCATGTACGCATGAAAATTTCCAGGAATTTTCATAAAGGTGCTCATCATGTAAACACAAACACTCTGACTTTATGCCTCTTTTGTTTTTTGCCAGCCTCTAAAGTTCAAATAAAGTTCAGAGTACACGTATACAGCATAAATGGCAGATTTTTAATCCGTTTGAACATGGATTCATTTTGTATGCGACAAGCGTACTATTCACAGAGACAAGAAAAACAGTCGGTGCGGGCTTCTGTTCTACCAAATGGAGCAGCTTCAGATAAAATTACTGTTATTTATTCCCACTGATGAGCAGACAGGGCACCCTCGGCCACTGTTTGTCCTGCCATCATCTGCCAGCCAATCGCTGCAGCCCCTTCATCCAGGCATGCTGCAGGCGTTTCATAAATGCTTTATCCTCTCAAACCAGGATCTCCTCTTACTCTTGTTTTCATTATTATCATTTTTTTTTGTACCAGGGATATTCCTTTCTGCTCAGTATTTGTAATTTGATATTAAAAGATAAAACTTTATAGATGACAGCAACATCACTGGATCTCCTTCTGGTATTTTTTCCTCATTGTGTTGTTGCCTCTAAGTGTTTCAGAGCTGGTCTAATGCTCATTTTCCACATCCCTCAGTAGGGAATCTACAGCTTGCCTACTCATTGACATTCTTTTCTCATGAAGCACTCAGTCTTTGCTGCTTCTCTTTGCTTGTACAGGCTTGTCTAACTGTGCGGTTGCCTTCAGTAAGGCAGCGGAGGAAACATGGTCCACATCATATGTTACTTTACATTGGCTTATTTTTGCCTTAGCAAGCTAAATCATCTTATAGCGTGCGTGTGTGCGTGTGATAAACGTCCATAAAATATGCTCCCTGTGTTTAAGTATGACTCTGTTTTGTGTTTAAAAGCCCCTGCCTCACTCTCTCTCCTCTCTGCTATGTGTGTTCGTTTCGTTGCAGACCCTGGTAGGAGCGTGATGAGCGCGCGCTTCCGCTTGCCTGCTGGCAGATCCTACAATGTCCGGGCGACGGAGCTGGAGCGAGACAGGCAGCACACACAGGTTGTGTGCAACGTACTGCTGCTGGACAACACAGTCCAGGCGTTCAAAGTCAGCGTAAGTACTTCTCTCTCTGACACACTTATGAACATAAACAGTTCAAACTCTACTTGTAGAGGACTATAAAACTTTGTCTGCTGTGATCTTCTTCTCAAACCAACTCTTAAAATACAGATTTTGCAGAGAATCATCACTTTTAGATTTTCCTTTGCATCAGACTACTCTTATAAACTCGTCATGCATTCCTTATAATATCTTTTTTATATCATCCATTGTGGACTTTTTAAAACGAGAGGACACTTTGAACTGGAAACAGAAAATATTTGTGCATTAATCAAACACAATCCACTTTTTCTACTTCTCTTTCCTGTGACACTCGGCTTCTTCTATCCCTGAACTTCCCTAAAAACTTTTTCTACTCCAGCTCAAGTTATTTGGAGCACCAGCTAAAGATTAGAGACGCCGTCTTCACCTTTGTAAACTGAGGTGATATCATTTTGCTCACGCTGGTTTCAGTTGTCTCAGGTTTGACCTCAGGGGTTGATCTGTCTGTCAGTCTGACTCTTGTTTCTCAAGCGGTCACACAATATCACACCTCCAGGGCAGACAAACTGGTGTGTGTGTGTATGTGTGTGTGTGTTGGCACACTGATATGTAAAGCAGCAGTGTGTTTTACTTGGAATCAGGTGACAAATAGACTTGTGGCTGACATCATGGTCGTCTGTCAGTTTCTGTAATGGCACATATCCGTTCCTCTGTCTGTCTCTTTGTGTCTGTCTGGCTGTGTGTGTGTGTGTGTCTCTCTTTTACCACGTGTTTGATCAGCTCTACAACAGAACAAGAGGGGAAATTCCCTTTGTGTGTCAGAAAACAGCTCCTTCAATAACCTCCTGTCTGACAGATCACATCCTGTGTATATTCAGGCTTGTATTCTTACAGAGACGTAGTAACATTTTCATTCAGACTGCGAACATAATGGAGAAACATCGTCTTCTTTACGTCAAAGGCACATGACAATTCTGAGGAAAACTGTTTTATTTTCTGGCCTTGAGCTAATTTTCTTCACTATCTCTGAAACTTTCCCTCATTCAGTTTCTCTCTCTCTCTCTCTCTCTCTATCTCTCTCGTTTTCTCACCAAGAGGACTCCAGATGTACATTTGGTATTTTTATAGCGTATATAAAAACTTTTGGAAGAAGCACAAGTTTTGATGCGTGTTTTTTAAACTGAAGTGATCCAACCACATGGACATAAGAAGTTGATTTGCTGCAGAGAAAAAGTCTTCGAACAGAATTTAAACTCTTTCACAAGTATTTCAAACAACATATAACTTTATTTTGAACAGTTACAATAGCCAATATCTGCCTTAGCATGAACGGAAACTGTGTCAATATTACTTTAACTAATTGATTTGGTTGCAAAAAACACAAGGAATAGAGGTATTTGATAGAGAAGTTGTAAGCTAAGCTACAACACAGTCCAATCCAATCCACTTTAGTTATATTGCACATTTTAAAAAAGTTACCAAAGTGCTGCGCAATAAAATTGAAAGAACTGACACGGCAGAAAACATCAAGAGAAAATAAATAAAAACAGTTAAAAACATTTCAAATGAAATAAAAGAAATGAAATCAAAGCATGAAAGAAATAAAAATGATAACAGATCCATAAAAGACATAAAAAGACAGAGATCACACAACTCTCATTTTAAGATGTGATTTAGAAGTAGAAAGTGTGGGGGATGTTTTAATCTGCAGACCTCAAGGAATGTGGGGGGGTATAAACATTGAAGAGGTCAGAGATGTACTGTGGTGCTGATCCATTTCAAGATTTAAAAACAAACAATAAAATGTTAAAATGAAATCTAAAATGAACAGGAAGCCAATGGAAGGGTGGCAGAACTGGGGTGATGTGGTCATGTTTTCGTTTACCTGTTAAAAGACGAGCAGCAGCAAAAGAAAAAAAAATCTTTTAACATCAAAGCTAAATTCTTTAACATTGAACAAGCTTAAGTATAAATAAAAGCTTCTTAATTTGAGGCTCTTTTTGATAAAAAGTGAAGCTATACCACTCGGCTTTTGAAACAGAGCACTTTTACATCATTGAACACCTCAGCAAAGTGATCAAGAATTTCATTTTAGCTTTATCTTTGGATCACTATCTCTCAGTCTCTTTCCAGCTCCAGATTCGCGCCCCCTCCCTCCCTGCCCTCCCTCTTGCTGCCTCTCCCTGAATGAATGACTCGCTCTCTGTCAGTCTCTCCGTCCGTGTCATTGATCAGACCCTTGCAGCGGCAGTAACTTCCTGGAAAGACAAGCCAAGCCATCCTCAGAGCAACAATACTTCTATTGATCCTCTCCATGGCCAACTTGATTCTCGCCGAGAGTGAAAATCCAGAAGCGGTCACTTATCGTCATGGGAACCAGAGTGCTCTTGGTGCACATGAAGGCCTGTATTGACGATCTTAGAGAGATGAAAAGCCTTTTGGCTGAGATGATACAAGTAGAAAGCAGAGTCTGGTGTAGCCTTAGAAGCTTGATGGATGATAAGGAATGAAAAAGCCCAGCCCACCGATGACCCACCTCTGTGCGACTACAAAAGCACGTTTTTTTTTTTTCCTTTTGGAGCAAAGTGACGTGCAGCCGTAACCATAGCAACCACTACACATCAAATAAACCTTTAGCTGTCGACAAGAGCTATTTGTACTGGAAAAGAATCTGATGATGAGCAACTCAGAGCACAAATAATCTCGTAAAAAAAGCTTTACAGTTTACAAGACCTGCAAAAAAGAATGACGATAACTGGGAACAATGGTGTGACACCCCCCTCCAGAAACAGAGGCCCTAATCAGTGTTTTAGTGGTTGCTAGTTTGACTCCAGTCTCTTTACCCTTTCCTTCCATTACTTCCCCTCCCTACATTTTGTGTCTCTCCTCAGCTGTCCTTTTAAATTAAGGCCAAGACGACATGACTCTGTAGTGGAAATCGCTGCATGTGCTCAAAATCATCCAGAAATCATAGTCTGTAAGCAAAGTTTATCAACGCAAAACTGTAAAATCGAAGAGCGAACAATATACAAGATTACTGTAATTCTTGCAATATAAGGCACACTTAAAATCCTTTTGGCTTGTCGGAGCACTGCAGCTACCGTAGCCTCGCTGAGTTATTGATGAGTTAAACAAAGTTTGACTTATCTGAATGTTTTATTTGGCTTAATGCGCTTTATAATCTTGTGTGCCTTATGTATGAAAATAGACGCAAATAGACGCGTTCATTGATGGTGCATCTTATAATCAGGTGCACCTTGTAGTGCGAAAAATACGGTCTGTATGGATTCTCCAAAGACAGAACAGATTTTTTGTGGAGGGTGTACAAAACTTTCCCTGGGTTACAGCACAACATCAGTCAGATACACTTTAAGAAACACATTGTTCAAGGAGGAAAATAAATGTAGTTTATTTAGTTGTTCTTTTCAGTTTCACAAAGGGATATTAAAATATAAGCAGAGCACAACATCCCGTACTAACTGTTTAGTCACAGTTAAAATAGAAAACACTCAGACAGTTAGTGTGAGATTTCTTAAGTCTTGGTAAGCCAAAATAAAGTCCGTTTGAGTAAATTATTTCATTTAAATTACGTGTTTGAGACAGACTTAGAATTAGTGTGAAAACTGTGGAAACAGGCTCAGCATATTTGTGTTTATGCTGTGGGCTGGGTGTGGCTGTGAGAGCATACAGCTTCATGAAACGGGGAGGTATGTGCGTGTGTGGAGGGAATATAGAGCATGTGTGCTTATTCAGTCATTCCCTCCTTATTCTTTTCCTTCAGCTATAAATTTATTTGAAAAGGGTGTTGCTTTTGCAGATTAAGTGTGATGAAGGGATTGAATCCCTAAGACTGGCTTTTGAGTAAACAATCTCACCACAAAGTCCATGTAGAAGCCCTTCAGAGCTCTTTGGATTATATCACATGCTCTTAGCAAGTTTGCCCAGTTGAAGCTGGCCTACATGCTCCAAGACAGATTCTTAAACATGTTGGTGGATTTTTCTTGAACAGTTTTCTGTTAATTCATTAATAAGCGGTCTCATGATACAGTTATAAATGGGCCAATCAGGATTTGTTGAAGGGATCAGTACAAGAACATTCATCAGGTTTGACGATGTTGTTCATGAGCTGTGGTTGTTAAGCCTACAGGACATAAAACAAACCAAAACTAATCAGCTCCGTCATAAATGTAACACCAGTGTGTGTCTGGAAATGTTCTAACCTCATGAAGTCACTACTTAATTTAGTGTGTTTTGATTTGGATACAAACAGAGATAGATGACAGCGACTCCTCCTTCATGTAGTTTTCTTCCTGTCTGAACAAGCCGCCCCACACATTCCTGAATTTCCATCATTCTTTTACACAAACGCGTTTTTGCCGCACATTCAAGTCTTTCCGTTACGCTGCAGAGATATAAAAATAAATAGATAAGATGTGTCATCCTTTAAAAACACTCAGGATTTTCCCTCAGCTCGATCAGTGTGATTGATGTTTACCCTGAAGGGTGAAAAACTTATCAGAGCATCTCCCTCTCTTTCTTTCTCTCTCTCTCTCTCTCTCTCTCTCTCTCTCTCTCTCTTCTCTTGTGTTCTGATTGCGCTCTATCCCTACGTCTCCCTCTTCTTCCCTGCTCTCACGCACACAGACACTATTTCAGTCAGTGGTGCTGCCCGACTGATGAAGATCGACACAAAGAGCATTTGTCTCACACAATCGCATCGTTAATCAAGCTCTTTCTTTTTTCTCGCTGCTTACTTTCTTTTCTTTCCCCGTGTTTCTCTGTGAGCCTCTGTCTTCTATCCCTCCATTTGTAGATCTTAGCTCCAGTTTGTGTTGCAGTATCCCTTTTTTTTTTGTTGCGCTCAGTGTGTGAAGCCCACCAGCTACACAACTGCAGTAGGAATGTGTGAAGAAGTGTGCAGGGCATGCTTAGCTGTGTGCACGTTCCTGACTCTGTTTAACAATGTATGGCTGTGTTTTCATCCTGCAGCACCCGCAGTTGCACATTTGGGTTGCATGCATTTAGAATACAAGTAGAAGCTAGCCAGCGAACACACACACAAACACACATGTGCATACACAGACACACACACACACGAACAGAGGGTTGATGGGTTTCCTGGGAGCACAGAATAAAGAGTGCTCACACATCCAGCTTGAAAAGTTGCTTCATACAAAGGAAAAGCAGTGGAGATACACACACACACACACACTAAGACACACACACACACACACACAGAGTTTCTCAGACATGTCTATGAATAGCCTTGCATGGGGAAACATCACATTAGAGGCTTGCGTGTTTCTTCACATCCTCATTTTGCCTCTTTGACCTAATTCTTGAAATCGGTCAGGAGTGAATCAAATCATTCCACTTTTATTTCCTTTTTGTTACCCTGCGAAATCCAAGAGTTACTTCATGGAGTTGCCAGCATATCTCCAAGACAGCTTTCGTGTTATTTTGTCACGAATATACAATCTGCTCGTCAGCCAGAGAGTACTAGGAGTTTTCCAGTATCATTTAAAACAGCTCTTTTTTTTCCCCCAAGTTGATCCCTGTATAAATATATTAGGGCTGTCATCAACCAAAGACATTCTTGGTCGACTAAACCCTGAAATTCTTTTACCAAAAATCGACTAATCGGGGGTGGGTGGGGGGGTGTTCCGCTGAATCTAAATATGTTTGAGTTGGAGCTGATAAATGTTGAGCAGCGGTTGGTGCAACAAAGACAGAGTAGATTACAAAGGATATTTTGATTGCATGATTAAGAGTCAGTCAAAAGTCACCTCATACCAAGACTTCTCTAATATCTACTTCCATTAGACTCTGAGGCTGGTGTAACTTAGCATGTTACAAACTGTTGCATTTCATCCTTCAGTCCTCTGAATGTGACAGTAAAGCTGTGTGAAGTGAGCATGAAGTGAGGGAAAGAGCGAATGAGCGTTGACTCACTGACTTAACAAGGCTCTGACAGACACACACACACTAACACACAGACAGATACACACACATTGCTAAAAGACTGCTGGTGATCCTAGAGGGGCTGCCATGTCGACATGTCAATCGTCAACTATCATGCTGTCCATTCCCTCAACGCACACACACATGAACGCACACACACATAAACACACACTTGTGCACACACACTCTCTACTCACACATGATGCGCTGTAAAAGTGTGTCACGGGGGTAAAGGAGAGCGTTAGACGAGAGCACCAACTGTGTGTGTTTGTGTGTGTTCTCCCATGAGAGCCCTGATGGAGTTACTCTCTCTCTCTCTTTCTCTCTCTCTCTCCCTCTCTCTCTCTCTCGCTGTAAGTCGCAGCAGGATCAGGTGTGAATTTCTGCTCCACTTGCGGTCCCACAGTTTGTCCTCTCGCCCTTCCTACTCTCTCATGGAAGGATGGGATATTAATGATGTATTTAATAAATAATTCATCAGCTTTCTTCCTGTTTCCCTACACCTCCATCCCTCTCTTCCCTCTATCCTGTTGTTCTCAGCCACCCTGTTTTTATGACAGTTTTTTCATTACCAGCCCTTTCCTTCCTTAAACGTCAGGTCTTTCTATTTTGTTTGAAAAAACTTTATCTGTTAAAAATGAGTGAAACATTTTTAACAAAGACTGTTATTTATCCAGTCAAGTTAATGTAGGGTAGTTCGTATTTCACTTCCACCAGTTCTGCTTACAAAGACATGAGTCTGATAACTGGATCAGGCCCCTCTTGTTTACTGATTTAATGTGTTTTTTTTCCTGTGGTTTTTGATTGTATGGAGATCTTGTGTATTTAAGCAGCTTTTCAAAGTTTGTAGGTAAAACAGTGATTATGACGGATACAGAGCAGCTTAGACAGGATTTTCCTACTGATTTCTATCGAACCAATCCCTTATGACAATCAGAGGAAAACCTGACTGACGTTTGCTGGAAAGGTGACAGCATTAGTCACTGTGAGGTCATTGCAATAATTTCCAATATTATTTTTTTCAGTTTGAGAATTACAAAGTGAGTGGAAACGTTGCTGCTCACTGTAAGGGAAAACCACGGTTAACTGATAACTGCTGTAACTCCAGAGATTCACCTCACTGTGCGAACTCCTGTTGACTGACGGTCGGCGGTCTCACATATAACGTGCAGTTCTCACTGCTAATGTTCCTGTAACTTCAGGTACTTACGATGACTTTTTAAAAGTGTGGAGGGGATTTTAAAACTGCCTTTGAAACAGTCTCACTGAAGGATGGGGATCGACAACTGGGTTCACCTAATAGAGCATCTTTCAAAACTCCAAAATCGGTATATTTTGAGCTCATCGAGTCTGCTGTCGGGTCTCCAGGGCCCTATGAAGTAACATTAATTTGAGTTAAGTCGCGTCATGTTAATTATAATCTTATCTTTGTCAAGTCTAGATGATGCACACAACCTCCATGGTCAAGTGAATAAGCATTGTAAATGACTGATGCTGGAGCAGAATTAGTAAAAAGCCGTAAGATCTAGGGCTGGGCTATAAACCGAAAATTTACTAATACCTAAATTTACGTCAATATCCGACGTCATTTTGCCCAAGTCAATATATTCTGTGTCAAAAAATAAATAAATACAAGTTGGTTTCGGATGTGTGGAGGTAGGATATGGTCTCATGTCCCTTCAAGACACTGTCCTATGCCAGAGACGTGTCTCCACCCCATCCAGTCCGTAACAAAGAGGGAAAGACAGGTGAGGAGATGGAGGACGGTTCAAAAGTTGTAGCGGCTGAAGTAGACAAAGTTAATGTGGGAGGGTGTGAGCAGCTTGTGGGGTAGTTATCGTCCACTTAACGTTATCGAGGTGAACTTCTCAATATTTCGTGATATTGATTTGTGGCCATATCGACCAGCCCTAATGAGACCCCTGCTGAAGTATTGTTGAGATGGAGAAACTCCACAGCCAGGTCTCTGCAGGTTAAGATATCAAAATGTGCACACTGGCATTACCGAGTAGACATTTATTTAGGGGACTGGAGGATAAAAAGTCTGAGTTTAGTTGCTGTGATATGACATTAAATTGTTATACAGCTATAAAGTGAACACACATAACTTTGTCAAAGTCGTGATAAACCAAGAGAAGCAGGATTAAAAGAGGATCTGTGTTCTGTACAAATTCACACTTGGGAAAGAAGCACGTCTCACTGACAGGTTGACGGAAAAAACATAATAAATGTTATCTAAAGCTGTCACCAGGATCACCTCCACGCCAAAACTCCTCCTCACAGTTTCCGTTAAATCCAGGAGATAATTTCTCTCTGAAGCACGCCTTCAATTTTGTGCTTCCTGTTTGATTATAGAAAAGCACTTCCTGACTGTCTCGGTGTACTTTTGTAAGCAGATGGTCTGAAGTTACTTAACCATGTTAAAGCACCCACTCATTGATTCACTTGAATCTAATTACCTTCCTGAACCCTCTGTCTCTTTCTCTAAATGTTCCTCTTTCCATGTCTCTCCTTTATGCAACCCTGACCACAGACAGACGGTGTGGTTTCAGGGTTGAACTTTGTCATTTCTTTCTTCTTTTTTTTTTCCACTCTGACTTTTGTTCAGTGCCAAAAATGCTCTTCAGTAGTGAGCTTCTGACTCCTCTGTATCTGCTGCTGTCTGATCTCCTGACAGTTTACAGAAAACAGTTGGCCACACAGAGTCTGCTCCTGTTACACCGTTTGCTGTTAAATTAGCAAATTTAACACAGATAAGATGAACTACCTTTGTTTATTTTGGATCAAAAATGGAGAAATAAATTTACATTTAATTGCTTTAAAAACAGATGATACTATCATGTCATGATAATAGAATTTTTTAACTTTGATATGATACTAGTAAAAATTGAAACATTAATCTGCGTCAATACCACAGCAAAAAATGTAAGAAAACAAGCTTTCTCATTATCCATAAAGGGTTATGATCGTTCAGGCCCTAGTTATGATTCATCTGCGTTCGACAGTCAAAGGTAAAAGGCCAGTGGGGTGACAGTTGTTGCCACTTTAGCATCTAAAAGAGAAGAGAAGCAAAGACTACTTTGTCCACAGGGGGCGCCAAAATTGATTAAGCTTAAAGTTCCCTACAGGAGCTTTAAAGCCTAACTACCTCTTAAAATGATCGAAAAATAACTCTTAACTTTCCAACCTTGTTATTTTTAACATAGAAATAAAGGATGTTGCTTTTTTAAAGCTTGTAGTAATCTATATAGAAAGTATTCAACACTTTAATAGCACGTTTTTTATTTTATTTATAGAATTTATTTGAACATGAACAACAACTAAACCTGGTACAAATTAAAGACATGAACACATAAAAAAACAGAAATAAAACAAAACCAGAGTGTCAAAAAATTTTGTAATTTGCATATATTTAAGTCAGTTTTCCTCTTTACACTCCTGTTTGTCACTTTTCTCTGCATCTGGTGACAGTTTTCGCTCAGATGAATATGTGACCTTACTGTATTTACTGTATTTACGTAATATTTTCAACCCGACATTGTTTCTATGTTTTAAAGACCCTCGACTCGCCTCTTACTTGGTGAAAATATGTCAGATGATGTTACACGGTCACTGAATCAACCACACAGTGAAGTATATGACAGTTACCCTCAGGCACACGTCTGCTTAATCCTTCATACATGTTCTTCCCCATGAGGTTGTTAACTGAAGCTGGATATGAGTCACACATGAATCTAAACTCAGAAATGTTTCAGCAGCAAAGGGAGCTTTTAATTATTAACATTTTTTTCTGAAGAAAAAAAGGAATTCTTTGTGTGAGGCGTCCCTGCACCATGCTTGTGTTCTCGTTTTCATCTGGGGGAGGATGTGGTTTAGCTACTTCCTCTCTCACTAACATGCCCCTGCTCTTTCTCCTCTGACCTTTCACCAAAGCTGGGAGGACATCATTTAGATATCTTTGTGTTAATTTGTCTCTATTTCCCTCCTTTTTTGTTTCTCCTTGGAGCAGAAATCAAACAAAGAATTCAAACTGAGTGTGTTTTTGTTTCCTCTTCTTCTCTCTGCAGAAGTCGGATCATGGCCAGGTGTTGTTGGATGCCGTCTTTAAGCACCTGGAGCTGACTGAGAGAGACTACTTTGGCCTGCACTTGGCTGATGACTCCTTGGATTCACCAGTCAGTATGGTTTTTGGTCTTTTTGATCCACAGGGCTGTGTGTGAGTGTGTGTTTGTGAAAGCCAGCGTGAATTCAGCACCATATCCTGATGTCACACTCAGAGTGGGGAGCTAAAAATTGATAATGTGGCTCCAGGATTGACCTGCTTGTGAAAAAGAAAGCGGATAGTGTTCATTTTAGGGGAATAAAGTACAACTGGGAGCGCTGGGAGCCCCGCTACCATGCCAGTGTCAGGGTCGTCCAGCGGTCTCAGATCTTGACTGTACCGATGCGCGGGAGGAGAGGTGGGGAGACAGCCTGCCGGCTTTGCGCTGTGCGGCACGGGTGAGCCGGCTGGACCCCCGGCTGCAGGGCCCTCGGCCAGCCCGATCGAAGAATGCAGGGAGGCCAACCAGGGCAGAGTGGCAGCGGAGGCCGAAACCAGCTGTGGTGCCAGAGCCGAGGGCGAAAGACCGGTGATCCTGGAGGCCTGACTCAGGGATATATGTTTGGCTTGAGCTGAAGCTACGGATATGAAGCCCTCCAGCAGCCTATCCTTCTCACGGAGATCATTTTGCAGACGAGAAAGCTTCTCTTCCAACTCTTTAAGCTCTGTTTGTACCTGGGTGATCAGATCAGAAGTGAAGGGACTTAAGTACAGGTGTAAATGAACTGCAATGCATGATGAAGACAGGTTGAGATTGGAGGGTAAACCAAAGGACCCCTGTCTGTCTCTCAGCATGTGATGTGATCAGTGCAGGAGGTTAATGGGTGCAGCGCATTTAATATAACACGTGAAGAAGTATTGTCAACGCACAGTATGTTATTTGTATTTCTGAGACAGCATTTCAGTTCTTTTTTGTGAGGAATGATCCTACACCGAGGAGGTAAGAGTAGAGACAGAAGAGGTGGCCAACAAGTAATTTGTCAAATTTAAGTTCTTATCAATTTCAATTTCAATAAGCTTTAGTGGCATGACTGTTTCTACAATATTGCCAAAGCATTTCAACACAACAATAACAATAACAACAACAATAATAATAATAGTAATAACAACAACAATAATAATAAGAACAATAACAACAAAAACAATGGTAATAAAAAAAATAATAATAATAATAATTACAATATTAATAATATTATTATTATTACTGTTATTATTATTATTATACAATAATTATAATAACTATAATAATATAAAATGTAAATATAAATATGACTCTTTCCTGGCTTTGCGTTCATACCGTTTGGTATCATTCAAGGTTTTTTAAAGTCAAATGAAGGCAAATGAGGCTCCAGGATGATTTGCATATGAAGCGGGTTATAAGTGATCACTGGAGGCACATTGGAGCGACATGCTAATGCAGAGTGAGGACGCTTAGACTTGGTGCTACCTACTTATGACATGTGACCACTTCTGAAATGTAACCGTATTGATAGGAAGTGCTTTAATTCTTCCCTGAGTGTGACTTCATGTGAAGATGTTGTATTATATTAACATAAGCTGTCTCTGGTTCAGGCTTATACAATTAAATGCATCACGACTCTCTGTGTGCATTGATCTATATGGAATCCATGCATCACACTGCATATAGTATATTTGTGTGGGTGTGTTCTATGCACTGTGTTTGTGTATTTCTGAAGGTGTGTGTCTGTGTGTGTGTGTGTGGTGAATAATTAACGTTGTGTTTTCATGCTGTGGGAGCGTTCTGGTGTCTCTAAGTGTCTCTCAATCAATATTTTACAGCGCTGGCTCGATCCCAACAAGCCCATCAGGAAACAGTTAAAAAGTAGGTGAAATCCACAACATACCACCTTAACTTAACCAGCTCCGAGCATTTTCAGGAATCAGCACAAAGGTCTGAAAGCTGAGGCAGTTCTTTCAGGTCCAACTTAGTCGCTGGAGTTTCAGAGCATGGCAGCTATTGGGAGCAGGCGTGTGCAGCTTCAGTCTCACTTCCAGTTAATGATCCCCACTCCACCTAAAGCCAAAGTGTCCAGTTAAAAATTCTCAATCTGCCTTAAGCGACGGGTAAACTTCATTTCAACTCGACTCCTTTTTGATAATGAGTAATAGAATTTGTAACATGAAGAACAATTAAGACGTAGCCCAAGTGAGAAACGCAGCCCCCCTGGAGCAGTGATTGAACTGTGTTTCAACTCTGTTTTATGCGGGGTGACTGTTTCATTGAGGAACAACAAGAGAGTTTTTCTTTTAACACAGTTCTTTGAATTAGGCTGTTTTGTTAGTACAAATGTAAGCTTTCTTTTTTTACCCTCCGGCTCATTTATCCCACTTGTTTGTGTCCTTGAATGTCAAGAAATAGCCAAAGCCTACAAAAACAATGTCAGAATAAGTATCTATGTCATCAACTGCATCAATTAGGACTACATGTTTTCAGCTAATAGAGAAATATAAAGTAAATGTTACTGTATATTACATTTACAAATCTGCCTCGATGTGATTTCCTCTTTAACTTCATTTTTTCCAGGAGGGTCTCCCCATAACTTAGGCTTCAGAGTCAAATTCTTTGTCACAGACCCCGGCAAACTTCAGGAAGAATACACACGGTAAGAGAGCAAAATTTACAGAGAAATATAACGCAAAATATCTATTTTCCATCCATGCAAAAGCTCGATATTATCTGATGGAAGGTTCGTGAGATGGTGAAGGTATATGTTCATACAAATGCATCATCCCTGTCCCTTTAGTTACTGTGTTTTCATGATTTCATCCAGTGTGTGACAGGATTGTTGTTACTTACTGATAGTAGAGCTGCCCAGTCGCTGTTTTTACGCAGCTTCATTCAGAAAAAGAGAGAGAGAGAGGGTTAATCTTGCCTGAAAATGAAGAGACTTTCTCTGGGGTGTTTCTAGTTGAATTCACTCTTGACTCTCTACCTGCATCAGAAAGTCGAAGACCAAAAACAAACCGTTTGATCGCAGCTCATGCTGTCCCAGTAGGGCGTTTCTGTAATTATCCTTTTCTCAGATTAGCTGGTACGTTTAAACATGCCAGCCATGGTGAAGCCGGCGCCGATACATAATTATCAACCTGCTGCTGTATATGACTACACTGAAGTAGATTCATCATTACATTAAACTGCTGGCTCTCTGCCACTGAAGTAAACAATAAGTACAATCATCAAGATGGAGAGTAGATCTGCAAACAGGGTACACAATGTCCCACAGATCATTGTGTATAAAGGCACATATATACCACATGTGTAAGTGTATGTCTCCTCAGTAGATGTGAAATTCTAATTTAAAAGTGGAATACATGAAAATAGATTTGGGGGTCTTATTACATGGATTAAACTGATACCTTGGGAGAGAGTTTGTTTCTCTGATGGATGCAGGCTCATTAAAGCAAAATAAGAAACCTGTATGTTTCATATCAGGTTCATTATGATGCCTCCAGCCCACAGCTATGCAAACATAAGGTCTGCAACAGTGCGCTCTACATAAACAACATGCAGAGGAGGCGTCACAGCACCATATCGCCTTTTCTGCCTGCTGTTTATTTCAGTCTCTCAGTCGTGGCCTCGCTCCCTGAGCCTCATTAACACTTAGTATACAGCTCGTTACAGCAGGGAGCGAGCTTTGGATCTGACAGGCTGATCTGATGCTGGTCTGAAACCCAATCCTGATAGATTTGTCTGAACTGCCCCATCTGCACTGAGAATTTTAGAAAGATGCAACAAAAGACTCCCAACTGTTCAGCTGCTGAGAGCCGATGTTTGACATGTTGTTTTTGTACTATTTCCTATAGAATTAAGAGTTTATAATAATAATAATACATTTTATTATAACCCGCTTTTACAAGTGCTCAAAGACGCTTTACAAGAAACATAATTAAAATACAGAAAATTTGGAGTAATAGACCAACAATATAAAAGGTTAAAAAAGACATGACATGAAAAGACAATAAAAGAACAGTTTACAGGTTAAAAGCCAATTTAACTGAAAGTTTAGATGGTTTGAAAATCTAAATTCAGTTTTTATAAACATTTGACCAAGTGTCTCAACTATTTCAAAAGCTTCTGCCAAAAGGTTTCCATTCACAGCGACTCCCATCAGAAGTATCTCTTTAATAATCCGACAGGCAGGTCTGTCTATAACCAGTGAACACAAAGAAAGTGACTGTTTCTTTATCCTAACGTGGCGTGTTGTCCTCCCTCAGGTACCAATACTTTCTCCAGATCAAGCAGGACATACTTACTGGAAGGTGAGTGTGCAACAGACGTGCGTTTATTGGCGCAGTAAGCTCATAAAGGCTGCTGTGATACAAGTGTTATTGTGGCGCTGGAGAGTGCTAATGGTCATTATTCTCTCAAGATGTTAAGGGTAGCTCCTCCTCGGTTAGATAAAAAATCATCTAGATGTCCATTACTGTTGATGTTACTCTTTGAAACGATCTGTACGTTTTAATTCTATCCAAGAATCAGTGTCTATACGTCTCATTGTTTGTGTGTCTTTGTGTGTTCTTGTGACTTCCAGATTGCCCTGTCCACACAACACAGCCGCACTGCTGGCATCCTATGCTGTTCAATGTAAGTAGTGCTCCCTGGATGCATCCACTCTGCACAGCAATGGAAAGGCAATTCATTAGGCCGCTCTTAAGCTGCACACACTGTTAAATGTAATGACTGTGGTTGCTCCAGTGCCTTTATAGCTGGTGCTCTGAAGCCATTATGATTCAATTAAGCTGTGTGGTGATATTTGATGGCGTCTGCAATGATATGAATATTCATTGTAATGCCGGCTCTGTTTTTTTTTTTCCCGTGTAAAGGACTCCTTGTAGTCAAATCTGGCACAGCTGCGAATGAAATATTCATCTAAAATTGTCCTTTAATACAGAAAAAGAGCTGAATACATATTTACATGCAGTTATCAAGAGTCAATAATTTGCTATAAGGACTCAAATCTGGACTCAGATCTAGACTAGCCAAACAAAGATATGATACAGCCTTCAGGAGTCCTCTTGTCGTCTCGCTTGCTTTTCGGTTCCAACACCTTCTGCCTCCATGAAGCCAAAACCGCTGGTTTAAAAACATCTCTCCAGACCCACAGTTGTGTCTATGCCAGCGGACTTTCAGCCTCAGTGCTAATCTCATCTACTGTTGTGATGTAGCGTGTGGGTTAAATGCTGACTGGGCCCCTCTGTCATCACAATAATGACTCCTGACACACTGCTCTGTCTGTCCGTCTCACTCGCTCTTTCTCTTTTTACTGCAGCTCATTGTTTTCACGCAGCCTGTTTTGCCTTCTGTCTGTCTCTTTCTTTTATCTCTGTTTAGTCTTTCACGTCACTCCCTGCTTATCCCTTTTTTCACACTCACACACCCTCCCCTCCCTTCCTCTCTCTCTCTCTTATCCCCCCTCTCTCTTCTGCTGCCTCCCTCCTCCCTCTTCCACCTCTCTGGCATATTTTGTGGGGAATTTGCAGAGCTACTGTATATAGGTCAGTGAAGAGATTTGGTCTAGACTACCAACATCATGACACTACTGCTTTTACCCACATGCATGCACACACTCTGTTGCTAGGTGCATGTTGTCACTTCGCTCAGTGCCAGCCCAGATTATGAAGATAAATGTTTGCTTTGGGAAAAACGGCTTGAAGCAGCTGCTATGCTGCTAATTCAGTTAGCTGGGCCCAAGTGCCAGCAGTGATCACTCTAAATCCTACACTAAAGCATGCATTCTCAAAACACCACAAATCCCACCCAGCAGGCCTGAAGTCTTGTTGAAAATTGACCAAATGCTGTCTGAAAAGCGTAGCATCCCCCCCTCCTCTGTTTCGAGGCGTTTTGGTGAAAGAAATCTTGAAGCAGGAGATGTGGGCTTGTGTAATGCAGCATTTCACATGTACAAAAATGTTGCATCATCAAACAGTTTAACACCTTAAAAGCTGGTTTGTCATTGATTTGCACACTCCTGCGTCTTTCATGTGTTTAACGGTGACAGTGGCCAGTGCTGAGGCGTGAACAAACGCACAGATTTCCATACATTGTTAGTTGAAAATGTGGGGAAATCACACACAAACACACACATAGAGAACTTATGAAGCCATCATCATCTCAAATGGAGAGTAAAATGTCTTGCTAGTGCTTAATTTGTCAATAGAAGAAGTTAGGTTTTGCTCGTTTTTCCTCTTGAAAGTGGATTTCACTTCAAACACAAATACAAAAACAGAGATCAGGCTGTCAGCTCATCTGTGAGCTTTATTAGCCTTAACATTAAACCTTGTTAAAGTAATAACTGCTGCATTAAAAAAGAGAAAAAAAACACAACATTAGCCCTCTGTGTGGAGATGTAAGCTATTGACCAGATATAAACTTCTCCCTGGAGTGTGCACATCAATAAGTGGTGCAGCTGGAATTGATTGGTGGGTCAATATGCTTAGGCTACTGGCTGGTAAGGTTAGTCCAGGGACTACTTCAGCCAATTGATGGTTTTGAGCTTCAGCTGCCAGCTAGTGAGCTAATGGCTTTGGGGATTTGCTTTGTGCTCATTCCCTCTCAGAGGACTGAAGGATGACAGAGACCCGGGAATAATGTTTCGTATCTTAGTATTTGAAATCTCTCCTTTGGGCATCTGCTGTATGAAACCCAGTCATTAATAAAGAGCCAAAACACATCATTATGCTTGTATGCATTATGTAGAAATTTCAGACAAGTTCTTAGAAATATTAGCTGTAAGTATCTCAGTCATTTGTATATAGATTATTATTTTTATATTATGTCTGCAATATGTACAATGTCAAACTCTTTCTGGGGCAAATATTCAGTTTGTTCACCTGGATACATCAGTTGCTATTTGACTAAAAGTACCCAGAACTTCTATTCCCCTGAGCACGGTTAGCGTTTCAAGCGGGAAGTCTTTTACACCAGAACTTAATTTAGACTCTAGTTCCTGCAGTCAAAATGCACAGAGTCCCTCAAAAGGTCCAGGAAAGTTCTTGGTACTTGTAGTCAAATGGCACCTTTGGTCACTGATGTATTCAGGTGCTATTTGACTAAAAGTACCCAGAACTTTACTGGATCTTTTAAGGAACTCTGTGAATTTCTGCTACAGGAACTAGAGTCTAAATTAAGTTCTGGAGTAAAAGATTTACCCCTTGAAACCCTAACCCTGCGAAGGAGAAGAGAAGTCCCTGAAACTAAAAGTTCTGGGTAATTTAAGTCAAGCAGCAGTTTCAGGGACGCCTCTTCCCTGCAGCAGGGTCAGGTTTTCAAATCTTTTACACCAGGACTTAATTTAGACTCTAGTTACTGTAGTCGAAATGCAGATAGTTCCTCAATAGGTCCAGGGAAAGTTCTCGGTACTTGTAGTCGAACAGCACCTGAATACATCAGTGACTAATGGTGCTATTGGATTAGAAGTACCCAGAACTTTCCTGGATCTTTTAAGGAACTCTGTGCATTTCTACTACAGGATCTAAAGTCTAAATTAAGTTCTGGTGTAAAAGATTTACCCCTTGAAACCTTAACCCTGCTTGGGAGAAGAGAAGTCCCTGAAACTAAAAGTTCTGGGTACCTTTAGTCAAGTAGCAGTTTCAGGGACTTCTTCTCCCGCAGCAGGGTCAGGGTTTCAGATCTTTTATACCAGAACTTAATTTAGACTCTAGTTCCTGCAGTCGAAATGTACAGAGTTCCTCAAAAGGTCCAGGAAAGTTCTTGCAGTTTAAAAGCACCTTTAGGGTAAAGTGAGGCTGAGAACCCAAAACAGTGTAAATAAAACTTTATTTTATTTTGGAGTGTTGCAAAACAGAAAACCATCCACTAACAATGTTACCACATCTCAGTACCGGCCTACTACATGCTGCAATAACTTGACGTTTGGCTTTATTCAAGATCTAAAAAATGTAGTAACACTAACTTACAGACCTGTGTACAATAGGCACATGTTTAATCCTTAATGCTTTTATTCTGAAAGGATAGGACAGCCGTGGATAGAGCAGGAAACTAGGAGAGAAAGTGAGGAGTGACATGCAGTAAAGAGACTCCAGATTGGAATCAAACCAGGGCCACCCACTTGAGGGCTACGGCTCCTGTACGGAAAGAGAGGCGCCCGATTTAACCACCAGGCCAAACCAATAAAGCAGAACGATTTCAGTATCTTCTGGGTTTTGACACTCAGTCTAGATTCAGAGGCATCCTTTACTTTATGTGGATGTTATGGTAGATGATACTTTTTTAATTAAGGAGGATTGTTAAAGGCTGTGAGAGTTTTCAGCTTAGGTGTGAAGATATATTTCTTTTCCTGGTTGTGATTGTAAAAGCTCCAAGGCTCCATCTGTTAACTGATTCACAGCTCAAAGAAAATAAGAAATATCCAACTGTGTGAGTAAAGACGGTGAGGGAAGAGATGTACAGAAAGATGTCTAATGAAGATGTACAGTTTTCTAATGAGATAAAGGCAATATAGTCCCCGTTAAAGGTGTTTTTTAGGGTTAATAATGCATCATGGCGCGGGATAATGTTCTCACAATGTTTTTACAACTCTGAGCAGAGCAAGTCTCTTTGTTCGAGAACACAAGGTTAATCAGGTTTTGATTTGGGTAAATTCACGCTAGGATATTACAAGTTACTCAAAAAAATGTCACAACAGGTTTTTGTTAAGGGATGATTATGAATCATGCTTGTTCACAAAAGGTTTGGACCTTTGTGTCACTCTTGTTTTTGTTTCGCTATCGCTGCCTTTTCTCTGCGCTTTGACTGCCAAATTGAGACGGTGGAGATGCGATGACGATTTTATTCTTTTCTCTCTCTCTCTCTCTGTAGCTGAGTTGGGGGACTACAGTGAAACGGAGCACTCACAAGGCTATCTGTCGGAGTACTGCTTTATCCCCAACCCCCCACAAGACTTCCACAAAGAGGTCTCCAAACACCACCAGCAGCACAGGTACGATGTTATACAGGAGGAAGAACCTGCAATCGAATGTAGGGACAAGAAACTGGCAGATTTAACCCTTCTTGTGTTTGTGTTTTTTTTTCTTTTATTGCTTGTATTATTGCAGAAACAGTGACAACAACTCTCTCTCTCTCTTGTTGTGTTGTTTCCTCTCTCTTCTCAGTGGTCTATCTCCTGCCGAGTCAGAGTTTAATTATCTGAACACAGCACGCACGCTGGAGCTCTACGGGGTGGAGCTGCACTATGCAAGGGTAAGTAAGGTTTTACCCACTGACTTCTCACACCTATCTGCTTCACGGCTTGTGTGTCCATATGTGTGTGTGTGTGTGTGTGTGTGTGTGTGTGTGTGTGTGTGTGTGTGTGTGTGTGTGTGTGTGTGTGTGTTTGTGAGGGGGTTCAGAGCCTTCAGTGAGGGTTTCTGCATGTCTTCATATGTTTGTTTGTGTCCTGTTGAAATCTTTGGCTTGCTCTCCTCTCTCTCTGCTCCACAATAACTGTGAGAAGTACAAGATAAAGAAAAAAACAAACCCAGGTCCACTTTTGAGCAGAGGTTTCAGAGTTTATCCATCAAGGGGGACCTGTAGTTTAGGGCTGTGAAAGTCTTAAATCTATAAGTTCAATATTTTATCATCTAGAGCTGCCACCATATCCGATTTTCCCAGTAAGACTATTGTGACCATAAAAATCTCAACGTCTTTAGCAGGATAACTACGGAAAACTTCAAAATAAAACATCAAAATTAGTCAAACTAAGGAAATTTACTCAACTCATCTTTATTTATAAATCACTACAAAACAACCCCAGCTGAACAAAGTGCTGCACATAAATAGACAAAAAAAAAATTTCAGACATTTCAACAATTAAAAACAATATACCAACATAGATAATAAACTCTAAAATAATTGTTTTATTGTTTTTAAAAACAAATTTAAAAACAAAGAAGTGTATGACAATGATGATCAAACACAGTACTTCATAATGCAGTCATTATCCATTTCTTAATTAATTCAGTTGTATATGTTTCCCTTTACTCATGATCCACAACCACCCCCTGTGCTTTTATTTTGAAGGATACTACTTCATTAGATCGTAACCCTCCGCAGAGCTTTAACACAGTATCAGTCTTAAATGGATGATTATCATCACTACCCGGATAATGTGACAGCCCTGTTATCTTCAAAATAACTACTTTGCTAACTAAAACTTACATTTCAAAATCATGCCTCAACGTCATAATCATGAAAGAGAAGGAGAAGATCTTCATGAAATGGGTCACACTGTTTTCAAGAACAGACTGTGTCAATCTGAGTTCATTCGCAGTCTTAAGGTTTGTTATCTAATTAGGCTGTTTAACGACTTTGTTTTGACAAATATCAAAACTTAATAGATTAGTTCTGCCGTCTTTTAAGTAGCAAAAGAAAATCCTGTTCCAGCTTTCAGTCATCATAAGACCGCATTTGTCACGCAGGATGTAGAGCGTATTGTGTAATCTCCCACTTCTAAATATATAATCAATGAGAGCACAAATTGTCCCGCACTAATTGTTATAATATTACCGTGTGTGTGGGTTTCCCTTTGTGTTTCTCGAACATCTACTCCCCTGTTCCTAGTAATGTCTTCCTTTTGTACTCTCATGTTTTGCTCAGTGTTTTCATTGTGCTCCGCTCGCCTCCCCTGTCTCCGTCTTCAGCACGCTCGCACTCCCTCACCCACTCTTTCTTCCCTCTCCCTCCCCAGGACCAGAGCAACACAGAGATTCTTATTGGGGTTATGTCTGCCGGGATTGTGGTTTACAAGAACAGGGTACGGATCAACTATTTCCCATGGTAAGTGACACAGCCACGCACAAAACATAAAATTACATGAGTCATTAAATGGGCTGGTTCTCCAGCCAAGTGTTGCTGCAGTATTTATCTGCCGCTATTTCAAGCCTAGTAAATAATCCTAGAAAATAGAACGAACAATAAAAACAAAAACAACCGAGCGAGTTAAAAAGGCAGCTTTGAGATGAGTATTTATACGGTAGCACAACAAGACATCTGCTGTGAGTATTTTAGGACTATAAAGATTATATTAAGACCAGAACGCATACTAAGGCGCCATCAGGGTCATGGCTAATTTGACCGATGGGTGCTCTTCTATTTTTTATTAGGACACTGTGTAGCTTTCACAAAACAGGTTGTGTTTCTCAGCTGGGGGCTTTTGGACTTTGAGGCCTGAACACAAGCTTCCTGTGTTAAAATATGAAGCACAAAAATAGTGCGGTTCCTTACAGTCTTTCATAAATTCTCATTAATTTCAAGAAAATATCAGGAGGAGGACATCTTTTAGGGAGTTTGTTGTTTGGTGAAGTATATTAATCAACTTTTTTTTGCACTGCACAAAGTCACCAAAAGTTTTTTCATATGCCAAACTCACAGATCATTCTAGACTCCACTTTTTGTGAACCAACAGTGACCCTGTAGTTTTAACAAGCACTTTGCAGTAGTGAAAACAAACAGGGTTCATGTGTACCTGAAAACAGTTTTTATGTCTTTGAACCCTGACCCTGAGATGTTAGTTAAGCATTAGAGGTTAAACAGCTGAGTTTCACCATTCAGAAAAAACCTCCAGGTTCTGATTGTAGCCAACTGCAGAGCTCCCGCCAGCCTCAGGTGTAACTTGGTGGACGGTGTAACAGAGCTCCTTCTCAAACGATATCTTTATATCAAAAACAGCCATGATTTGGATCTTTACTGGAGCGGTCGCATTCCTATTGCCATGCTCTCTGTGGGTCAAAAGTCATTATTGAGAAGAAGAAGAAGAAGAAAACACTTATCGTCTCTCCCCTCTCGTCTCCTTCACACTAGATGTTCTTGTCACAGAAACACCTCCATGTCAATAAATCCACAGCCAAGTGCACTATCAGGGGCCCCTTCCTGCTGAAAAAAACACTGCCTTATATTTTGGTGACCTCTCACAGAGTGATTATTGGCATAGCATATTAATATTTAAGCTGTAGTTGATCTTTTCTAGAAATTTGCAGATGATTCCACCAGATTTTTCTGGGGACAGAGAGCTTAATATTAAACTAGTTTTCCTGGAAATATTACAGGCACTAAATCTAGTCGCTGTCTCTCTTTCTCGTCCCATTTTATTTATTTATTTTATTTCTCTCTGTCTAATTCACTTACTCTCATCACTCTTTATGTTCCTGGCTCTGGTTCTCTCTCCAAAGCATTGATTCTTGGAAATCTCCCATGCTCTGCCGCTGCACAGTGGGAGGCTAAACATTTATGGGTGCTGGGGGTTGGATAGTATCTACTCAAATCCCTGTATCTCTGGGAGATAATTAACTGGTGTGTAGGCTTAACACACACAAACACACACTCTACAGGGACATCAGAAGGTCTGAAAACAGTTCGATTAGTTTGACACGAATATCACGCTGATATGTAGATAACTGTTAGGGTTATGCTTACATACAGCACATAGTTGTCATCATGAGCATTATAAACTTCCTGTTTACTCGAGAATAAAGTAGCTTTAAGTTTCATAGAAGTTTCCCTCTGTGTGCGGAGGTGTGGCTTATTCATGCTGACAAGCTCATCCTCGTCCGGTTTAAGATAGTCAGGGATGATGGTGTGGCTAAAGACAGGAAGAGAGTTGTCAGCTAAAAATGCTCCAGTGTCATGTGCACAGCTGGTTTCGTTTAATACTCTTATAAACATGCATCTCGCAAGCAAACAGGACATTCGTGTGGCCGATGTGCGTTTTTATGTTGCAGGGCTGAAAACGAGAACAAACAGTCAAAGCTCAAACAGCAGAAGACGAAAAAAAACAGCTTAAGTCAGAGAGTGTGTGTGTGTGTGTGTGTGTGTGTGTTTGCATTTGTGCATATCCCGTCAGTTGAGCTAAATTTAGAGATCAACAGTGGTGTCCCCAACAGCTGTCCTCTGCCATGTGTGAAAAGGAGAGAGGAGTGAGACACAAAATAGTCAACAGTGCCTCCTCTGCTTATCTTCAGAGATTTGCTCTCTCTCTCTCTCTCTCTCTCTTCTCTTCTCTGTTTTATATCTTCACCTTCTTTGTAACCGAGGCTCATTGTTCCTGCTCCACTCTTGTCTCTTCTCATAGTGTCTCCTCTCTCCCTTCTCATCTTTTTTTCATCCTCCCTTTTATGCGATAAACTGTAAGATACTGTAAGGAAGGGTCAAGAATCCAGAGAGGCATTTCGATTTTTTTTTTCTTTTTTTGCGCTTCTTTCCTATTTCTGTTCACAGCAGCTTGACAAATGAGCCACACTTAGATGGGGCATGACTCACGCTCTGCCTAAGCATGTGTGTGTCTGTGTTTGTGTGTGTTTCTTCCATGCAAGTGTGTGTGAGTAAGTATGTAAAATATATTTAGCAGGGAGCGATGAGTCACAGCAGCAACAGAGCTCTAGGAAGGGATTATGTTACTCTGCTGCTCATCAGCAGACCTCTTACTGCGGCTGTGCGTATGTCGGCCCTCTGTTTCTAACGTTAGTATATACCGTCTCTACCTCTGAAGATCTGCATCCAGGACTATCACCTCAGAGAAGATTAACGGCCTTAAAAACCACAGGGTTCCTCCAGTATGGTGTTAGTCCTTAGACCCTCTCCGTCCAGTTTCGGAAGAGAGGAAGGGGTTGGAGGTTAAATGAACAGTTGGGATGTGACACGTGGATCAGCTTACTGAACAGGCGGTGCATTGACACATGTGCATCAAATTCTATTTATTGATTCCTGAAAGAGAGGGTCGGGATGTGCCGTGCCAGCTATGAATGCTTTGGGTGTGTTGGACTTGGACTCGTGTTTTAGAAATTGTTCCAACTTTTAAATTAAGCAGATTTCACTAATAACCATATATATATATAGTAGGAGTGGTAACATATTTAAGATTTAGGTAATTAGATAGATCTGTTATTGAGATCATGGTGACTGTTTTTGATTCAGAGGTTCAGATGCTTAGAGAAATTTGTGTGTACGCAGCGTTTTAAAGCCAGCCTCATGTGGGCCCTCAAGGAACTTCAGTTTTACCACTTCTGCACTGGCTTCACATTTTAAGACCTGGAGTTGCGAAATGGTTTGTCTGCAAAAGTAACAAAAAATCCCACAGAGAAAGATTCTGTGAAAATGTGGTGAGTTTTCAGAGGGAAAGGAGAAGTGAACTTTTGAGATTTATTTTGATGGATCTGTAAAGTGTCTCAGGATAAAGCACAGCTTTACCAAGAAGGGGGTTTTAGATTTTATTAAAGCACCCCTGAGGAAGTGAAACAGCTGATATTGAAACGGCTATAATTCAGGCAGCGTGCAGAAAAACTTTTTCCAACCTCAAAGCTGCTGTGAGGAACTGTCAGGAACCTGTGTAAGCAGTCTTTCAAACAAAAAAAAACTTATCCTGTTGTTTTTAGACGTTTGTCATGGAAAAAGTTACAAAACAGAGAAAGGACATTTTTTCCTGGTTGCTGTCAATCATCTGGTCACACACCCGCCCCCTCACACTGGTTTTATACATCAAAAATTACAACTGAGAGGTAGTTACTGTAAAAGTCCATAAAGCAGGGCTCCTACACAAGTATGGAATAGTATGGAAGTAATTTGATCAATTTTCAGTATGGAAAAATATTTATGTCAACAAACTATATTACCACAGTTATAAAATGCTGTTTTCTAAAACAGAAAAGAAGGTATTTCCAAAAATAATTCTAAAAAGTAGGGTATGGAAAAGTATGGAAATTCCAACTGTGTAGAGACCCTGACAAAGAGACATTCGTGTCAGTTTCTGTTTCTTTCTCAGCCTTTAAAAAAACTCCTCACTGCACCTTTAAATGAAACCAAAAATGGGCTGAAATGTAGAGAAGTTTAAGAAAATGCAACACTGTGATTTTTTTGTGTCCTTCTGCTTTCAGGTTGAAAATCGTCAAAATCTCCTTCAAGTGCAAACAGTTCTTCGTCCAGCTAAGGAGAGAGGCGGTGAGTGCACACAAATGCACACACACACACTCACTTACATACATGCGCACACATGCGCCATCTCCCTGCCACAGATGTGTCAAGCTCACTGAACAGATGGGCTTTATCCAAAATGTGTGTGTCTCCGTACATACTTCCTCTATATGAGCGTACGATGTGCTTAAGAGCGACGTCTGCATTTGTGTGAGTTTAATCAGAGTCAGATTAACCCCCTGCTGGCTGTGTCCTGGTTGACTGTGCTTTAATCCCCCGACTGTGTCCTGCATCTCTTGTTTGACACGTGGATCTCTTTTCTCTGCTTAACGCAAACAGACAGCTTATCTGTCACCTTCACAGTCAGCTTGATGTTTATTTCCATCTGCAGAGTCCACAGTTACTTTTCTCCCTCCTAACTTCAAGTTTTATCCTATTTTCTCTTAGTTTAGGTTGTGTTCATAAATGTACTGCTTGCGTTTTTCCTCCCTCCTCCTTTGTCATACTCCTCCACATCTTGTCCACCTGCTGCTATCAAGTTTTGGTCTTTTTTTTTTCAGTCTCTCTTCCTTTGTTTCTCTCGACCTCTGATTCATGCTCAAATGAATAATCAAGCTGAGGGAGTTCAGTCCAAACAGCTCCAAAGCCTGTTCGTCTAAAGTATTGCCCCCTTTGGCAACCTGAAAGTTTAAATGGAAATATTTTGAATTTTAAGTTTTAAAACGTTGGATATTCATTTTAATCAAATGCCTCTAGGCTCTGCAGATAGAGCACATTAAGCCTGATAAACGGTGACAATTTAAGTTGCTTTGATAATCACAGAAGCGGTGACTGTTTTTCTACTGACCTGCTTTTGAATTTAATAGAAACTCAGTTTGTAAAAGCTTGACATAAAGTCATCATTGAACACTCTCTGAATCCACTCCTCGGCTGGTAAAAGCCAGGGCAGTGAGATTGCAAAGCAGACCATAAATAGTACATAACTTTGATTATTATGATTAAAGCACACTTTCACAAAAAACTGTTTAATAGCTTAATTTAATGAAGGAACTGTTGAGTATTTAGCTTTGAATTGGCTTTGAATAATGAAGTATTTGTAAAATATTTTGCTGGAAATAATAACCAAACAATTGCAAAAGTGAGCTGAAGGATCAAAAAATCAAAATAAATGACTGAAAGTCATGATTAAACTTTGAAACAGTAAAACCTAAAATAAAGAGTGGGTAACATGTTGTAATAGCAAGCTGAAAGCATTGGCAAACATCTGAAACTACTAAATCTCGTAATGCAATATTCTCATAAATCATCGACAAAATATGGCTTAAAGCATTTGTTCTCCTGAAGTGAAGGATTAAAAATGAAAAAAAAGAAGAAAAACTGTCAGATAAAGTCTGAAAACATGAAGCTAAAACAGAAACTGTTAAAAACGGCACTTCATGTGACAAAACTCTGGCGAAAATATTTAATAAAATAAGTTTTAAAGTTTTGGTTAGACTCATTTTATCTTATAAATCTAACTTTAGTGTTCTCCAGCGGCTCTCTAACTGCTCTGCCTCCCCGCACACAGACTGAGACTCGAGAGACGCTGCTGGGTTTCAACATGGTGAACTACCGGGCCTGTAAAAACCTGTGGAAGGCCTGCGTGGAGCACCACACCTTCTTCAGACTGGAGAGGCCCATCCCGCCTCAGAAGAACTTCTTTGCTCACTACTTCACCCTGGGCTCAAAGTTCAGATACTGGTAAGGACACAGAGAAAATAAAATCCACAGAGCAAACAGGGAGTCTCTGAGAAGTCAGCCAGACAGACAGATGGACGTGCTCAGACACAGACACACACACACACATGCAGCAGACTTGTAGATGGCATGTTTGTTTGGAAGCTGATGCAGTCGTTTCACTTGAGGTTGAGGGGCTGAATCACTGGGAGTCTAGTGGGTGTCTCGCATGCTACCTTCCCTCAGAAAACCACAGCTAAATTATTCATGGTTCGCCTCAAAAAGAAGAAAAAACTAAGTTGTTTGTGTCTGGCCTTGCAGCCGTTCTTTTAAGTTTCGCAAGAGCCGCTTTGTGTTGTTGTCCGTGTGGAAGCAGCCGGCGCTAATCTCTTCACATTTCCCTGTACATCGCTTAACTTGGTACTGCAGTGTGTCATGGCCCTCCAATTTACTTTCACTTCATTCGTATCTTTTTTTTTTTTTTTTAATTTCCTTTTTCTCAGAACTGTGAGTGAGACATGAAATGAAAGTTGAAGGTCTTGTGATGCATTATTGAGCAGCAGTGATGCAACGTTAGCTAGCCTTGCTCTCAGGCTTGGTAGAGCTTGTGTGGGTCTGTTTATGCCCTGAAGATGTTGACTGACTTTCCAATCGAGAAACCATTTCAATGGCAAAATGTTCCTTCTTATTCAGTCAGATTTTCGGCCCGTCTTTGTCTCGATTTGAAGTTTCGGTGTCTGTTTTTGATGTTTCTCTCTGAAGTGGGCGGACGGAGGTGCAGTCTGTGCAGTATGGAAAGGAGAAGGGCATCAAGGACAGAGTCTTTGCCAGGTAATAAACACATCCTTTTTGGTGGGGGGTCGCTCGTGTCTAGATGTCGCAATGCTTTCAAGTATAAATAAACACAGCATTAAATGTAATGTGTTGCTTCTACTGTTACTACTACGTGGCATCAATCCAATTGAAGTCCTCTTTCATGCAGATCTCCCAGCAAGCCATTGGCCAGGAAGTTGTTGGGTGGAACAGACTGGGAGTCAGTCAGCAGGAACAGCCTATCGGATGAGAGATTGGAGACCCAAAGCCTGCCCACACGCTCACCGCCTGGGACGCCCAATCAGTGAGTCCAAAATTCAGGGTCCATGTCAGACTGAGGGTTTCTTCAGCGTCATGTTCAATCATGTTCATAGTTCAGATCTACATACTTTATCATCAGTTATTTTCCATATTTTTAACATTCTCCTTGTTGGTAATATGTTATAGAAAATTTTAATTTCAAAGACCCATAAGTATGTTAAAGCTGATCATTTGTACAAGTTTCTAAAGATATTCAATCAAGGAAGTGGAGTGTCAAATTTTCCAATAGTCTTGAAAGTAATTTTGAGAAACTGCTGTTTATACATGTTGAAAATTGTTGTTTTGAGAGGAAATAATTACACTGTTTACTTGTTGATCTGATGAAGATTCAGACATTTCTGCGTATGCTCCTCAGGAACTCGCTGTTTGTCCAAGAGGGCACGCGGATACGCCCCTCATCGGTCGGGCACCTGGTTGATCATGTGATCCACGCTTCACCCAGCCTGCCTGTCTTCTCCTCCAATCACAAATCAGCATCGTCCACACAGGCTAACAGCATCAGCTTGGACTCGACACCGTAAGTTCGCCATTTTGTAACTCTCGTTTCTCCATTCGCTCACGTCCCACCCTCTGTCCTCGAAGCTGTTTCTCTTTGAGGGGAAAAAAAAAAGACTCAGCCCCGACTTGGTGACAGGGATACAGACTTGGCTGTAAATGAACTACCTCATAAAAAGAAGCACCCCTACAAAACAGGCGCCCTTTAATTAGGAAGTTTAATTTTACTCATCAGCGCGAGTGCCACTCTGTCTGAGCGCGCCGCTGAGTTGACGTGTTTTTAAATGTCTGTCTGTGTCTGTGGCTTCTCTCGACAGTTCACACCCTCTCACACTGTCACTTAGCCGGCCTCATTGGAAAGATGAACCCTTTGAGAAACAGCTTGTAAAATGTGTTTATAGAGGATAACAGGGTGGAGAGGAGGGGCTGAACGGAGAATTAGTGTATGGGCGATTTCTGCAAAACCTTGTTTTTCCCACATCATAAAATAAGTGGGGAATTCCTTATAAGTCCCACATGCCTGTTTCCACAGCCCAAAAGCCTTTAAATAAGAGTGATGTAGTTCAAGTGAGTCACCTTTAGAGAGCCAGAGGATGTTATCTGAGGCTTAAGAGTAAAGACACAGAGACAAACGCTGATTAGTCAAACCTTTATTCACCCTTAAACAGAATGCTCTGATTTATTTTTATCTGTCTTTCAGTAAACCTTGGTAGTCTCATATCTCATGTCCCTGTCTCGGGGTGCCGTCGCGTGGCTTTCTGGAGTTTGGTATTTGTTAGCTTCATTGATTTCAAACCTGGTGAACTTTGAGATAGAAATACCAAGCACAGACCTGTTTGAACTGCAAACATATCAAATTATTTGCTCTTTGCTCACTCAGTCGGCGGCGCTTGCGTGACGTTTCAAGAGGCGTGTGTTAGCACAATGCCGGGGTGGTCGGTGCCAGAGTTTCTGCAAATCTTTTATATTGAGCTGAAACAGAGCCAAGCCATTTTCCTGGACCCTCTGAGCTAAAGTCTGCGATTTCAATGAGTTATATGATCGTTATTATACGGTTTATCTGTTGATACTGTAGGTGTGTGTGTGTGTGTGTGTGAGAGCGTAGAAAAGAGAGGGAATGGAGGTGGAAGGATGGAACATTGCTCAGTTGGAAGTCAGAGTGGTTAAGTAACATTACAGTGTAAGTTCCGCTGCCTACAAGGCTACACACACAAACACACTCACACACACGCTCACACAGTATCACACGCCAAATAGTTGGTTCATCACTGTTATGGAGCCAAACCATGACATAATCACCTGCTCCTTTTTGCTCAGACAGCACACAGATAATCCACGATTATTATTGTTGTGATTTAGTTTTTATTTCCAATCGTATTCTCAACCCCGCCCTACGTTTGCTGTTTTTTTAAAAACTTTATTATTTTATGTTTTATCAGTCTGAAAAATCCCAAACTTATAGACTTAAAAACCCACTTTTTGCTCACTTGACCACTCTCACTGCGAATTTTGCAGTTTCCCTCTCACTTACGAAAAGTGTGTTTTCACTCCAGCTCAGAAAATGTTCGGACACTGAACAATATTGACTTAACCGTCTCAATGCTTCGTCTCCAATAAAAACTAAATCAGAACAGTTTTAAATCACACAGACCAGAGTATTTTACAGTGACAGCTCCATATGCATGAAATAGAGCTAAAACAATCCCTGTATGATGTTCTGTTTTTAGTTTGGTGGAGCGGCAATTATAAATTTAGCTAACCACCTCATAAGACGCTGATGGGTTTTAAAATGCAGTGTCTCTGTCCTTGACACTGTCGATGAAAGTAAAGGTTCAATTATATACTATAATGCATATGTACTATAATCTGCTCTTTTCAAGCATAGATTTAAAATAGAGAGTGGATTTAAAAATAAGCTGGTTTTAAAGGCGGCAGGGGTGTGCACTTCAGTGTTGTTTGAATTGGCTGGTTTGTTGGATCCAACATAACAGTTTCCCACTCATGTGAACGAGCATGTGGTTATTTAGTCACTCATTTATGACATCCTCTGACAGGCCCTCAGTATATCACTTGAACCTAAAAGTAGACACTTGGGATTTGGTAATGGTCAGATTATCTGTGAGGAGGATGGCTTAGTAGTACCCGCTGCAGATCAAATCTCCTTATGTCAGGACTGTGGACAGCTCAGGAGCCGGTATGAAGACGCTTCCATATCCATTTCACTTGTCCGTGTCGTGTCGAAGAAGCACACTCATGTAGGAGGATGCTCGGCCTTGGCTCAGGCCTGCTGTGCGTTGCCCTCGTTCTGCGAGCATGACCTGGTTTTGACCCATAATAAATGATCTGTTTCTGTGCGTGTGTTAAAGACGCAAAGTGGCACCAGCAGCATCAGCCAAAACATAGGCGATGCTCTTTGACTGGTGCACTTCTCCCCGAGGAGAGCCTGCGCACGAGCTCTCACACACACACATTTACAGATCCAGATGCAGTGTGAAATGACAGGCTTTTTACCCCCCAGAGAGTGGGACACGATGCTGCTGAAAGCCTTACCTGACTGACCGCGTTGTTTCATCATACACACTGGCTGCCTTTTATTGTCCGTATGATGGAGGAGGGGGGTGTTTTCCTTCCTTGCGCTGCCTTTTTATTGAGGTTAATGCATTGTGACTAACACAGTGCTATTAAGCCTCTCTGTCTCTTGCAATCTCTGTCTCACCCGCTCCCCTTTATCTGGTTTTCTCCATTTGTCTCCTCTTTTTTTAACCAAAGGCCTCCTCTTTGTCAAACAGACACAACAAGCCGCGAGATCACTTCTTTTATTTTCCCTGCCTGTGTGTGTCTGACCGTATTTGAAAACCAAAATGTCAATGAAGTTTGTGATTATTTACTACTTTTTTGTGTCTTTATTTGTAATTTCAAAGACACAAGTTTGATAATGAAAACTGGAGGTGTAAAAGGGAATGATCACATCTTTTTTAATCGGAAAGCACTAATTCAAAACTTAACCTTTTGCTGTATCCGTCTCCGGTCTGTCCTTTCCCTTCATTAGATCTCCAGAGGGGGTAGACGGCCAGCCCCCAGCCTTGCCCCCAAAGCAGCTGAGCAGAAAGACCTTGAGTCAGATCATCCAGGCTCACTCGCAGCAGAGCCTCCTGGACAACCACCTCAATGAGATGTACGATGTTCCCGTCAATGCTGATAAGACAACGGTCAGTATCAGGACACGACACTGTCATTTTTCGGAAATCCAATACCATGCGTGGCTGTGGAGGCCATTTGATTCGGTGTTGAGCAAATGATAGAGCACGGATGAATTAACCACCTATACATGGCTTTATGCTGCAAACTAAAGATGCAGAAACAGGCACAGGGTGGTGAACATACCTTGACTTGTAAAAGAAGATATAAACTTTCTAGATAACTCTTTTTTTTAAAAAGCTTGTGTATTTGTTTTCTTTCAGCCCCCTGGTGGCCATAAATCAAAACTGGAAGCCTCAAATCTTGAGCTTTATTTACATTGTGGAGTAACTATTTAGGTCATCCGCTTATTATTTAAAAAATGATTCAAAAAAGTGAGAAAATTGTGTATGATTTCTTTATTTTATCATAATTAGCAAGTACTACACCCTAGACAAAGTATTTCTGTGTAGGATGGTATTAAAAAAAGTCATCCTCAGATATAAACATGAAGTATCTCTGCTGAATTTTCCACCTGCAGCTAAATGGAGTCGTCCCTCATGATAACTTAGTCCTGATCAAGATGAGACCTGACGAGCACGGACGATTCGGCTTCAATGTCAAGGTAAAGTCTTACACCAGTTAGGACACAAAAGAAAAGAAAAGTGATTCGTGATCCAACTGTTGTTCTCAGTCGCTTCTCTCTTCATCCATCTGTTCCTCCATCTCTCCTCTTTCCTTCTGCTAATTAATCAAAACCCTTGGCACCAATTGTCTGTTTGAATAATGACCATTTCTCTGTGCCTCTTACTTTGTGAGAGAGAAACCCGTGCTCAGCTTTCTGCTGTTATCAGCATGTTTGTGTTTGTGTGGTTTTAGGGGGGAGCTGACCAGAAGATGCCCATCATCGTGTCTCGAGTGGCTCCAGGAACATCTGTAAGTTCAGAATTGATCTAATAAAGCAAGCGGAAGACTCAGTTCGCAAATTTCAAATTGCTGCTGCAGTAAAGTGAACCAATACTGAAGTGATCGATTTCTCTCTCCTCAGGCCGACCTGTGTGTACCTCGCCTTAACGAGGGCGACCAGGTGGTCCTCATTAACGGTCGGGACATCTCTGACCACACCCATGATCAGGTGGTCATGTTCATTAAGGCCAGCTGTGAGAGCCACTCCGGGGAGCTTATCCTGTTGGTCAGACCAAACGGTGAGTGTGTTAACCATAGACATTATACACCTAGACGCCTCATTAGGTGCTGGAGCGTAATCCAGCGTCACCGCCATATTGGATGTGTCTCCCCACTCCAGGCTCAGTCAAGAGCCAAATGGGGTTAATGGACAACGAGCAACTATGCCCGTATTTTTGCACTCTATGGTTGGAAGACCCAACGCATTATTGAAACCAGATCACGTAAGATTACATTTTACATATGGGATTGAAAAATAATTTGGTTTATTTTTAATGTGTGACATTGTCCGGTATTATGGCTACATCCCTGCAGTTGTAACAAACCAAACAGTGTGAAAATCAGGCAGACTTTCGGAGAGTTATCATTAATATGGTTGGGCATTCCTACCTACCTTAATGCACTGGAGGCGCATGGGGGACCCATCCAAGATGGTGGCTGCGCTGATACCTGAGCTCCAATAGGCAGCGTCAGGCTTTGAGGCGTCTACTTATATTAGGTCTATGGTGTTAACTTTATTGAGGGTGACCATATTCTGAATCCCTGAAAAGAGGACACGACTACGAATCACGGAGTCGCACATAGTTTTGAGAGTTTTTCGGGTTGGATCGAGTGTTTTTTACGCGCTACTAACTTAATAAACCTACGAAGCACAAACTCAAAACTTCCATACAAGTCATACAACATTTGAAGGATTTTATAAACCACCCTGGACAAAGTCGGACAAGGCTGGACAGGTCGGTCATCCCCCAAAAAACATGTCTGGGTAAAAGAGGACGTATGGTCACCCTACTATATTAGCCCTGTAAATCATGCCTAATCAGCTGAACTGACCAGTCAGGTGAATTTCTGACATGTTAGAAATATCGGTCAGGTGTCTTTATCTTTGTGTACAATTAAAGCAAGGATATGAGCCATTTACCCATTGTCAGGGCTTTTGTTCCTGTTTCCTGAGTCTGAAAGCACCATGGCAACACTACAGATGATGTGGAAGTATAAAATTCTATAATCTTGACATAATAACCACTAAACATCAACTCAATGAGATGTTGCATGAAGTACGAGAGTAAGAACCTGGCAAAGTGTAACATATGGACAGCCTGTTCAGTCCACTTCTGGATATTAACAGTTGCACATCTGGCTCCCAGTTTGGATTCTTCTGCTCTCCTCAGTCTCACACGTGCAGAGCTCTACTGTACAGAATGTACATTTTACTTTCTGTACATCTCGCCTGTACGTTTTCATCATGCGGAAAAAACTGCGATGGATTTCTTTTTAATCAGCATCAGCGAACTGAGGGGCAGCTTTAAAAGATGATGAAACATGGAAATTCTTGGTATTTTAAATGGGTCAGAGAGGGATTTATGCATTTTATCCTCTCTTACATCAGAGCGCATATAAGATTTCATCAATGTATGTAACGCCTGTCAATTCATATTTGTTTTGCCGCTTATGTAAAATATATGCTTATAGATATTTCCACATTTGAACTATATGTTCCCCTGGTGCATTGGTTGTGATTTTCAGGGTTTTCTTTCCCTTCCATGTGTTTCCTTTCATTACACCCTTAAAGATAAATGATTTCCCCTCAGGCCTCTGCCTACATAAACAGCTGTTTGTGTACAAACTGTGACATATTTTCCTTCCTGTCTCACTCAGCTATTTATGACGTGGTGGAGGAGAAGGTGGACTCAGAGCCAGATTTTCAGTACATCCCCGAGAAGTCCCCTCAGGACCCCACACAGCTAGACCAGCATGCTTTGAGGGACTCCATGGTCACCCTGAAGGAAGGCCTGAGCAGCGGAGCCATACTGGCACAGTTTGATGTAAGAAAAGAGACTCGGGGCTCACACAGACTTATAAATTCAAAGCTTATTTTCACATTCCTGTAACTTTCTGTCCATTATGAAAATCGCTCAGCAGTTTCCTGTTTACTGTCCGAGTTATTCCTGGAGTTATGAGGAGTTATGGATGCAAAGCACACACGCAGACTTACTATGACTTTGCATAAAAGCAGAGAAATGACGCCGTTTTTCCATTTTATACCAGTTGAATGTAAATATGTTTCCTCTCTTACAGCAACTGTACAGAAAGAAGCCGGGGATGACCATGCTGTGTGCCAAATTACCTCAGAACGTTTCCAAAAATCGCTACAGAGACATCTCTCCTTGTACGTGACTGCACAGACATTAACCTTCAGTGACTTCAATCGCACGCCACTGTTGTTGTTTTTTTTTACTTCTCTTGTGTTGTCAGCTCCTCTCTCTTTTTCTCCACGCTGCATTTCTTTATATAAGCTCTAACCCCATCTGTTGTCTGTCCCTCTCCCCTCGTCAGATGATGCCACGCGGGTCATCCTGAAAAGCACAGATGACTACATCAATGCAAATTACATCAATGTGAGTTTCTCGCTCCTCCTTACTTCTTCTCTTTCATCTTTCCGGTCCATATATCTGCTCTTTGTTGGTTGGAGGCGTGGTGGGTGGTCTGTTACGTTAACTATCAAAACACATGTTGAACGGGCATGCTGGTGAATGAGTTAACCACATCCACTTTACAAGCGAGTAACACCGTGAGTTAATGTTTTGCATGTTTTTCACATCAGTCAGTGAAGTTAGCAGCACCTTATTGATGTTTAATGGTTCAGTGTTTTGACGTAAACTTTCCTTACAGCTTATTTAACTTGAGGTGATACATTTTCAGATTAACGTTCCTCAGTGTAGAATTGCAAAAGTATTCAAAGGTGAAAAGGGAAATCTCTATGCAAATGAGACAAGGCCAAAAACCGCTCTGGATGGCTGTGAACTTACGGCCCTCAGACACATCTGCAACTCACCTCACTTGCTTGGAATAAGTTGGAGTTGATCGCTGCACTCACAAATCCGGGTTACCATGATTCAGAAACACTGGCGTCTTCTCTGAGTCCAAACCCACCTAAGATGGACTAAGGCAGAGTGGAAAACTGTCCTGAGCTCAAACAAATTCAACAGTCTTTTCTGGAAATCACGGACGCTGCATGCTCCACTCTAAAGAGAAGAGGGATCACTTAGTTTGTCATCAGCAGCCAGCATCTTCGATAAAATGGGGATGTAGAAGTGCCTCACTTGTGTGTTGTCCTTGCATTGTTTCCCGATATAGGCTTTAAAGGGAGCAATCTATCAATTTGTTTCTATAATCATTCGACTCAGCCGAACTCATTTGCTGCTGTGTCTGCATGTGAAACACTGTTGCTTTGTAGTGATTTCACTCAGACTCCTCTGTTAGAATAATGCTACTACGTCTGACCTTGCAAGTGACTCAAAGCCGTATTCAAGCAGAAAACCAACCACTGTTACCTTGCCTGCACGTTGAAGTACTGTCGAGTGTGTTAAAAAGCTTGATTTATATTTTGCTCAAGTGTTTGGGCCTCGTCGTACAATCTAAAGGCATTTGGCTGTCTGTTGTAAACGCACAAAGCACATGGAGAAAGAGATGCTGTGAGGTGACCTCTTTCGATCTCTTTCTGTGTTTTTCTCTCTCTTCAGATGGAGATTCCAGCCTCCAGTCTTATAAACCGCTACATAGCGTGCCAAGGCCCGCTGCCCAACACCTGCCCTGACTTCTGGCAAATGACATGGGAGCAGGGCTCATCCATGGTGGTCATGCTGACTACGCAGGTCGAGAGAGGGCGGGTAGGTCGAGGAATCCAGCACCGAGCAAGACTGATTACCATATATGGAGTGTAGCCTGTCAGGAAATAGAACTCTATCATAAAATGATCCTTTTAAAACGAGGCTTTGAACTTCGCCTTCCTGATAAAACCAACCTTTATTAGAAACGCCAAGTCTCGACTCTGAGTTAGTCTGTTAGATGCCATAAACACATTTCAGAAGCACACAGGAGGTTCTTTCTTTATCATTTTTAATCCCTATTAAATTTATTGTAATGCTTTCTTTTACAGTACACTTATTACCAGGTAATTAACAGGTAATTACCTAGTAACAACATGAAATTATCTGGTAATTACATGATAACTAATAAGTCAATACTGTCCAGCTACCAGGTAGGTAACCTTCCATCATCATACAAATTTGAAGCTGAATTGCTCTGGTATTTCCAGGTTTTTATCCGCTTCCTGGAACCACCACTTGCACAGTAGCATTGTACGCATTCTGCGGGTGAGTCGCTGTGATAATGCTCGGCTCAAACAGTGTATCGCTACGCAATCTTCGCACGCCCATAGGCTGTATCAAGTGTCAATCATAGAAAATAAGAACCCCAAATAGCTTTTGAAAATGGAGCTGCACAGAAAAAAAGAAAAACTAGACAGTATTGACTTAGTAGTTATCATGTAATTACCAGATAATTTCATGTTGTTACTGTTAATTACCTGGTAATAAGTGTACCGTAAAAGAAAGCATTACCAATTTATTGAATATTATCTTCTCTTTTGTACATTTGAGCTTGATTTATAAAGTACATAAAACATTGTGTTGCTGCGAAAAGGATCCTACTAAGAACGCTTAATCATCAAACTAGGTGTGAATAAAAAAAAAAAGATATTCTGAGAATCCTCACAGGAGGTTTGACATGACTCCAGATGGACTGCATGTACTGCATATGCTGTTTCTTTATACATAAAAATGTAGTACCGGAGAACAGATGGCTAACTCAAGGAGAGAGAGATGCTGCTCTGTACCGCAGCCTGACCTCTAACCCCTGAGCAGAGAAAAAAAAACAGTCAGGACCGGAGAGGTAAAAAAATGATGATTTGTAAGAGGAGTGTGTTTGTTTACAGGTGAAGTGTCACCAGTACTGGCCCAATCCAGACAGCAGCGCCGCCTATGGAGACTTTACAGTAACGTGCCACAATGAAGAGGGCAACTCTGCCTTCCTGGTCCGGGAGATGACTCTTGTGCACACACAGGTAAGCGCACAAACACTCTGTAAATGATAGGTAATAATGCTATGAACAGAGGGTGGAGGTAAGGGTGTGAGAGGGTGTCGGAGCTGCGCACAGAAGCAGGTTAGAGAGGAGGAAGACGGCAGCACAGAGGGAGAGAAAGAGGCGCTGGGTCCAATCATAGAGAGGGACTGGTGTCTCAGGAAAGGATGAGCCGCTGAGGACCCTGAGGAGGTGTGTTGCCATAGTGACCGGTGTGGGCTGTTCTTTTTCTGGCTCCCGCTGCTGCATGCAGGCCACGTATTGGGATCCGGTTACCATGACAACCCAACCACCCCTAGTCAGTCACATTGCTTAAACAGAGAGCGAATAAAAAAGAAAAACAAACAAACAGAAGAGAGAACAGAGAGTGGGACGACGAGAGTTAGCAAACACGAACGGAGAGTCGAAGTTTGTCTTTTGTTACCTTTTAGATTTTTACATTCTCACCTTCACTGAGTAACTTTTACACTCCTCTGTTTACCAATGCAGCGTGGCTTTGCTGTAATTCATCAAACACTTTATCGACCCGTGAAAACGAACTTGTAGTGTCGGACGTGACGCTGCTGCCGTTCACCCGTCACCTCCCGCCGCCTGTGCTTTCCCGATCACCTCCCCGTGTGTTGCATGCGTACCGTGACCTTTTGAAATGTACGGCTGTAGGAGGAGGCAATTAGCATTCTCCTCTGCCTGTGATTGTTGCCATGGAGATAGATGTGTTACCATGGCGATGCAGTGAGGCAGCATAAAAGAGGAACACACAGGGGCTCTGAGTCGCTCATGAAACAGTGGTCTGTAGTTATCTGCTGTAGGTTCTGTGTGTGTGTGTTTGTGTGTGTAAGTAGTCATCAGTGTGTCCCTGTTGGGTTTAAATCTGCTGACTCTTACTTTTTTTTATCCTGTTTCTCTTTTTTTTTACTCTGCCTACCAACTGTGGCATGCCAAGTGTGATATAAAGCATAAATGATTTAAAAACAAAGAAAATATCGTCGTAAAAATCTCTTTCATGAACGTCTCGAATCTCCAGGTGGACCATCAGAGTGAAGGAAGCGGTCTGTGTTATTCATGCCACCTGTTTCATAACATTTAAGATCATAGTCACACAAACAGGGCGCTCGGCAGTCTCTGACCCTTTCAGATCAGAAGCTCAATGAAACACGGGATGAGGACGCCCACATGAAATACGATAACCTATTTTGAGAATGAGCGATATCAGAGGATGTTAAGTGCTTGTTTGGGGGTTCTTAGTTCTTGACTGTGGTGAAAGTTCCAGGTTTCCAAGGGTCATGAAATAAAGAAAAATACCTTAAAGGTGGTACTTTGGTTTTTAATGTAAAGTTAATCATATTCCGATTTTCCTTTTCTGTGTGTTTTCAGAGTGAGCAGCAGAGAGAGCTTACACAGATTCAGTACCTCGCGTGGCCAGACCATGGCGTTCCTGATGACTCCACTGATTTCCTCGACTTTGTGGCTCTGGTACGGACCAAACGGGCCGGACAGGACCAGCCGATGGTGGTACACTGCAGGTACAGATGTTTGTCAGTGAAATAACAGAAGTGCTTGTTTACACTCGACTTGTATGTGTGTTAGTCGATAATCTTCAGAGGATGACATGGTTTCTCCATCGCTTTCCCCCTCTCCAGTGCAGGGATTGGTCGGACAGGGGTTCTGATCACCATGGAGACGGCGCTGTGTCTAATGGAGTGCGGTCAGCCAGTGTATCCTCTTGATATTGTCAGGACCATGAGAGACCAGAGAGCCATGATGATACAAACACCTGTACGTAAATATATACATATGAGGCGACAGCACCAGCGTTTGTTAAACAACTATGTCTCACATTTTCTTTTCGCACAGAAAAACTTTAATATTAAAGGTTAGAAATATTCTGTCCCCATTATTTTTCATACACTCAGTCTTATTTCTTTCAGTATGTATTTGGGAAGAACCACGAAGACCTGTTGTTAGTATTTTTGTGGACCAATATTTACAAACCTAATTCAAAGAAAATGGGATGATGTGTAAAAACGGATCCCAACAGATAATATTGAACGAAAACAGCATTTTAAACTTTGAATCTTAAGATATTGTCTTCTCATATGAAAACTATCTGTGATTTTGAGTCCATGCGGTAACTTCCACTACAGAGCGAAGTCAGCTTTTAATGCAGTGCTGCCTGAAGGCTTGAAGATCATGGCCATCTAGTGTTTGTTTTAGCCTCGCCCCTGTATACAAAGGTTTTTCAGATTTTTTTTGAACCGTTATGGATATAAAATTAATGGACATCCTAATTCTTTACAGCTCTGCTCTGAGGGATATAGCTTTACTCTGTTTTTATCAGCGGTTTTACTTTACACGCTAAATTCCCCCCCTTTGTCTGTCTTTACCAGAGCCAGTACCGCTTTGTGTGTGAGGCCATCCTGAAAGTGTACGAGGAAGGCCTGGTCAAACCACTCAAGACCGCCATCTACCAGCCGAGGGAGAAGGTGGATGAGGAGAGAGGAGAGGAGAAGAAAGAGCAGCAGAAACCAGGAGGAGAGGACACAGCAGGGACAGAGGAAAGCGAAGCCGCTGTGGTGGATTTGCTGGAGGGAGGTCTGGACGAAGAGGACGACGACGACGAAGAGGTGGAGGTGCTGGATGTGGGAGAAGTGACAGAGGACGGGGAGGAGGAGGAGGATGAAGAGGAGGAGGACGAGGAGGTGGAGGAGCCAAGTGTTGCAAGCGCCACCAGCGTGACCAGCGAGACCAGCGTGAACCCTGACCCTGACCCCGACCCTGCTAACCCGTGACGGGGTCACTAGAGGAGAGAACAAAAGCACTGTTGCACTTTATGCTGATAAAAATGGAAAAAAAAGACACAAACGAACAAAAGTGAAAATCACGGACAAGCTCGAATTTAAAAAAAGAAATCCAGCTGTGTTGAATAGGTACCATTAGGGGATATCGTATGTTCAGGTTGAAGAAAAAAGTATTCGGAGAATGAAAAAGATAAAAGTACGAGAGAATAAAACGTGGATGGGGAATTGCTGTAGTGCCATAAGTACGAAGGGGAAGGGCTGCCCTCCTTGATGGAAAGGTTTTTTTTCCCGTTTTTATTTCCCCCAAAGGGTCGCCCTTTCCCCTTCAGAGCGAGTCTGCCAGACGGACCTGCCTTTTTTTTTAGTCCTTTTAGCTGATAAAGAGATATACCTTATCTTTTGTTCCTCAGAAAGAGTATTTATTGTGTTTTAGTTTGTGTCAAACCCTGTCCACTGAACAAAAAAACTTGTATGTTTGTTTGTATGAATCTAGAGCTTCATGCTTTTCCTGATTAAATCTTAGCTAGTAAAGTAGTGCGATTCCTCTTCTTCTAACTACTTCTTTATTTCTTTTGCTTTTTGTGGAGAAAAAAAAAACAGTGATTTAATTTATTGTACTTGGTTTTATCTTTCTCGGCTTTCTTGTCTATGTTTCTGACAGCACAGACTGACAGACGGACAGCTGAAAGCACTTTGTGTCTCACCTCTTGTTCAATGCTGTGGCGAGTTGTTATTCTTTCTCCTGCGTTGTGCTGTGTTTTTGAGCTTACAGACACACGCTCTGAGGCGGCCGTCGTTTGGCGTGGTGAAGAACGTTACTGGTTTACAAAACTCGGGGCCTGTGTTTACTGGGCACCTCTCACATCGGATACAAACCTCTTATTTGAAGACATAATGATAGAAATTGGGTTAAATTGTCCTTGACGTTAACAGCACATTGGGTCAATCAAAGAAAATAAAAACGGTGTCTTACTGAGAGGCTCCGGTAAACACACGGCCTCACTGACTTACAATCTAAGCTATTTCCAAGCCCTTTGTGGCAGATAAAGCTAAGAAACAAAGCTGAGGTCAGTTCATGTTTGTCGTCAAATTCACATGCAGACAATTTGATTTTAAAACCTGAAACAGTCAGCGGTCCCTGAACCGGGCAGAGACCACAAACTCCAACTGTATTGGATGTGAAGCTATGACTGTTAGCTAAAAAAAACAGGTCAGAGTAATTTGAAACATGCTTTACATGCTTTACATGTAGGTATTTTTATGCAACAGGTCTTTGTTTGAGGTTTCTGCTTGATGAATTGACAGTGAACTGATCTCAAACTGTGTGTGAATGGGGAAAAACACGAGTTTAAAAGCTCCCTCCACTGACCTCCTCACTATTTCTTCATTTACTTCAAGAGGGTCAAGACATTAGGAGTAAACCAAGATGTCAGCATACACATTTGTAGTCGTGATGAGACTTTTTTTTTTTTTGAGTTTGGATGGGGGTTCAGAGGTCACTGGAGCAGCGGCTTTAAAACAACCTTTGCTGTTTATTTTCTTTCCAGATCTGTCTGATCACCTGCCGGAGAACCGTAGACAGTTCACAGAGGCAGCTCAAACAGAACATCCAACCAGTACTCTTCCTTTTTTTAAATGACTTTTCCCAATGGTACTTCATTTTAACGGCACATGTTTTCAAGGCTAAATGATGTGTTAATGAGTGATAAGAGACTAAGTGACGATTTGTATTTTAATTCACAAAACCCAGCATCAAGTCGCTTGTCGAGTCATTCTTTTTTTTTCAGAAGTTCAGACAAGTGAAGCTGCCATTTATTTTTTTTTTACATATCGGTATGGAATGAAGTGTAGCCTCTTCATGAATCGAGATGTTTTCTTCGGTACCTGCTGTCATTGGCTTCTTCCATAGACTCTGCTGGAGAAACCTACTGCTGTGAGTGTGCGAGAGTGCGCGTGTGTGTGTGTGTGTGAGTGTTTATAGATTTCAGTCTTTAATTTTCTCTCCCTCTCAAACTCTCTCTCCTCCATTTCTAACACATAGTTTGTTAGCTGTCTGGTCTAAGCCTGCTTGTCTGTTAACTGGAATGAAGGGTTGTGTCTTACAGCCATAATCTAACGTGATCTCGAGCTTTTTCTGCGAGACAGAGCCCTCATGGTGAGTTTTAGAAGTCTGTCCTGACTACCAGGCTCGATCTTTGCCTGTAAAACATTCAAACTGTGCTCATACCTCCATATCAAATAGCTGAGTCATACTTTTGCCACATGGAGAGGTGGGATCAAAGAAAGCCCTGAAACAGCTTCCCTCTTTTCTCCTATATTGCAGCCCTCTCCCAAAAATCGGCCTAAATCCTTCTCTCAGGCAACATCAGTCATTTCAGCAGAACCCACGCAACATCCACAGCCCATTCTCCTCATTGTTCCTCCCCAGATGCCTCTCCTTTTTTGGATCATATACATGGATCCCACTCTCTCTGCATGGCCTCAAGGCAAATGACACATCTGAGCAGGAAACTTTGGGGGTACGGCAGCACAGTATCACGCTTGTTTTACACACAAGGACACTCTGAGAACGACTGAAATTAATCCAAATTCAGAAAAAATGGCAAATCTGAGCATCAGAAGAACAAAATAAAAAGCCCTCGTGGCCTCTTCTCATCACTCTTTGTCCTCAGCAGAGGGTCCCATCCAAATCAGATTTACATCCAGAGAAATTAATTACCGTCAAAGGCCTCCTGGCAAAGTGGCATCAGTAACAAGTTCTCAAAACCTCGACAGTTTCCAACGACAAAATAAAACATCAGCCCTGTAGTGAAAAAGTTAATAATTGATACATCAGGGCTGCCAGGGTTTCCATCTGCGCAACATGTCCGGCAGTGAGCTGTCTGTGTTCAAAGTGTTTTGTTGTTGACACATAATCGGTACTGTCTGTGCGTTTAGGGTACTGATCAAAGGTGGTTTGGAGGGGAGGGCTCGGGGTTAGTTGTATTTTTGTAAAGATGAAAACAGCTCTAGGCGGGTAGGGAAAGGACAGCACTTTGTAGAAGGCTGAGTGGCAGGTAGTGCTACTGAAAAAAAAAAGAGGAGAGTCGGAGACATTAAGCATTGTTAAAATCCTTTTTTTTTTTAATTTGATTTGTCATTTTTATTTTGTTTAAAAGTACGACCTGTAGGGAACAAGAAAAAAGACAAGAACTCCTAACTACACAGTGCCACTTGTTAATTTTGTGTAAATAATACTAGACCATGTAAATACAATGTTGTATATGAAAAAAAATCTTTAAAATAAAAGGGAAAATCATTTGTGAGCAGAAAGATTTTGTTTTTATTTTTGATTTTTTTTTTGTTTTGTTCTCCTTTGGATGATTCAAATGTGACACAAATGGTGTGTATTTCAAGACTGCTATTTCAGAAGTTCTGTTTTATTTGAAACTGGTCTATAACAGCGAGTGTATATATAATGAAACACAAAATAATGAGAAATGTTTTACCGTATTATACCCTTGGTTAACTTCTACCTGTGTCATAAAAACCTTTGTCCTCAGTTGCTTGTTTCTTTCTGGTATCTTGGTTTTACAGTGCTTTGGACATGTCTATAAGCTTGATTGTGAACAATTAAAGCTTGTCTGTCAAAGCATGGAGACGTGGCTTCAGATCACCTTGCTTTTCCACACTGTAAAAGTGAGGTTGGGCAATTGAAGAGTGAAGAAATGTAAAACAACATGACAGAGTTAAGAAACTAAGACCAAACTGTTAAATCTCTATTGTAATACAGTCCCATTTACAGTTAGTCATCTATGAAAGAGTTAAATGACGTTTTTGATTTTATGAATAGTATAGAAGTAAATTTTTGGGACAATACATGGCTGAAAACTGATTAGATTTACTGTAACATCAGATTATTTCCTTTTGTGCACCAGAGGCTTATATTAGACTCCTTGTTACTACTTTTAAATGCCCTAAACCCTTAAAAAATACAAATTACACCCACTTTAATTTCTGTGATTATGCGGCCAAGTGCACAGAATTATTTTCAGTGTACACAAACAAAAATATGCCTTTCTCATTTACATACAGGATCAGTCTAGGTATGTATTGCTGGAAAGAATTGCATGTTTGTTTACAGCAGCATTAATCTCATTACTCAGAGCCTCTATGCACACAATGCTACCAGAACCCAATGAGCAGATTTTCAAGCAACAAGGTCTGTCTCTGCTGGATCACATTTATTTATCAAGAGTCTTAAATTGACCAGAGGGGGGCACTGCCGTCAAATGGTGTTAGACGTCAACCGTAGGTCTTGTTAATATACAGAAAAAGGGACTGAGGGGTCCATTCATCCCACACAATGAGTTTTAAATGACATGTAATATCTCATTATGTAATATACACTGGAGATTAAAATTAGAGAACTAATGAACACTTGACTTATTCCAAAATATAATCATTGCTCAACATTTGAAGGATTGTTTGTCGTGTGCTACTAGAATAATATTTTACAACAAAACAAGGAATTGTAACAAAAAGGAACTTCATTTTGCAGAAAACACAGTGATTAAAATTAAAGAACAGTCTCTTCAGTGACTATAGTGGATTTCTTGGCTACAACTTTGTTGCCAAGGATTTTCCAGAGGTTTTCTATTGGGTTTAGATCAGGACTCTGGGCTGGCCATTTCATCGTTTTGATGTTTTTAGTTTCAAGGAACTGCTTTATTGGTTTTGCTGTGTGATAGGGGGCATCGTCCCGCATAAAAATGGCTGGGTGATTGGGTGATGAACACAGGGATGGAATCATATGTTGTTGAAGAAGGTTCTAATAAATGTAGCTGTATAAGAGGCCCAAGAGGTCATCCCTTTGGCCTTCGTCTGGACCACCGGAGCGTTTCAGTAACAAACTGGAAGTTAGGCTGCCAGTTTAATAGGGTTGGTCAGATAATTTGAGAAATAAGCACCAGGTGCCAGACTAACACTCATAACTGGGAGGTATCTTAAAGTGTTCTCTAATTTTGATCAGTGCTTTTTTTTTTTTTAAATATCTCAATTAAGCTTTTTATACCGCGCTTCATAATATATGTAACTCATACATCATGCTGAAAATTCTGCTTTTTTACTTAAGTTTGGATCATTTTATAACAAAACAATGCAGTAAACTTGACATTTAGGAAATCGTGGGTTGTTCTCTAATTTTGATATCCGATGTAGATCACTTAATTTACTGTACCCAAACGCTACACATGCTAGTGGCCTTTTTTCTGTTGTAAGATATTAATTCGAAATAAAATTAGAAAAAAATATGAACTTTCATGATATTTAAAATGTTGTGTGGGTTGTTAAAAAGATAAAGACAGAAAATACTTTAAAAAAAAATTCAAGTACAGTTGAAACCAGAAGTTTACATACACTATATAAAAAGACTCGAGAAAATAAAAATAAAAAATTCTAAAAAAAACTCTCTCTCATTACTCTGGCATTTAGCAAATAAAAATAATTTTGGTAATCCTAATTGACCTAAAACAGGAAAATTTGAATCTAATTTAATGTTAGATGGTAGGGGAAAAAAGGTTATGTGCCTTTTTATAAAGTGTATGTAAACTTTTGACTCTCAAGAAAGTAAATAAAAAATGTCTAAAAAATTCTCTCTCTCATTATTTTGGCATTTAGCAAATAAAAATAATTTTGGTCATCCTAATTGACGAATAGCAGGAAAAGTTTAATCTGATTTAATGTTAGATGGTAGGGGAAAAAAAGATTATGTGCCTTTTTAAAAAGTGTACGTAAACTTCTGGTTTCAACTGTATATCGCCGACATTTTAGAGAGGCGTGTCTCTTTAAATATGCTAATCAGGTTTTTGTTAGGGATTTATCCTGACGTCACATCCGGAGTGGAGCTTTGCCTCCTAGTTTTTGTTGGGACCTGGGAGAAAAATCACCCCGCAGAGGTGCCGATAAGTGGATAAACGGAGGAAAAAGAAACAAGCTCCGAACCATGGAAGTGTACGACGTTGCAGCTTAGTCGTCTAAAAATGCAAGCGGACGTGCTTTCACCGTGAATTCAGACGAGGAGGTTTTCGTAAGTACCTTTTCTTCCAGATCTTTTGCGGATCCACAAGTGGCTTCGGAGCAAGTGTATGTCGGACTCGGCTTTTCAGGGCTGAGTGGCGTTTGTTTTGCTGTAGCGGACATGCTCGGATGGTCGGAGTTGGATCTTTTGGCAGCGTGTCTCGCTCACGTTTAGCCGTTGTAACAAAACAAGCGCACACCTGTTGCTCTGGCCAACGCCAGGTACCACAGGCCTTAACTGGAGGAAAATAACAGGTCGTGGGTTAAATTGTTCATTTCCTTCATGAAATAAACTATATTTATTAATATCTGGACTTTTGTGTGCCTGTTTTTGTGGACAAGGTCTTTCGTAGCGTTTGGTCGCAGCGGTTTTATCAAATAGAGACATCACATTAGCAAGCATCTTCATAGTCAACAAATATTCACAAAACTTTGGGAATTTGGTCAACATTGATGAAGAAGTCTTGTTAACTCATTTTTAACTGTCTTATTTAGACTTATTGGGTAATTTTCTCCGGATTAATAAGCATTTATCATCAAAATTAGATATTTCTTTCGTACTTTTTCGCTTTTTCGAATGACCGTTGTAAACCGTTGACCAACTGAAAACCAAGGAGGTTTTAAAACTTCATTTCCCAACGTAAATACTTAATAAATAATTCGCCAATTCCACATATAATGACGTTTTTTGTCTTTTTTTAATAAACCTATGAGTCAAATGTGTAATTTAACCGTATTATGTGTCACCTTTAAACGTCAACTGTCAACGTTATTCACTTTCCAAGAGGCAATTATTTGAAATCACCTGTTATTAAATGGATAAAAGCTGTTAGCCACCTCCAAATAATATAAAGGTTTTACTTCTACATCATTGGAAATGAGGGCCAATACATAGTGAATTTTCATCATTATATAGTGCAGTAAAGTGCCTCTTTATGTACTATTCTTTCAGTTGTTATATATCATTGTATTCATGGTGTACAACACTGTAACTGACTCTACCAAAACAAACCTGTCTGCATCCTTTAAGACAGGGACATGTTCATGTTTATGCAGTCTTGGTGTTCAATCAATCAATAATCAATCAGTCTTTATTTGTATAGCATTTTTTATACAGAAAAGACGTGCTTTACATAGCAGAGAAATAAAAGAAACAAAGAAAACCCTAATCTACCTCAACCCAACGTGTATTAAAATGCATTAACTTAAAAAGGGCTCGATTCATATAAACAGGAATGTGCGCACTGAGGAAACGCCGTTTTAAAACTCAAGGTAAGGAAGCACTAGAGGTTTAAAATCTAATAAGAAAGTAACATAAAATGAAACAAAAACAACAGTAAAAGATACTAAAATAAGAGCACCAAAATAGCTTAATAAATGACGATCCTGTCATTAAAACTAAAAGAGATAAATGCTTAAATACTTGAAGAAAGTTAATAAAATTTAGTTAAAAGCAAGACTAAAAAGGCATGTTTTCAGTTTGCTTTTAAAATCACTAAGATTAGTTCCAGTCCTCAGGCCTTCAGGTAAGCTGTTCCATAGATGGAGGTCGTAATAATAAAAAGATGCTTCACCGTTTGTCTTGGTTTTAACTTTAGGTAATGTTAACGGAAAACTTCCTGAAGACCTGAAGGCTCTACCTGGCTCATATGATAAAAGCAGATCAGATAAATATGATGGTCCAAAGCCATTAAGAGCTTTAAAAACCAACAAAACAACCTCAAAATCTATTCTAAAGAGACAGATAGCCAATGCAGAGTTCAATCGGTGGCCTGCGATCATTTCTCCCCTTTATTTCAGAGTGGTGAAAAACCAACAAAGCCTAAAATTCACCTATTATATCTGTTGATATCTCCCTTTCTGTCTTCCAGGTTTGGTAGTGTAACCTTCCCCCTCCCTCACCATGCTGAGCTTCCTGCGCAGGACGCTGGGGCGACGCTCTATCCGGAAACATGCGGAGAAGGCCCGGTTACGGGAGGCCCAGCGTGCTACAACACACATCCCTGCAGCTGGGGATGCAAAGTCTGTCATCACTTGCCGAGTTTCCTTGCTGGACGGGACAGACGTCAGTGTTGATTTGCCGGTAAGAAACATTCCGAGAGTTTGAAGCTTAGGGCGGACACAGAATTGATATTAGCCGTTTAAAAGTTCTCTTTAGCCGCTGTATGAGAGGATTGAGTACACGGTTTGGCTGTTACTGTCAGGGATAAGTGACCATTAACGTGCCTGTGTCAGTAGAGCAGTTCTTCTAAGCTCATAGTGAGTGTGGATTTATGTGCGTATGTGTTGTAGTTTTGCTGATCACCTGTAAATCCATGATCCTCTCTGGAGAACACACTAATCATGTGACAGCATCACATGACAGGTTTGGCTGGTCACCAAGTGGACACACAGCGGGATGTCACTCTCTCTGCTCCTCCCTCCCTCTCTCTTCAGCCCTTCTCTTCCAGTCTCTTCACTGTTGTTGTTTTCGCTTATTTGGTAAATATCCTCTCTCCTGGAGGAATGTAATCAAGTCCTTGTGCAGCTATATGGTAACCATTATTCAAAGCTTTGGGGCATAAATATCTGGATGTGACCACATGTGACCTGTCTGTTGCATGGCGCACATATTTTTCATCTTTTTGTTTCCACTTACATTCCATGTGTCAAGACTGCTGCATTCCTGTGAGGCCAGTCTGGCATCTTACTGTCCCGTCTGACCCCATTCTATCTTGAAATGCAGCCATCCTGCATAGATACCCAGGTGTGCTGAAGACAATCAGTGTTCTTATTGTAACTATATTTGTTTTTTCCACATTTTAAAACCATTTTTAAACAGAAAGAAACACGAGTTTTTATACCTTCTTTTATGTTTTCCTCAGAAATCAAAGGAAATAGTTGGCTACCTGTGACTGGTTACATAAGTGTGGCCAAACAGTGATACTGAGACTTAGTCAATGATAATTAGCCCGCTTTCTGGCATTCCTCACCAGCTTATTGAGCAAGAATGCAGCGGTGTATTTAATTCAGCATGTCTCCTGAGTGATGTAACAGACTTCTGAGTTTCGGACCTGGCTGTTCATTAACATGTAATCCTCTAGATCAAATCAGTATTGTGTTCTGAGAAAGATTCAACTCATATCATTTCTCAGTCTTTCTTCTCCAGGAATTATATCTGCTTGGACTGTACCTCTTTTTCTCTGTTCAGCTCCCCCTCTGTTGCTGTAATTCACCTTCTTTTGAACAGAAATCATTGCCAGAAGTAAAATGTTATCGCTGGTTCAGGTTTTATGAGACATCATCTTCCCTGAGTCAGTTAATTTGTCTTCAAATTAAGATACTTTCTCAAAATGTTGATCTCTGTTTACAGCAGGAACTCTGAAAACTTAGTGGGGTTTCGGAGTGCTTTTTAGTTGGATCTTGTTGTGCTTCCCCTCCCCCAGGTGTATGTATCCTCTTCAAACCTTTCAGTCTTATCAGCTGTCTCTAAGAGATAGAGCAACAGTATCAAAATACTGCTTTAGGGCGTTTCTCCGTTTCAATAATTGGTCTTTCCTGGATAGAAGAGAGGCATTGAAGGGAGGTGAACCTTTCTGTTAAATATCGCAAATAAATTACTTGACAGTATCAGCAAGGCCGATACATGCACAATTCAGCCTCCTTTGTACCGAGCAGTTTTAGACTTAATTGAGTACGATGGTGTGCTGTCTTTGCCAAGGATCTGTGTATGTTGGAATGGATTGACATGCTCACTGTCATCTCAAAGATAATTTGAAAAAGGCAGAAATATTACAACTAATTACAGCATTATTGAAAACACAGCTTGATTTATAGCTTCGGTAAAACTCAGTTCATTTAAACACATAATTCTTTCAACACAATAAAAGTCTTGGCATATTTTATTGTTGGGGTGCTTTTATTTTGAAGTAACGGTGCTCGAAATGCACCAACTGGGAGATTAATTATAAGAAAGTGTTTGTTGTTGTGTACTTCTGATGGTAATAAGTGACTAAATAGAGGATCATACTTATCAGGAGCTTCTTGTCCTCTGTTCCTTCACTGACAGAAAAGATGAGCAAGGGAACGTTTCAGTGTAGTTACTAAGTGTTCGATAAAGCCACACATTCACATACACACTGTACTTTTATCAGCCTTTTCAGTTTGTGCGCAGTATGATGATGAGTAATGTAAAGTGTCTTGTCAGATAAAGGATGACTGTCTGAGGGCCTCATAGTTGTTTTTGTGTTGTTGAACCAGTCTGACAGAGCAGTTCCCAAATACTCGAATAGCAGGGTAATAAGAGGAACTGCGCTCTGCTGAGGGAACATTATGAACAAGAGAGGGGAGGGAGAGAAGCTGGCCAGGGAAACACTGCAGCTTCTCACTATCTGCACTTCAGCCAGACTTATCTTTTAGGCAAACAGCCTCTGAGAAAAGTTCAACCAGGTATTGCACCGTTTTCTCTGGCAGACTGTTTCTCTAACTCTGAGAAGTACCTTGGAGCAAACTCAGTTAAAAGATTCATGTAAATGTAAATTTGGTTTTCATTTAAAAAGACTCTGCAATGTTGTGAATGTTTCGGATTTGGCAAAGCTTTCTCTGCACCACGATGCATCATGCTCCATCAAAGGTGCAGGGACTGCCAGGTGTCAGCAGCAGAGCAGTTGGTGATTCAGCTCCAGCTCGCATAAATCGAGGTGATCCCCTGCTGAATGGTGCGGTTTGTCTCTTCTCCTTTTGGATGTCGAGGTGGCTGTAAATAAACAGCCATGATCTAAAACTGAATGGGGTCATTCTCATGCTTGAATGGTTTTTCCAGCTGTGTTTGTTCTCTGTGAATGCAAGGCCACCCATAGTTGTCTCCCAGGGTACCTACAGTATGTTTAACAGCATCCACGTCCATACATAACTACACACTACCTCACCATTTACATTCCTCACTCTGAATTTATTTACTCCCCTGTGTTTTTTCTCTCTTTTCTTCCCACTCACTCCGATTCACATCCATGTTATTCAGTTTACATGAAATAGGTCGTGCCGTTCAAGTTAGTTTATCTTATCATTTGCAAGTTTAAAGTTCGATGCAAAATAAAAGCCTGAAGAAAAGACAGAAATGTTATTACTGTATACATCTAGGAGTCACTAAATAATGCAAAAGGTCCAAACATTCACAGCTTTGTATTCAATATGTTTTGAGAAAGCTAGAGATTTGTAAACTTTTACAGACTGCAGCTAAGTGAGCGTTGATCTGATCTTTAAAGATTCTGAGACACTGTTTTTATCAACAGCTGGTAGTTTTCATAGTATGGGGCAGAGTGGTCGATTAAACTAATCCATTGCTCTGGTATGGGGGTAACTCCGGTTCATAGGAGTGTCCACTTATGTACACAGGAAGCGACCGGTCACTGGCGCTGTCATAATATCTTATGTTTTGGTCGTATTATCATCTCTTTTGACGCTGCAGACCCAAGCAGTTGATCAGTGCTCTGCAGGGGGAAGACACTGTGTCCATCTGAACTTAGCTCAAAAACATATAGGATTAAAAATTCCTCATTGGATGGTGCACCAACGATGGGATGAGTGCTTGGGTTGGAGTGTCTCAAAAGTAGCTTAATCGCTCAACAGACTTGTTCCCATCTGCAGAAAACTGTAGCCTAGCTTGTGCCTACTCCCCCAGCAGTTGCTCTGAAGAGGAGTAGAGCTGATGTTACACTGACATATAACATTGATGAGTCTTCATTAAAGGGATAGTTCAGTTTTTATGAAAAGAGGTTGCAGATATGAGTACAGTCAGGACAGGAGCACTTCACTGTTCAGGCTCTTGATGGATCATGTCTGAATTAATTTCTCAGAATCATGGCATAGCAGGAAGTAAAAAAAAGTGATCAATTTAGTATCAAATTTTCATTAATTTTTTGGTTGATCCAAAAATCAGAGCAAACTAAACCGGAAGATTTATGATCTGTTGCATCCCAATAACATTATCAAAGACAATAAAAGTATAACTTTTTTTTCACATTTTAATAAATAAACATGGCTCTGCATTTATTATTCACACAGTATTATTTTAAGTATAATATATTTGTAATAAATTTTAATTCTAACACCACCAAAATGACTCAATTAACTTCATAAGAGCTCTAAATTAAGACTTTAAAAAGATTGTTTTTTGGTTTAATGGATTTACCGTAAAGTGAAGCATCAGTAAAATACCTCAATTGTGACTTAAGAGACAGAGATGTATGCTGACAGGCAGAAAGACTGCAAACAGCCAAACAATACTGCAGGCAGTAAAACAAGGCCCTGGGTGCTGCACACACACACACACACACACACACACACACACACACACACACACACACACACACACAATGAGTCCTTTGTACTCCCTCTCTCTCTCTCTCTCTCTCTCTCCCTGGGTACTGTAGGGGTGCGGTATGTCTTGTCAACTATGCCGGTTAGCATGGGGCCAGCCCCCCCTGAGCTGCCCAGGAGCTCTCTTGTGGTGTGTGTGAGGGAGAGTGTAAGATGCAAGGAAACCTCGACATCGCCTGTGCCCTGTGTTTTTCACTCACTGTGATTTCTTCTTTCCTTATTCGTCTGAAACTTTGTACAAAGTTTGTAAAATGTAGATTAAAAGCAGAAACAAAAACGAGCAGGTGGAACTACCCCTTTAAATGAAGAAACTGTGCAGAACTTGATGTCAAAAACAAAACCACTGGAGAGCGTTTAAGGTCAGATAAGTGTGGATGAAGACATGATTGATTAAAAACACAAAGGAGAGCAACTAAAGGAGCAAAATCAGTGCATCTGCAAACTGATACTGGATGGCGATTTTCCCAACTTAGTGAATGACCAGAAAGCCAGGTGGTCACATGATGGATCCAGCCACACCACTTCTCTCAGCTTCTCAGCGTCTGGGGCTCTTTAGCCCCGGTTGCCATAGAAACCCTGTCGCTGTGCCTCATGGTAGGGTTTAGAAGTCGGATGCCTGTGTTTGTGTGAGTGAGTGAGTGAGTGAGTGAGTGGGTGCTCATGTGAGAGAGAGAGAGAGATCTCCCAGTCCCAGGCGGAACACTGGTAGTAACTGGTACTGCCTTGTTAGAAAGGGCAACACCTATTCAGACACCGAGTTCACTTTGATGAGATATGAACGCTTTGGGACTCCAACAGAAAAGTTAGACATACACTTAAGCGCTTTCTTACACCTATGAGCGTTTAAACTAATGAATCCTGCAGCAGTTTTATAGTTATTTTAGAGCAACAACACCAGATTCCTTCAAGGATCATGCAAATATGAAACGTCTGTAAAATTCTAAGTAGCATTTTCTTTTCTTATACCAATTTTATTCTTTGGTAAACCCTGTTTTTGGACATTAGAAGACCCCTGAGCATTTAAATCATTCAGACTTCTCTCTGTAAATTAATCTTTTGTATAATTCTTTGGCGTTTTCTTCATCACTTTTGTCGTGCTCTCTGTCGCACAGATCACTAAGCCTTTTGTTTTGTCTTTGTGTTTACCCTGCCAGAAAAAAGCCAAAGGTGAAGAGCTGTTTGACCAGATCATGTACCATCTGGACATCGTGGAGAAAGACTACTTTGGGCTACGCTTCATGGACTCGGCGCAAGTACCGGTAGGTTTATGATAACTGCGAAAGGTGCAAAGAGCTTGTTTTGAATTCGTTGGTTTGGTGTGCTCCTTGCTATTGGATTAGCACATCTTATTACAATATTTGTTTCTGTCAAAAAGTTGATCTTTTAAAGACAATTTGGTGTGCAAATTATGCCAGCAGTTTGCCCCTGGTTGGCACCCAAACTGGTACCTCATAAACTAAGGTACACGCCAAGCTTTTATTAGTCTGTAAATGTGTGGTGTTTAATCCAACGTGAATAAAAATCAATTTCCTCACTGTATTGTCCTGAACGTTTGTTAGCATTCACAAGGCCATTTTGGAGAAGAAAAATGATATTTTTATTTGGCGTTGGCTAATGATGTCTTTATTTGAGGCAACTCCACAGTTGGTGGCAAATAAGTCAAACAAACAGATAAATACTGGCTAACATCAACTCTGATACCATTAAAACTCTTAAACTTTCTGCTCTGGACTTATCTGAGTTTTCTCCATGTCTTCATGTTTATATTGACGTGGTTTTGAGCAGTCTTCTCAGCCGCCGTTCACTGCCAGACTTTGGATCTCATTCCAAATCACAGTTCGACCGTTTTGAAGGAGAAACTTGAGGCGGGCACTTTCCCATCCAGTGAATGGGCTAAAGGGATTGGTTCTGGGACTCTTGTCCGCCCTGAGAGTCAGGCGGTGCGCTGAGACAAACTGTTTTAAGTCACTGGTCCGCCTGTGACCCTGTTCCTTCAACTTGATGTTTCTTGAAGGCCGTGGAAGGAGAAGGGCTGGTGGTGGGAGGAAAGAGGTGACTGATGGGAAGGGCGCGAAGGAGAGGGGGGAGGTAGAGAGTCTGAAGAGTGGGAGGGGGAGCTGAAGTAAAGAGAGAGAGGGAGAGAGAGAGAGAGAGGGCTGTAATAAAGGAATGTGGGGGAGAGGAGGCTCGTGAGTGCTGTGAGTTCCTCTGTTATCTCTCTCTGTTTCTCTTTTACTCTCTCTTACTTACACATGCACCGCCACCACCGCCTCTCCTTGACATTTTTCATGCCTCATAGAGCCTGAACTTCCAAGAAGAATAACAGCACAGAGCAGAACACTGACTCCACTGTTTGTGTGTCTCTTTTGTTGCACCTCCCACCATTAAACTTTTTATAACCTGAAGGTTCACTCAGATTTTTATCATTAGGAGGTTTGACAATACAAATAATCTGGTAACAGCTGTGGGCAATGAGGCCACCCTTGAAGAACATTTGTTAAGGCACTCTCTGTGTCTTTGTTTTTGACATTTTTCTCAGATTTGATCTTTTCTGCTGTGATAGTAGCTGTGTATTTTAACTCGTCACCTTCTTGTCTTCTCAGCACTGGCTTGATGTCACAAAAAGCATCAAAAAGCAAGTGAAAAGTGAGTATACAGGGACCCTATCTAAGCACGCATAAATACTTTATCCCTTACAAACAACTTCCTTTTTTTAAAAACATTTGAAGTGCATTTTCACTCATAGTTTTGGTTAATACTTTATGATTGTTGAGCTTGAAATCTTCCTCTTTTGTAATCCTGTTCCACCTGCAGTCGGTCCACCTTACTGCCTTCACATGAGAGTTAAGTTTTACTCCTCAGAACCAAACAACCTCCATGAGGAGCTCACCAGGTGAGGAAAACCACAAACTTTTCTACTTTGCTCAGTGCAAAACAACTTTTGGAGGCTATAAACCTCAGAGCAAATCTTGTGCAGTTTGAGTTTCAGAGTTAGGGAGCTGATTTTAAGGGTAGAGTGTGTAAAATAGGAATATTAAGTGATATTTAGATGGTAATACACCTGTGCTCCAACCCTTCTCATCGCTGAAGTGACAGTGGTATTTAAGGTCAAGACACTCCTGTGATTCATGGTTACTGTGGTCCCCGTCTGTCAAGTTTTTACCGTCAAATACATCTTGAAGTGCAAAAAAAAAACATCCACTCTATATAAGATGCTCGTTTGTCCATTCTGTGTTTCTGTAAACACATGGCCATCTCCCTGGATGGGGACCCACTCCTGTCAGGATATAAAAGTCTCATTATAAGTTAATAAAAACAAGTTTATTTTTATATTCAGGTGATTAAAAACTACATTAAACATTCTTACAAATAAAGTATTCCATTACTGAGTCCATCCTGCTAAATACAGCTAAAAAATACACACTGTACCTTTAACTTTATCTCACCCAAATAAAAGTCTGCATTTGCTCACAGGTCTGATTTTTGTGTTCGCCACTAAAGTGTCAATTTCACCCAAATATCATCACGTCATCTGAGCTTTATGTTCTATTTTCCTTTCAGATACCTTTTCGTGTTGCAGTTAAAGCAAGACGTCCTCAGTGGCAAGTAAGTAGTATTTTTTTAACTTCATCTTTTGAATTTAATGCCATTCACTTTAGCGAGAAATAAGATAAAGTATTGTATTTCTCTTTGTTACTGTGGCCAAGTCTTACAGTTTCGTCATTTTCAGGCTAGAATGTCCATTTGAAACAGCAGTGGAGTTGGCTGCCTTTGCTCTACAAGGTAAGCTCCCCAGCACATCCTCTCCAATTCTGACAAATGCTATATATGAGAGCTATGGTGCTCCAAGTCTGTGCTCTCAGTAACACTCATGCATGTAACGTTCAGTTCCAGTAAAAACTGCTTAGAAAGGGTTGAGGTTTAACTTTTAGGAGCCTGCCTTTAAATGTTTTGTTTTTACTCTGCTGTAGATGCAAGTCAAATTAATATCTGCAGTTGAATCCGTCTGATTCTAACCAGATTGAGGCATGTGCTCACAAGTCTGGCGGCAGCTGCAGTGGAGGACCCTTGTGTTCGGGCACCTCCAAGTTTCCCTTGATCTTTACACACTGGTCATGGTTGTCTCTGTGATTCACCATCCAAGAGAGGCTAACATACACCCCATCCATGACCATAGAGCTGAAAGAAAAAGGAGCTATAGCTTTAAGTGACCATACAAAGAACGAGATTTCAGACACTTGTGGCTGGCATGACTGAGGAGGAGCCAACTGAGGTGTGGGGATGATCCTATAGCTACATACAGTACAGTTAATGGAGCAGAAATAGTTTGAGCTTTCTCTTACTACCTAGCTTTGAATAAGCCCACTCTGCACTTATCTACTCTTTGTCATCGTTTCAGTCGCAGCGTTTACGTGAAAGAGCGATCTAAAAGCCGCTGCTGCAGAAAGACATAAACGGAGCCATTAGAGATGTTTATGGAATGGGATTGCATGCACAAGCTCTTTGAAACACACGCACACACACAGGCACACACAAACATAGTCACTGTGGGGTAAATGCCAGCTCATTAGTGCTCCATCCTCTTCGGAGGCCCCCTAATCCAGCACCCTCTCTGTCTTCTGTCTTTCCTCTGGTCGGCCTTTCTGTCCTGGGTTTCCTTTTTTTTTAAGTTGTGTTGATCTACTGACATTTACTGGGTTAAGGAAAGGATAAGCTTATCTTTTCTCTCCTTTTTATCCTGAGGCCTTTCTCACAGCTGGACTCACTAAACAGAGGAGTCCTAGTTTCTTCTGTCAACCCAAACACTGCAATATCAAATCAGACTGGGCTTTTGGTCTGTGTCCTATTTTGCTCATCAACACTAACACATACTGGGTGTCTTTCCGTTCATACTCTCAAAACACTATTCTCATTATCAAGTGCCCACAGTTAAAATATAGGATCATCTGTCTGGAAAGAGATTAGATATGCATCATTCCATGTCTTAATGCTGTATGTTTTAAATGATATCTCATGGAAGGTGTGTTCATTTGTTTATTTTGTTCATGGGGGTTATTCACAGCCACAACAAGAGTCCAGCCATGCTGTCTACTCAACCAACCCTTGACGTGGACTTTATCACTCTTACCATGTGTGTTTGTTTGTTTTCAGCTGAGCTCGGCGATTGTGACCCGCTGGATCATAACCTGGACCTGGTGTCAGAATTTCGCTTCATACCCAACCAGACAGAGGATGTAGAGCTTGCAATATACAATGCATGGAAGGAGTGCAGGTAATCATGCCACTGATTTATTTATATGTAGAGAACTGTTTTTAAAGAGTTTCCTGACCAAGAAAGGCTGCAGCATGAAGGTTCGAACAGACAATAATCCGACTTACATACAAACATAAAAAAGCTTTACAAGCAGTTTGAGACTGGGAGAGAGTCTGACGCTGAGCAGTACTATTGCACAGGTCTAATACTGACCCATGAGGCTCTCTTCTGGTTACAAAGAAAGAGCTGGATGTACAACCCTTTTCCTGCACAGACAGTTGTTAAACCATCTGACTGCTTGTTAAGAGGGTCCTGTTTGCAGCGGTCTTTGTGGAGGTCGAGTATGGCCCATAGTATCCAACGCCTCAGAAAGGTCAATAAAAGAAGCTGCACAATGCTGCACATTTTCTATAAAATCACTAAAACCTCTAAACATTTTAAGAGCTGAGTTAACGCTGTTTTACTGTGCTGCTTCCTAACGCCAGACTGGAAACCAGATAAAATGTAATTAGTGTTTAAAAATTTACCCAATCGATCACTTGAAAACTGTAACTTAAAACTTGAAAGTGAAACTCAGTATCAGTGAGGTGCAGTGCATTTAGTTGATGGCAGCCAATGGCAGATATCCCATAAAAACAAATGAATGTCCTTCATTCAGTGGTCATTATGCTTTGGAGGCTGTTATTGGCAACGCTGCATGAATACACCATATTTTTTTTGTTTGTTTAGTTTTGTTTTATCCTCTCAGCTCAGGGCAGCATTTATAGTTTAAACAGTCCAAACCATTTTGACCCCCTCTCTGTATTTTCTTTCAGAGGTCAGATGCCAGCCCAAGCTGAAATAAACTACCTGAATAAAGCCAAGTGGCTTGAAATGTATGGTGTGGATATGCATATGGTCAAGGTAACTAAAACACACACTGTCCCAGCATGAACTCGGATTATAGGAGAAAGATTTTAGGAAAGTGTTTTTAAAAACTCGTAATGTAACAGAGTTTTCTTTCTTTCTTTATCTTTCTTTCTTTCTTTCTTTCTTTCTTTCTTTCTTTCTTTCTTTCTTTCTTTCTTTCTTTCTCCATTTTGTCCACAGGCAAGAGATGGTAATGAGTACAGTCTAGGTTTGACACCAACTGGGGTTCTGGTGTTTGAAGGTCAAACCAAGATCGGACTCTTCTTCTGGTACGTTTGATTATTTCAAAATAACAGAAATATTTACAGCAGTGCATTTTGAAAAAAAAAACAACAACATTTGCATCCTTTTTGTTTCTGTTTTTGCAGGCCGAAGATCACTTGTCTGGATTTCAAGAAGAGCAAACTGACACTCGTGGTGGTGGAGGATGATGAACAGGTGAACAGAGGCACACACATGTCAAAAATAAGTTTGATTTATTGTCTACACAAAAATTCCCTCCTGTCTCAAAAAAGAGAAGAATCACACATAACCTTTTTTGTGGTACTTGTTTCCTTTTATGTCAACTTTTCACGAAAGCAGTAATCTTATCGAGACATCAGAGGTTGTTTTTGAGAGAGACCTGGTCAAACTCAGGTGGACAGAACAAGACATCTTATTTGAACCGCTTTAAAGGAGTGGAACAAAGTCGACATATTCCTCTAAAAACCTTTGTTTAAAGTGCTTGAGCCCAAGTAAGAGGCCGGTCGGTCCAAATCAAAATGAAACAAGACTTAGTATTGTACTGCCCAGAGGCTAGATTATATGAGAGAAAAGGAGAGTCTGTTTATGTCCATCCTGGAGGTCTGTGAGTGAGGTTAATAAAGAAGCCTACCCCCTCTGGTATTTCTGGTATGCACTATTCTCTTACTCACACACACACACACACACAAACACACACTCTCTCTCTCTCTCTCTTTGGCAGTTCTTGTCTGCCATGTCCAAAGCAGCACTGTACAATAGTCTAGTTGCCAAAGTACCATTTATACATACTTCTATATATTTATTAAATAAATCGATTTTGCGATAGGGAGTATAACCATCATATCTTGTACTTAAAGAAGAACAGGTGGCTCTAAGAATGTTGTGTTAATCTCAAAGCTTATGTGACTCTCTCTCTCTTTGAGTACAGTAGAACTAAAAAGAAAAATTGTAGAAAAAAACATCTCGAACAGAAGATAAAGGATAAAAAAAACTAAGTCAGATGTTGTCTCTGCTGCGGCTCTAGTACAAGTTCTGTTTGTGGCTTTGGTGCTGGGCAAACTTCATCCATGTCTCCACGAGAAATCAGATTAATGAGGCTGCGTTTGCACACTGTAGCACAGCTATTCATTCTTGACATATTTGCGCCTTTCAAGAAGCATGAGCCAGCACATAAGCTTTGTTTTACCGCAGGAATGTTGGCCGGGACTGCGGGCGAAATCTCATATATTACACATACACTAGTGAAGATTATATGAGGCATGGTCTGTGTCACCTAAATCTAACCTATACCGACACTCCCCAGGGCAAAGAACAAGAGCACACCTTTGTCTTCAGGATGGATCACCCTAAGGCCTGTAAGCACCTGTGGAAGTGTGCTGTGGAACATCATGCTTTCTTCAGGCTTAGAGGGCCGGTACAGAAGAACTCTGCGCGCTCTGGGTTCATCCGCATGGGATCACGCTTCAGATACAGGTAATACAAACAAAAGGGTTAATAATTTGTGTTTGTGTGGGCCTGGATTGGTCTGACCCCCGAGTGTTAAATTTGGATTTTTAACTCTTATCAACAGAAAAAAAATGGGATCAATGTAGAGAAAAAATACACTGATCAGCAATAATCAGCTGCTTCATATTGAGGTATAACTGTTTCCCAGGTGACCGAATGAATTTACTCAAAGATGGGGTAGGCAGGATCTGAGGAAGTGTCAGTTTTTGGGAGAAATCTTGAATGTAAACTCTACCTCTCCCAACCAGTTTTCCCCTCAGCTCCTCCTCTCCTCTTCCTCTCTGCTCCATCAAGCCCCGCCCACAAACAGACGCTCCTGCTCGCTCGTATCGTTCCATTTATCTTCAGATATAATGCAGATAAATACTTCAGATAATTACAAATTTGGCCCAGTCAACGTGAAAGTAAAAAGCATTGGTGCTACTGTCGATGCCAACAGACTACCAGAAACACAATGTTTGCAGGACTTCTACAACTAGGATAAAGTGACATAGTCCAGGACCCGAGGTCAACAGTTTAGTGGCGCTACAACACGCAGCAGGTCCCGTTTGACAAGAGACACTTCTGTTACACTTGGCTTACTTTGTTAAAGCGGTTTACCTGTCCAGCAGAAAGGTTACAGGGTCCAGAAGATCCCAACGCGTCCCCCATCATTGTTGACCCGGCTTCTTAGCTCTTCTCCGGTCTACCTCCTTCTAAGCGCCCGTTATTCCGCCAGAGTCTCTGGTATTTACTTTGTTTTCTTGCTTGTGTCGGCAGTCGTAGCTAAAGGAGGATTTTCCGTACTTTCTGGTTGGTTTCTACTGTCCGATATTGTAGCACGCTAACTTTGTTTGGGCTACTGAGTGACACGGGGGAGCAGCAGGGAATGGCTTTGTTTACAGTCAGAAAGAGCGGAGCACTCAAAAAATTTAAAATGTTGAGAACACAGACATAACAAAACACAGCGATACAGTTATATCACCAAATGTCATCAATAACTAACAGCTTTTGACTGATATTAAAAGCTTTTTTTGTTTATACACCACAAAAAAAGATGCTTCTTTAACAGAATACTGCCTACCCCATCTTTAAAGAGCAAAAAATCTGACACCATTAGAAAGATCCCTGAGCACGTCAAAGGCAGTACATCCAAACCACTTGTGACTCTCAGCTGGAAGAGCAATGCGGATGAGATTGTTGTGGGGACAAGTGCAGCTGGTCTGGCTTTGAAGACAGGCCTGTGAGGGGGAGGGAGGGAGAGTGCTGATGGCTTTACTGCCACACATACTGTATGGAGAGCCTGGTGTTTGTTTCTGCACTACGCCATCAAACATATCAACAGAGATAATCCTAGCTTTGCACATAGTATCGTTCTCTGTTCACACAAAAGCCCCACATGTGTACACACAGATACTTGCAGCGGTACAAGACAGGCACTCAATGTCCACATACCACAGTAGCCAGCTAGTCCCCTTCTGTGTGTGTTTAAACATTACCCAGTTGGATAAGCATTGATGGTAGTGTTGGTCTAACACAGAGGTTACAGGGTTTGTTGTTAGTAGAAGGTTATCGCTCCGATGAGTCCAGAGTTCAGGAAGGGTCACCACCGTGCCTTTTTGTTTTTTTAATATCGACAATGAAGTTTCATTAAGAAGTGGTTTGGCTTGCGTCATTCAGGGTTGCCGTAATGTAACTGATTTCTTTGTCGACAGTGGAAAGACAGAATATCAGACGACGAAGGCGAATAAAGCAAGACGGTCAGCCTCCTTTGAGAGACGACCAAGTCGACGTTACTCCAGAAGAACCATGCACAGCAGAGGTGAGGACAACTCTCGCAAAGTCACACACTTTCCCAAAATACCAGGATTAATATGTTTAATACACCATGTCACCACATTCCCCTTGTGTTTATTTAATAAAAAGATAACTTTGACACATGACTGGAAACAGTGTGCAAGATGTCAGTATGTCTTGCATAATTTGACACATTCTACTGAACCTAACCCTACATTATCTTCTCTTCTGTTTGTACAGGAGCATTCAATCCCCATGAGTAAGTACACTGATATTCCACCATAGTGATCATGCATTTGTTGATTTCTCATATCCATCCTCCCCTTAATGCTCGTCTTTAGTTTCAGAGTGGTCATATTCAGTCTTATCTAATTTCTGCAGGAACTGTTTTATTTCACGTTCATTGTCTTTCCTCATTAGTGACATCAAACCACGAAAAATAAAGCTCTGCACTAAAACTGTTTTATTAAATACCAGATGAATTCGTCTGCACTCATGAAGTACTGCTGCTGAAAGTGTTGTGACTCACTCACTCGGTCTCTTTATTCATTCAGTTACACCATAAGCCCTGACTGTAATCTTGTTACAGAGGTAGCCTTTTGTTAAAGGGATATGTGTGTGTGGGCTGAAGACTGATGTCAGTGGTAGTTTTAAGCCATCACGGGACCTGTTGACTCGGAGACTTTTCATTACACTTGACTGGTTAGACCGTAACTGTGAAAGTGCAGCTCTCTTTGAAGCAGCAGCATGTTTGCATAATGTGAAGCTCTGTCTGAAGTTTGGAAAAATCGCATGTGCAGAACGAGAATCAGTCATTTTGTCAGTCACTTATTAGCGATGTCTCCTGTAAAAAGCACCAATTAAGTGTTCAGATGATAAGAGTGAATTTCAGTTTGGATTTTTGTTGCTCCGATAAAATCACTGTTTCTCTCTCTCTGCTCAGTGCTCTTTCCTCTGGCAATGGAGTCAGCTCTGGCAAAGACAAGGTGAGAGGCCAGGATGAACATGACTTCGCAAAGAAAACACTTGATTTGTTTGAATTAAAGGAATAGTAACTATAATTCTCATCTTTTTTCTCCCTCTCAGGTGTCCTCTAATAAAGGTGCTTGGTCAGCCGTGCCTGTGGTCAGCCCTGTAGCTGCTTCTGCATGTGGACCAATAGAAATCGAGGCTCTACCAAGGAGTCCAGGCGGAGAAAAGAGGAGGTTGGTACCTGAACATTTATGTTTTTGAGCATCTGTCTGTTTTTATTTTGTTGTTGTCTCTATATTTGCCCCTGAAGTTGAAAATTGAAGGTTTGTATATACATACAGATGACAGTCAATTATTTTTAGTGTCTTAATGCTTCCTTAGGATGAGCGAAACAGGACCATGTCAGCAACCATGTGAGGGCAGGCCAACTGATCTTTGCTAATAGAAATGGGCGAATAGCTAGGTGTGTTTTTCACAGTCTAATGCCATGAGAGTGGCTTAAGAGGGCTTATCCACTCACTGCGTCTTGCTGTGACTGGGGAAGGTAGAGAGGAAAGAGCCGGAAGGTGGATTTGGTGTATTTTAGTTTTTCTCTTTTGGTGACTCAAAGTTCCTTCCATGCTTGGCTTCGTTTTTGCCTACTTGTAAATTCAGAAAGAAACAGGTTATGCACTTAGAGTGTAACTTGTAGACATGAGGGTCTCTCAGAAACACTTGAAAGAGGGAGATACTCCTGTGCATGCATGCATGAATGTGTCTCAGTGAGAAGCTGTACATACCAAAGAGTGCTGTATGCTAGCTGACTGACAGGACAGACAAACCGATGATAGATGAACAAAGTAGACCAGATCATGAAGTGCTGATGGAGTTCACATAGTCTAATGATTTTTCTGCCTTAAGTATAACATAAAGGTGTGACTTATTTTTTTGATATCCCTCATACATTTCTGTTGTTTCATGTGGTTTTATGTCTTCTTGAGTATGTCGTGGTGTGCTCTGCCTTCATTATGTCAACACTGCAGCTTTTAAAACGTGTGTTTAAAAAGAAAAACTTATTTTTGGAGTTTCCTGTTTAGGATAAATCTGTTTTTGTTTTGTGTTTTTGGCTGTTGTGTGCATGAGAGCGTGTTTGAAAGAACAAGCAGATCATTTGCACGCAAATATGTAAAGACCCACCTCTCACAAACCAATGTCCCCCCTGTGTGTTCCAGTATAAACATGTACTGAGGTGATATTGGTCTTGTCTGGAGGCAGGCCAGGTAGGTACAATCAAACACTAAACCTCGCCATCTCTCCGGCTTAACAAATCAGCTCCTACGCTGCGGCAAGCTTTTTGATTTTGGCTTTTGAAACTGGTTTCCATGCAGTGGTATGGTGTGTAGTTGGTGTCTGTCCACTTTTTGATCAGCATGAAAATTTAACCTAATCGATGCAGGAGGTGAGCAGATCATCGGGATGCTCTGCAGGGATCTTGTGTTTGGCAGCAAAAATCTGTGGGTTTGATTTCCAGCTTTGGCTCTGTCCTGTTTTAGACTATAGCTGTCTCTGCTTTCAGTTATCTAATGACATGCCGTGCACCTGGTGCATCCTTTGCATCACCTGCTCCTCTGTAAACCTTTTTTTAACCTCCAAGCTGTAAAATGTTTCACAAAATGTTAATTGAGGATGAGTAGAAGCTGTTTGCCTCTCAGCTTTCAGATTTTGTTCGTTTTTTCCCTGTTGTTAAGTAATTACTCATTTGATCAGACCTCTTCTGTCCTCATCAGACTTCTCTGACTTCAGTGAGAAAAAAAGGCACATTCAGATTTACAGCTTAGGCTGATCCTGTTTCTAGTAAAGAACATTTCTGGTCAGTTGTTTTAAGAGGATTGCTCGTCAATCTGTAAAGCAGCAGCATTTTTTCCCATTTACTAACCAAAGAAATGCTCAGGATGCTCAGATGTTAATTTGGATAGGACCCTGATATATCCAGAGGGGTTGATATTAGGGCCCGACCGATTTATGGGAGAGACAATTAAATGGTCCAATTTTAGCCCACTTGAGACTAATTGGTAATTGTCCAAAACTCGCCGATTTGTGCCGATATTTTCAGAAATAATGCGGAGAATAAGATTCGGTTTCACTTCGAAAATGTTCTGCCATTGAAAAGTTCCCCAACTTATCCAGTAGATGGCAGTAGATGACCTCATGACAATCTTCATCCACTAACTACCTCACAGCACAGCAGAGTGACAGATCTGAAACAGGCAGCTAAGGGACCTCAGAGGAGAGTTTTCCGCCTCAACGGTAAATAAACCAGTTTGTGAAATACACAATAAGTCAACAAGTTTCAGTTCAACCCACTTCACCATGTTCCCCGCTGTGCTGGTCTCGGTCACGCCGAGTTAACGGTGAAGAACCATGTAATATGCAAGTTAAAGTTAGAGTTAGCCATCCGCTATTAGCCTTGCTACACTGTTAGCCGTGACAGTAACGGTAGAATAAACAACAGTAGACATTAGTGATCGAGCTACTTCTCTTACTGAGGCAGCTGCATGTCTCCAGATGAGACCGGACCAGAAATAAGTAACATGAGTTAAGACGTGGAGGCACCAATCGGCGTGTATATTATGTATTATATATTTTTTATAACTTAATAAAAAAATTTAAAAAATCGGTTGATTAATCGGTAATCCCCCCCCCCGTTATAACATCATCGGCCCCAAAAAATACATTTTGGTCGGGCCCTAGTTGATATAGCGCACTGATCATGCCCTATCCTCCCCTCTCAGACTTTGCTGCTCTAAAGGTTGATGGTAAATCCTCCAGGCTGCTTCATGTTCATCAGTTTCCTTTTCGCAGTGCCATTTAAAACACATGCTCGCTCTTTTCTGTCTCTAAATATTTTAACTCCAAATTTGTGCCGTGTTTAAACCTGTCAAGCAACTTCAAGTTTAACAACCGACTCACTGTTTTAAAAATGCACACGCAGCACAAGCCGCCATTACCCACCAGTGGTCGAGTGTTGTCGAGAGCTCCACAGAGCTTAATACATTCTCTTATCATCTTATTAAACGTTTCAGAAAAGCTTCACCAGCACTAACACCAGCACAGCAAGTTCTCTCGCATTTAATCAGCACAAGATATTTCACTTAGATGAACTCTTGGTTAGATTTGCGGGCAACATTTTACAGCTGACTGAGCGGATATTAAGTGGGGGGCTGTAAAAGGGACATTTCTGTGTTTTTAATACGTCAGACTAATCAGTGGTGCTCTTTTCATTCTTTCCCAGTGTCTTTGTCTCAACTTTGCTTTTAACAGTGGATATGCACAGAGTATCATAACAGCTCGTGACAGCATGAGTCTCATATGTCCTCTGTCTCTCTGCACTAAAGATACAATGTCAGCCTTTTGCACAGACAACCCTCACTCCATAATAGTAAGGGTGCTGTGTAAAATATTTGTTTGTAAGATGAGTATATTTAATCAGAAATTACACAAAGACAACAATTTAAATCTTTAAATTAAACATTTTGGTATTCATGAAAAATGTTGTTTATGCTCAAACCATGAGATATAGGAGCATGTTCACCGTTGTGTTGCATAGATTAGTTTCTGGAGTTTTCAAAGTGAAATGATGTCCGACTCTCGTTTAGCATCTAGACTCTTCTACCATAAAGCCATGAAACATGAATACATATGAGAACAATATAGTCTGGGATTGTCTTGCTGTATTATGAAAGGTCTTCCCTGAAAAAAGGCATTTCCTGGTTGTGATAAAAAAAATTTAAAAAGTCATAAATCAATTTTTAAAATGATAACAAGCAAATCGTCACAGTTCTCTTAGCCAGCGACATGTTTTCAATATTTTCAATGATGATGATTTAGAAATCATGACAGTAATATTAGCCTCATGCAGATACATTGTTGGTTACCATATTTTTCACATTATAAGGCGCACTTCAAATCCTTTTGGCTTGTCGGAACACTGCAGCTACTGTAGCCTCACGGAGTTAAATGAGTTAAATAAAGTTTGACTTATCTGACTGTTTTGTTTGGATTAATGCGCTTTATAATCCGGTGCGCCTTATGTATGAAAATAGACATGGATAGGCGCGTTCATTCATGGTCCGCCTTATAATCAGGTGCGCCTTATAGTGCGAAAAATACGATACTAAAAGTGCCATTAATTGCATTGATTAATCAATCTAACCCTATATGAATATGAAACTGTATATTCACTTGCCTTTTGAGTTGTAACCATGAAAAGAAGCTTAGAGTTCAGGGGCCTCCAGCACTAAATTTACAAGCACAGGTGAGATGTCAGCCATTAGAGATGTAGTGTACATTGAGTGTTTCTTACATTATAATCACGACTACAAACGCCTCATTAATTTATCCATGTTTGTTGTATCAGAAAAGAGAAAACGAACATATGCTGTCTTATGACAAAAGCATTGAAGCTTTAGCACCGCTGTAGAAAATCCTCAAAGTGAACGCGGTTGTTCCTCAAAGCATGTCCCGCTCAAACATAGAAGCACAGGTGATAAGGAAAGCATGTATGTTAAAGCTTGCAGTAAATTATGCTCTCAGGAATTAAGCCCTTTAAATCTCATGTTATCAGCTGCCTCTTGTTCTACTGCCTTCTCCTCCCTGTTTGCCCAGTTTTTCCTTAAAGCCCGTTAAACAAGCCGTTTCTCTTCCACTCATTTGCATACAATCTCCCTCTCTCTGTCGCTTCCGTTCAGCGCTTCCCTTCCTCTCCCCATCTAATCTCCCTACAATTTACATACCTTCGCACTCACTCACTCCCCATCTGTTCACATCCCCCCCTCTGGTTTTTCCCTTCCCTTTTTTTTTTTTCTATCACCTTGTTCTTCCCAGGTCTCCTCTTCCCTCCATCCTCCCTGCTCATGACTCATCAAAGCTTCCCACAAAGGAGTTTGGCGGATCCAAGCAACTGCAAACGCTCTCACCTTCTGTACTGATAAAAATTGGACAGCACATTGGTATATGGGAACGGGTCAGCAATGACTTGACCATAAAAAAAAACATCTGGTGTTTCTTTACAGTATGTAAGGATATTTTTGCTGTAAACAGAAACATTCTTCCACCTGATCTTTTCTCTCCTGTAATGTCACATCCTGTCTCCTCTCCTTCTTGTCATTCCTCTGTCCTTCACTCTTTCCCTCATGCTGAAACTGACTGGTAAGGTGAGATGGTTTCGATATGAGGCGAAGGAATTCAGCTCTACCTTCACCTCCACAAGGAAACAATAAGTCACTCAGTCCCCAGAGGGTGTACACATAAACTCCCTCGGTTAATCATCTCAGAGAGAGTACCTTTGCTTTTCTGATTTTTTGAAACACTGTAGTTTGAATGAAGTTTAAACACCGTCAGATGATTTCTACTTAAGAAAATGTGATTTTCTTTGTTTTGTATTTAATCCGTTCTGCATTATTCATGGGTCTGCCGCTCTGTTACAAATGAAGATTTAGCTCAAGAGAGCTTGTTAGCCTAGCTTAGCACAAAGGTGTAGAAATAGATAAAAATGTTACATTTGTTCTATCAAAGTTACCATCCAAAAAACTATTTATATTTTATAAAGTGATTTTGTTCGCACATTTTTACGTTCGTGTCAGACACCTTTTTAGAAATCTTAAAGAATGTGTTTTTGTTTCTAAGTGTGCATGCTTGTTTGTTTAACTCACATTAGCACGTCTGTCTTAGCCTTCATATTCGCCTTCTCATCCAGTTCCTTACAGGAAGTCACACAAGCATAATTCTGGTATGATGATCAAAACTTGTCCTTTCTTTTGTACACTACAATATTTTGCTTTATGATCACGTCTGCCATGGTGTAGGCCCTGAGTATTAATGAAGTTACCCGGCTGTCAAAAGTTGATGGTAGATCTGACTGATTCCTCTCTCAAACCTCAACTGCACCACTGAACAATTGTTTCTTGCACAGCTCCACCAATGAAGATGATTTTTTTTAATAATACTTAGTGAAATGTTTACAGCATCACTGACCAAAGGTTGTCTATCTTCATGAATTGTATGTTGAAATTTATTTATTAGAATAAAACAGGAGAACACCTGTGTATGAAGCTTTGTAATTTAAGATTCTGCTGCCTTTTTTTTACATTTTTAATACACAGGACACTGTAAAAGATCACCACTCTTTATGGCTTTTACTCTGTCTGTAAAACTCACTGATTTTTGTCCATCTTTTGCTGTCATTAAGGCTGTATCTTCACGTCTAACATGCAGTAATAAATACAATTTTAAATCCCTCACCAAAAAACTGCCACTATGGACACGATGTTGACAGCTACTTCAATGCTTGGATCCAGCTCTAGATTTGGCCTGGGTGATTTGGCAAAAAAAATGATCACGATGTATTTTGTCAGATCGTCCGATCTCAATTATTATCACAATTTTTTTAAAGCATCTGTTCTAAAAACTAAAGAAACTAGAGATTAGTTTAACATTTTATTAACATACGAAGTAAATAACAAAGCAAACTGAATAATGTACACTTAAAAATATATAAAAACCATTTTAACTCAACAGTACAACAAATGTAGATCAATACTAAATATTACAGTGACTAAGTTTACTGTCCTGAGTGTTTCTGCAGGTATGTAAGACCCAAAATAAACAAATTGACCCCTCAGAGATTATAAAAACGCCTTAAAATGTCAACATCAGATCATGTAAGCGTAGATGATATGATTGATCGCTGCTTTGGTCTGATGGCTGCACCGCTAGTTGTAGCTAAACTGCTAATGCTACTTGTACCGTCAGCAGTGACAGGCTGTACAGACTCCGCCCACATTTTCATACTTTCCGCGTAATCGCTCAGGAAGAACTTCTTCAAATGGTTAAACAGATCTGTTGTGTTGTCGGTTTTTGAAGCACCGACCGGCAACATACCTTACACATCAGCTTGAATAACTTCTCAACAATAACGTCTAACATCTAACATACAGAAGTGAGCAGGAAAAGCTCGACTCTGATTGGCTGTTGTGACGCACATTTCCACTATGTTTGATCGATAATTGCCCAGTCCTACTCTAGATCTCACACAATAAAGCCCCTCCATCCTACATGTGTACAGATCACAACAGTTGCTGTTAAGCGTGTGCTTGGTGAAGGACTATAAGTCTATGGTATGTGTGTTTGTTCTTGTTCCCCCTTCCTGTCCTTTGTTGGTGTTTATTGCCCACATGAAGGTTGAATATAAACTTGCTGTTTCCTTCAAGAATTACTCAACATGTGGGGGTGTTTATACACAATTGATTTATGAGTCCCTGAGCAAAGCATTGTACTTAGCTATAGCTCTGCTGCCCCCCAGGCAGTATATAGTAATATATACTTCTTCTGTTTCATTGTGTCTTCAGGCTACAGATATATGAGGTAATTACTTGGCTGGTGAAAGAGCTTTTACCAAAATCCATGTATCAAATGTTTGCATCTGTTTGCTCCAAACTCGGAGGGTATAAAACCCCGTTATTCCTCTCTGAAGTTATTGCTGGGTTTGAACAAATTTCAAGCGGCTGAATCTGAACCTCTTGAGACCTTCTTCTGTTACGATGTTATTTGTTTTAAGAGCTTCCATATCCTTCGAAAAAGAAGAGTCGCTGTCTTTGTACGTTTTTGTATTCCCAATAAAAACAGAACAGACTTATTTATACATATTTAATCTTTTTTATTTTTGATATTTTCTTCTTTGTCCATGTGAAGTTACTTTAAAATTGTCTCTAAACTTATCATCTGGGCCGGTTTAACCATCATCCAGTCCACTTATACCTTTTGGGTGCCATGGGTAAGTTGTACAGATGTATGATCTTGAATGTTTTTATCGTTTTGTTTAGCTTCTATTAGTTGGTGTTTTAAAACCACCATTTCTGCTCTCTCTCCTTTTTTTGTCCCTAGTGTACCCATGGTTGCTGACCTGATAGAAACGTGCATCGATGACGTCCTCAGGGCTCCTGTCGTCCCACCGGTGACAGCTGCAGAGGAAGCCGGACCGAGCAGCACCTATGTCCCCCCCATTGTCACAGGGGAAGATCCTCTCAGTCTCGCTGGTGAGTCTACAGAAAACTAAACAGACACTCGAGAGCGTTCGAAGATAATAAAATGTAAATACAGGGGACCGTGCCAGTAATATGACTTTTATGTTTTCACCAATAAAATAAACAACTGTAATCCTATTGAAGGATTGAGTTTTAATGTTATTGCTTTCCAGAAGCGTCTGCTCGGCTGAAGCAGCTGGCCCTGGAGAGCAGTCCTCTTCCTGCTACTCCGAAGAACAACATCAATGTGAACGTGGCCATGAATAACCAGGTGGGTTTGTACTTGCAGAGTATTCCCCGTTCCACCTAGGGATGGGTATCGAGAACCGGTTCCAAATGGTTCAATTCATCGACAGCGTTTACATTTCATTTTAATGATTCCCTCAACGATTCCTTTCTTCCGGGTGCTTGGAAAACGGTTTTGTGAGAGGCAGTTTAGCGAAGGAGAACAGAGACTTTTAGGAAAAAAACATGGCGGATGGTACGAAAAGAAAAGTACGAAAAGAGTTTGTGTAGCGTGGACTAACTGAGTTAGAAGCGCGTGAAAAACACTCAACCCGACCAGAAAAACCCTCAAAATTTTGTGCACGACTCCACCCGGTGAAGCCATGTCCTCTTTTTGGAGATCCAGAGTATGGTCACCCTGAAATGACTTAATACCGACCAAGTAAATGTTTTACAAATAGTTTGTCGTTTAGATATTTGATAACAGAAAAAGATGTAGTCTAAAAATAATTAAAGTCTACTTTTTTTTAAATCAAAGACAGGCATTGATAAGGGAATCGTTAAAGAATTGAATTGATAAGCAGAACCTAAAATGGCAACGATATCGATAAAATCGTATCAATTCCCATCCCTAGTTCCACCTTAAATCCTACCGCAGCTTTAGCAAACCAAGTGGTCCAGTCTGATTCTGACCCCTCTCTTCTTTTTGTTTGGACTCGCTCAAACAGGAGGATGTGGTGAAGCTCACGGAGAAGTGCGGTCTGAGCAGCGCCGGCAGCAGCCCGGTGGTCACCCCACTGCGCACTCCAGAGGATCTAAAGAGCAACATCCTGAAAGCACAGGTGGAGGCCGCTGCTCTCAAGGTGACGAAGGAAGGCCTCGAAACTGTACGCACTGATAAGAGAGGGAATAGGAAAGACAAGAAAAAAAGTTTTAAATATGACAGCTGAAGTTTGCTGCCTCTAAAAAGCAGGATTTGATGTGTGCAGCAAAGTCTAGCGCCACAGCTGTGATGTCAGTGTGTTATTAAGTAAGACAAAGATACCTGGTTATACATGTCCACCACCCTCTCAATGGATCTCTCTTTCTCTGTTTATCTGCAGGGATGTCTGGAGGAACATGTCATTATGGTCGGAGATAAAAACTGTAACTTGCAGGAGGCCTCTGCCAGGTATGCCCACACTTTTGCACCTAGTGTTTTAAAAAGGCGCACACAGAGCAGTCACTGTCAATTGTCACAGGCGTTCAGCGGTAATGGCTTTGTCTCGGGAGTTCTCCCTCCTCCACCGTCTTCATGAGTCATGCCAACTGTCAACACATTGTCTCAGCCAATGGTGGCGCTCCCTCCAGCTAGAGCCGATTAACTACTTGAATATTCATGAGGATTATTATAGTAGTTCACAACATTACATCATCTTCTGCTCGTCCTTGCAAGCAGAGCTCGGCATTGTCTCGTATTGGAGGGGAGGCAGTGGCCTGAGATGATAAGGAAAGAGGGAGCCGAATCAGTTTTGGAAAATGTCATTTGTCACGATACATAATGTATTTATGAAAAATGATGTACAGAATTTGTTTTTGTGCATTTTAATCGTCGATTTGAGTTAAATGTGATCAGATTTTTATGAAAACTTCGCCCCTAACTCTGTTTCAGTTCACGTTTTCTTTACTCTGAATAGATCTCATAAGAAATAAGCACAAAACAGGACTATTCCCTGTTTTTTTCTCCAGGCTGAAAGTGCGCACTGGGCGAATGGGCAGTAACTCATCTCTGTCTGTTAGCAGTCGACCTGACATACAAGACTCCTGGGACCTTCTCAAGCCAGCACCCCTGGCCTCATCAGCGGGAGCTAGGTCAGTCTGTGTGCCTCGATGCAGTTTTAACTTTGGATGTGAAGAGTGTCCATGAATCCCACTGTGGCTTTTTGAATAAGAATGAGATAGAGGGAGAATAGATGAGTGTAGGAGGACTTTGTTTTGTAATACTCCAGAGGGGACGGATGCTTTTTATTCAATCTGAATTTATGACTTCAAGTAAAAAAGCAACAATAATAAAAAGATAGTCGAAGGCATCAACCTTGTTTTATATTCCACTGTAACCCATTAGAGACAAAGGTGCTGCCCGGTTTCACAGTCTTTACTGACATCTGTTGGCATGTTTGAGCATCGTGTTAGTTTGTGTACGTGTGCGCATATGTGTTTGTGTGCATCTGGGCGTGATGAGTCACATGACTTGAGTTCTGCCTGGATACTGCTGCCGTCCCCGCTCATTAAGCCTTTACAGTAAGATGACAGGAAAATAAGGACACTTGCAGTTTGGACAGTTCACAACAGCTGCACAGCCCCGGGTTCATAAATGCAGTAAATGCTCTGAGTGTTTTTTTCCTCCATGATCTGAGGGGAAAAAAACACTTTATAAATCCTTTCTTAAGGATAAGAAACTTAAACTTTGTTGTTTTTAAAATTTTGTTTTTTTTTTCTTCTTGACCTTGTTGAACAAAAATCTGACTTTTTTTGTAAACCGTGTTTTTTTTGTCATCAGCGCTGAGGTGCCGGCTGAAGATGTGAACTCCTCAGTTCCCAAGATGCCCCCTGAGTCTGCTGTGGAGGTCATGGCGCCAAAGGTAAAAGGAGTATTTGTGTTGAATTACTCAATTTGCTGCATGTACATTCACTATTATAAAGAAAAAACTGACCATTTTACATTTTAAAGACAACACTAACCCACTAACATCAGTCCTATTGCTCGTAAAGTGTATCTTCATGAGGGATTTTAATGTCTTTAATGATGAGAGTAAAACACGTCTCTAACACATGGACATGGCTCCTCTGTCCTACTGTGACTAAAAGAAAAACATGTTTTATAAAGAATAATCTTAAACCAAATAAGAGTCAATCGTGTACTACACAATGTGCGCTATATTCGTTTGTATGTTTTGGTAAAGAGTATGCGTGACATCCTGCAGGCCAAAGCGGAGGAGGTTGACCCGCCTATCCCCGCCCCCGTGTCTGACAACCTGATTGATTTCACTGATCCAACTCCTGCGGTAAGTTCTTCAAAATTTATTTGTGCCGCCGGTTTTCCAAACAACAGGCTGTATGGGCTTAGTAATACAGGAGGGAAATAACGGTCACTGCTGAGGGTGAACCAGCATCCTCATGACCCAGCATCCATCGACTGCTTAGAAAAACTTAAGTCAAATAATGGTGACGTTCATGATTGTAATATCAAGCAAAAATATACAGTCCGTATTCACTTCAAATGCGTTATGCCATCTAAGAGATGTCCCCAAAGTGCTGTCCATTCATGCACGATATTAAAAAACAATTAAATAAAATAAATAAAAATACAAATGCCAAACCCCACACACCCTCCCAACCCTCATTCAACACATACAGCACTCACACTCTCACACACACACAGATGCACACACAAAAGACCAGGTGAGGACTCTTCAACTTGCCACAGATGACTGAGGAAACACTGGATCTAGGACTAAAACGATAAAACCATGATCAAATAGAATAAAGGTGATAAAGTGTTAAAAATTAATTAAATAAAGCAGTCTTAAAATCAAAAAATAAAAGAGAGTAAATTAAAAAAAGAGGTAATAAAACACAAAATGATTACTCCAGGACTAAAATTGCATAAAATCACATAACGCAGATTAAAAGATTAACACAAAATTCAACTGAAAGCCAGACTTAAAGGGTAGGTCTTTAGTTTACTTTTAAAAATATGGACATTATTTTCACATAAGATGTTACTAAAAACAGTTTTTAAAGATTTAAAAATTATTTGAGCCCCTTTTAAATAAAATAGTTCAAAAACAACATATAAAGAGTTGATTCCAGAGAAAAAAAACTAACTCCTGAGTGTAAAAAATGTGCAAAGTTCTGTGATTTTGTCATTTAGAGACTTAAGAATCTGCTGAAATTTGTTCAAAAGACACAAAGCTGAAAACCAACTCCAACGGGACTGATCTCAGGTGGCACAGCATTTCAAACAGACTTGACTCTGTAGTGTAAATCACCGGATGGATGCCATTAACGCTTCTATTCTTAGTCTTTTTTCCTGTCTGTTATGCACCAGAATTATACCTGATTTGAAGTCTACCTGTAATGGACTATGAGTGTTCTGGATGCAGTGATACTAATGACCCGATCATGTAGCATCAATATAAAGGTACTGAGAGTAACACTTGTCCTCATGTTCTCCAGCTCCCACCGGTGCAGCCGCCCAAACCTCTCATCACACCCCGCTGGATCATTCCTACAACCACTGTGAGTGTTCCTCCTCAGTGTTTACCTCCTCAACATCCCAACATATATCCTGTGTTTTTGATGCAGACTGAACTTTGTGTCCAAAAAGTGGTTCCGATCATTACTTCACAGCGTACTCGCATAGCTGCTGTTCACTGAAGCTGATGTAGAGACTTTGTAGAGACTGGCCTCACACCTTCTTCCCTCGTCCCCCTCTAATGCAGCCCTCTGGTGTTTTTACTAACGGCCTGCTCGACCTCGACCCCCCTGCTAAGATCAACCCTCCTCCGCCTGCAGACGGGGGAGCCGCTCTCACCCCAGCCCTCCCCCTCCTCGCTCACACACGCACCACCATCTCCGCCAGGTAAAAAGCCCAAAACACACCGCACTTGTTTTGAAAGCCAGCTTGATAGAACGCCGCCCTCTGCTGACGAAGCGAGGAAATGCCTCTCATATCTGAAATCTAAACACAAGCAGATAATTCCCTCTCTTTTTTTTTCCTTCAGCACTGTGGGTCAGCAGCCGGCTTCAGAGGATGGAGCCAAACCCAGAGGTCTCCTGACCACTGAGCTCTGATGAAGAAACACACAACAGCCGTCACAGCCTCCATCTACCTTCTCCTACATCACCGCATCACTCATCCACACATCCACACACACACACAAAGCGAGCTGGGCCAGCTGTGCTGAACTCTGACAGAGAAACCCAGACAGAGGCAGCTCAGGAGCGCCACAAACCCTGATGAAAAGACTGAAACTTAGCAGCAAGAGAATGATAGGAATATAAAAACAGTTTCAATAATACAAAGTCTAGATCTCGAGTAGCAGTTAAACATGTAGCTCCAGTTTAACATGATGTGAATCTCACGCGTGAGCTCGCCGTCGATGACCTGCCACCCGCTCAATCCATCCACATAACAAACCTCACTGTCAGGACTCTGTGAGGAACCTTTACGAAAGCAGACTCAGAGTTTAGGTTGACTCTATGGATCCCTGCTACTCCCAGCTTTTCTGATCACACATAACAGAGAGCTGCTGAAACACACTGGACGAAGGACTGGGAAGGAAACGTGTGGAACGAAAGCGACTGTGACTGTAAATGTAAATTCAGAGAGCTAAAAAACACCTGGACTCTTGACATGATAAATGTGAGGATATAACACTGTACTGGATACTCCGCAGCGCACTGCAAAACTCTTTGATTTTAACCCGACTGGATTTGAAAACTTCACTGGATGATCTTTGCGACACTGGAAACCGACATATCCACCTAGTTTGTCATCTTTATGCTGCAGCTCTTAATTTTCTGATGTTTTAAATCACTTTTAAAGGAATAACCAGCAGGAGGAATTGAATACGACTTCTTTACCTGACAGTGGGCCCTTTTTACATTCTGAGCCTAAAAACCACTGTTTCCACCCACGGCGTATTTTTCATTTCATGCCGTCGACTGTGATCTCCTCCTGTGAACGCCGCGTTCCCGCTCTCTGGACAGTAATCGACCCTGTTATAGAACTCTGCTCCTGGTACTAACACGTCGTAGCCACTACCCTGCCTTATGAAAACGAATGTATTCACAAAGTCTCATATGAGAGTGCTGAAGATGCTAAACTTACCCCAAGAGTTTCCTTCCCATGTTTTGTTGTAATCCAAATTTTATTTTACGACTGGAGGAAAACTTGTGAAATATCTTACGAGCTGGTTTTGTACATGTGAAATTGAGGCCTAATTCTTGATGATTTTTGAGTTATTAACGAAGCATATCACATTGACTCTTAACAGACTTGTATTTGTTTTCTTTCTCAGAACCCCACTAAGACTGGACCCTCATATAGTCTTGTAGTTTCTCACTGTGATTCTGATTTCATTCTTCAACAAGGGAAGCTGAGACTGTTTTTACGATGTCTTCTTAGCAGTGACGGTTATTTATGCTACTACTCTGTGTAATTGTTCAGACATTGTCCACAAGTGTCGTAGCGTACAGTTCTAATGTATTGTCAGTATAATGGCAGCAGCTGGCTGTAGATATGAAGTAGATTTATATATATTTTTGAATATAATGTCGGCAGTATTCTTACTACACACTGAGAGGATTTCCACATTAAGATGTTTTCTAATTACAGGAGAAGTAGAGCGTGTTACTGATCCGACTGACTGGAAAAACACTGATTATGTCTCAAATGCAATTTTATAAAACTTTTATTTTTTCTGGAATATCTGATCATGATTCAGTAAAGCTTTGCTACAGTAGAAGTCACTTTGTTTTGGTTTCTTTTCAGTGTTTGAAAGTTAGTTTGTTTCTCAGATGTGGACCAAGTGTGATTCTGTCTTCTAAACTTGTCGTTCTTGCGTAAAAAAACACATTTTTATGGTTTAAATTCACTCCCTCTCAAATAAGTAAAGCTTGTATGAGAGCGTTTATGACAGTTTAGCCAGGCTCTCTCTCTGTTAAACAGAAATAACCTTGATGGGAATGGATTTCCCAGAATTTCCATGTATGATATCGTGAAGGACATGACTTTAAAAATCATCCTGCTCCATAAGATTTCAGTCAATCTCTACTCCTGGAGGTTCAGCAGCCAACAAAGTAGAAACAAAAACTTTCTTTATAATCTTTTGTAACTTATTTCACTTATAAAGTTAAGATAATAAGCAGGTTTGAATCAATATTCTACTCACTGATTTGGATCCAATCCTCAAGGTAGCATCTACTCTTCCTGGAGTCCACTCATGTAGACATAAAAATACAATTCACAGTTCACACAGAAAGCAAGAATCAGGGACATGATTTCAAATCCAATAGTGATAATAATAATATTCAAAAGTCTAAATGAGGAAGAGTATACTCTGTTAGGAAATCTCTGAAGAGCTCTCATTAAAATTAATCCAGTCAAATAAAGTAAGGTTTAAAATAACAGTGATTTTACTTAAAAGGAGAAAACTGAGATTTGTCATGACCTGGCTCAGGTGGTCACAGCAGAAAGAAGAAGGAAGACACACACCATGTATAAACTCCCAAACAACTCTTTATTCATTCAAATTGAACCGAATTAGAATATGTAAGATATGAGGCGCGTAAATCAGTAAAAATCTGTATTGTGTAAAGCGTGCATGGGTGGAAGTGGGTGTATGTGAGCGAGGGTGTTGTAAAGAGTAAACATAAACTACAACTAAACCAAGCTAAAGCAAACCAAACCAACCAAAGCCAAACCAAACTAAGTCAAGACAAACCAAGTACCTGTAAAGGCAGTCAGGAGAAATAAAAGAGGGAATTGCAAGTAACTGTGGGAGCTTAAATACTCCCAGCACCCAGGGTCCAGGTGTGCATAGGTGCTCTGATTAGGGTGCAGAGAGAAGCCAACCAGACACACCTCCCACAGCAGCATGACCCTTTAGGGGCATCACAGTTTAAACAAACAAATTTTAAAAAAGATAAAACTAATAAAATTTCTCAGTCTTCACTAACTGACCAGATTTAGCCTGAAAGAAACCATATTTAATTTATAAGAACCAATACTCAAAATAAATCTTAGTGTATGTTTGTGAAAAACAGACGCGTCAGCAGAGAGTGGATATGTTTAACAACTTTCTAATGTGGTGTCTTTACATGTGAAACTCTGGAGGAGAAAGAGCAGCTCTGACAGAAACACATTCTTCAACATGAACCCGGGGGGAGCTCCGAGAGTTCATGTAGAGGACACGCTTTGAATGAGCACATGAACTGTTCTGCTAACATGTTAACACTGATGCTTTTGTTCCCTGAGCTGCAAGCAAATTCTGTCTCATTGATTTCAGTCTGTAAAAAAAAAACTTAAGTGCATGTTGACAAATGTACCACTAGGTGGCAGCAGAGCACAAGTTTACCTATACGGATATAAGCAGACAGAGCAGCTGATCCTGTGGTTTCATCCATTACTGAGGGAGATGGAGCGAGTTTAGTTGGATGTAAATTTGACCAGATGTGATTTAAGGTGTAAAGACGAAAAAGGCACCACTTAAAACTTGTAGCAGCTTTTATAACTTTTAGGGGCTTTACATAATCCAAGTGCAGCGTTTGTTGAGATATTTCCAGCCTTTTTCAGATTATATTTCCAGACTCCAGCTGATCCTCTGGTGATGCACAGTCCCAGCAGCAGGACGTGGTGAAAGCGTTAACTCCACGGCCTCTAGAGTGTAGTGTAGCTCCAGAAAGAGCGAGTGCGCGCTCAGTAAGAGTATACCCTTTTCTCCTTTTTAATCAACATGAGGACTTATTATTTTCAGTGTAGATTTTTAATAAAAATCTACACAGTCCTGGCCACAGATTTAAACAGGATTTCAGTGATTATTTCCCCCTGGATGCACCTCACCATGTCTGTAAATCACAGTCTTACATCTCCAGGTGCACAATTAGTGTTTCATTTGCTCTGTCTGTTAATCACACTGGATATGAACGATGTCTGCAGCAGGTCAGAGCAGTTATCTGAAATAAAACAACTGCGAGGAATGTTTAAGACACTTTTTCTGTCCTTTTACGGTCGGATGATGTTCGAAAACCTTTAATCAGAACCAGGATTGAATCAAAGACAGCTGTTATTTGTCAGTTGCAATATTAGTTTACATTCCAGTATAGGCAGTGATTTGAAATTGATCGATTGTGACTGGTCCCGGCTACAGAGCGATACATAGTTGGAGCATTATTAAAGAGCAGACAGCACATGGCTCAATAACTCAGCCAGGACTGCTCCCCTCAGCAGATGGACTGACTCCCCCCTCCTTCCAAATGAATAATTGATTACATACATGGACCTTATGCCAGGTCATGATTGCTTAAGCATGCTCAAAGCTCTAGGTGGATTCATAGAGATTTGGCGCACGCCCTGCACCCCTGATGTCACCCATTTAATGGTCTCCTTTTTTTTTCACATTCTCAGAGGTTAAATGTCAGCACTATTGGGTAAAAACAAACGATAACTCGGGAACTATCAGCCTTTTTATGTCTTGATGATTTGAAGTTCTTCTCTTCTTCAAACACAAAGGTTTTAAAAGCAGAAAATAATAAGTGAATTGATTTAAAAGTCTTTATTTGGTTGTCAAAATGAAGAGAAAATGCAAAATGTTTAAGACCAATGTCTAACTATGCTGACCTGAATTTTAGTCACTGTCTGGGTGAGGGAGTCAGGTGTTTTTGACGTGCTTCTAGTACAATCCAATGTCCAATCCAAGGTTGTTGCTGAGTAATATTTTTTCCATTTATTGGTTCAATGAAAAAGAAACAAAAAAAGACAGATATGTCCAACTTACTACAATGGTGATGTTTGTGATGAGGGTGATGTGGTGTCAGAGATTAGCGATAAACAACATGTGCTCTTCCTGCTCCCCAGATCACTGCCTCACCTGTGTCCCTTTGTAGCATTTACCTGAAGTGCCCCCTTGTGGTGATCTTGTGTGTAACAAAACATAACCCAAAAAATAATATCGATAAAATGGCTCATACAACCAACTTAAGTCAAAGTTCTCTGCTCGTTCCAATGCTTTGATTTTCTGATGTTGAATTAATCATATCTGGACTTGAGGTGAAGAAGAAGACTGCTTATATAAGAATATATCCCAATATAAGAGCTGTGTGGCCAGTTTACAGTCCAATTGAAGCATATATACATGGAGGAGAAGATCTATCTTTGACTGTTTTATCAAGAGATTTTTGTCTGACAACAAGAAATTCGATCTGGCGCCATTTCTGTCAGCTGAAATGAAGCAGAAGCAGCAGTGGATAGCGAACTAGCTGTAGCAGCCCTCTGATTTACAGAAGTCTGTATGTTTACTAGTTAAAGGAGGCATGTCAACGTCTACTGTAGTGGTTATAGACATGCTCTTGTCAATAATTAGACTTTATAAATCTGCTTGTGGACTGACTTTCTTGCTTTAAGCTAACTCCTCCAGGATCACACATAGGCCGTGGTATCACTCACTGAAGGAAAAACAACAGTCACTTTCATAGATGGACAATTAAAGACCTAAACGGACACTCAGACGAAATGATTTTGAGTCGTGTGAGGAGGAAATATGACATCTGTGTCAGGCAGGTTTGTGTGCTCCTAATTAAAACACAGTTTCAAATTTTGGGTAGAATCCAGATGTTGAGAAAAAAAAAGCAGCGTTTACTTCTGCCCCTCACATCTGTCCACGTTTCTCTTTCTGTCAAACCCTGATGAAGTTTCCAGTTAGTGCAGAATAAACGGACCTTGATGAAAAGTTTAATTCAGCAAAAAGATGGACAAATGGTGGAGCATCTGGACAGGGAGAGACAGTGAGACTCTTAGAATCCGTGTGTGTGTGTGTGTGTGTGTGTGTGTGTGTGTGACTCTCCACAGTTTGATGGTTTCTGAAAGAAGGGCCTTGAAAATTCAACAGGTAAACTCTGGTCTTCATCTCTTGTATCTCTCTCTCTCTCTCTCTCTCACACACACACACACACACACACACACACACACACACACACACAGTCACTGGATTCTCACATCACAATAAAGTTTATTGTGCCGTTTTGCGAGCTGTTGCAGGAGACAGCGCTCTGTGACATGTTATTTGGACAGAAGTGTTGAAGTGAGTGTTTGCTGGCTGTGAAATTGTCAAAACTTTACGATAATTCAGGTAAAAATGCAGAATAATTGGTACCTACAGAGCTGCTCTGTGTCTCACAGTACAATAATGGAGTGTGTATATGACAGAGAGAGGTGTACTCACACAAATACAACCACCGTCGATTGTTATCCAAGAGTACCGACAGTGACACAAACCTAAAGTTGTAAAGAATGTAAAGAATGTAAATAAATATATGGTCTTGTTGATAATTTTTGTTTTTATAAGTCAATGGAGGGGCAACATTAAACCTGCTACTTGATGAAGATGTTCATCACTTTTTTTAAACTACTTACAGAAGAAAATGTCCCATATTAAAAAAAAAACAAATCAAACAGCTGATTTTAACAAAAGTACAAACTGTCATGATTTAGGATTCCACCCCTGGCTCTGCCTCTGCTCCTCACTCATTTCTTAAACAATGTTAATTTGCACCTTTCAGACCTGCACTCATCTGGAGAAGTGAGTAATCCTCTGTGGTTTTCTCATTTCCAAAACTCATGATGAACTCAGATGAGAATATGAAGCTTTCTTTAGCGTCTTCATGAGGAATACATCGGCTGTTTTTGTGTCTCATTTCAACTCTGTGTTCACTATCCTGCCCCCAGCTCAGTTCATCTGCGGTTTGGAACTAAACCGACATTGTTTAGACTTTCTATTAGACCTTTTGTCCAGATAAATGTCTGTTGCAGTAAAACAAAGTGAGAACATTAAGATTATTTCAGGTTAAGGGCCAGATAGTTGGACAATTTGTCGACTCCCTTTGTAAAACTGTGCAGAGGTGAGGGATGCAGCAGCTTTTATACTTTAATTGTCCTAAAGATCATGACCTGCAGAGACACTTTTCACATATTAACTTCAACTTTAATTTAAAAAAAATCTTCCACTGTTGCTTTAAAATGAGGCACCTTTGGGATATATTCCGTATGATCTTTTCTTTTTCTTGAAGAGGCTGTTACTCCAGCATATTGTGAATTGCATCATCTGACACCTACCTACAAATTTACTCCCTGATAGTCCCGTTTGCTTTCGTAGATCATACAGAAGCATCAGATTTATTTCAGCGTGTTTCATGACCAGCCAAATTCTCCTCACAGGAGCTTTCACAACTGATTAAAAAAGTGTCAGAAAAGAGGAAATTCATATTTCAAGACTTTCAGAGTTAATTACCCAACTCTCCCTCAACTCACAGGAGCTTTTCAAGCTCCTTCTATCTGATTTTTTTTATTTGAACACCTTTTTTTTTTTTCTTCTTTTGGCTAACTTTTGAGGACTAAACATTTGATTAAGTCAGGCAGCACAGAAAGAAACCCAAAGCAGCATTTATATTTGAGTTAAAGGAGACCTTTTACACTCATTTCTCATTTCACTCAATTTACCAGGTTGTGACGTTGTTTTAGATGTTTCTAATATCAGGAGCAGGGTCATAATGTTTGCCGATTGTTTGTTTAGCCGATTTGTGCAGTTTAGAGCGGCTATAACATTTTTTTTTTTTTTTTATCATACCTTACTATGACATTTCTGAACATACTGCACTATGACATTTTTCATGAAAAATTTTTATATCATACTATACTATGACTTTTTAAAACATACTATAATATGATATTTTTTTCATACAAAAATTGGAAATTTTTTATCATACTATAATATGAAATTTTCTTCACATAAAAATTGGAAAAATTTGATTTTACTATACTGACATTTTTATCATACTATACTATGAATTTTTTGAACATACTATTCTATGGCATTTTTATCAAACTATACAAAAATTTTGTTTTTTTATCATAGTATTTTATGATTTTTTTATCATACTAAACTATGACACTTTTTATCATACATACATTTTAATTTTTTTTTTCATACCATACTTTGACATTTTTAAACATACTATACTATGACATTTTTTTTTACAAAAATTCAAAAAAATTTTTATCATACTATTCTATGAATTTTTTTTATTTGAACACCAGTTTTTTTTTTATCGTTTTGCTAACTTTTGAGGACTAAACATTTGATAAAGTCAGGAAACATTTTGCTTTTCTTTTCCTTGCATCAAAATCATAAAAAATTGCTGAAATATCCATGAATTTGACTTGTTGTGACGTTGTTTTAGATGTTTCTAATATCAGGAGCAGGGTCGTAATGTTTGCCGATAGTTCATGCAGTTTACAGCACAACAGCTTCTTGTCATTTTCTTTCTCCGTTGACTCCGCTAGTAAACAAATAAGAAATATCTCGCTTTCTGCCCCAAGGCTGCGCGCGCATACCTGCGATGACGTTGCACAGAAACTTTCCAGCATATACCTTAATGCTTCATTTCTGCCTCCTTTCCTTTGATTTGAAGTAAGACACAGCTTGTGGGTGTTACTTTTTACACAGCTCCACCTTTGATCCTTCATTTGAGGCGGTGACAGAGTTGGAATGGCAGATACGAGGAGGATGGAGCACTGGTATTAGCACTAGTATTTTAGCATCCACAGTTGGCTACCTTTAAACTTGAACTCAGCTCAACTCAAGACAAAGTCAACACACTGAAACTCCTCCATTTGCTTTCCTCGGTGGCTGTATTGAATAATGCCCGGCCAAATGTCAGCCTGGTCTTTTCAAACCATCCACAGTGACAAACAAGTGACAGAGAGTCCCCAACACATCACAAGATACATATGAATGAGGCGTCTCTCCCTGCAGAGAGGAGGCCTGTTGTTGCTCTTATCAGAATACCAGGTTCAATAGCTGGCCACAGGCAGGACTGACAGGTTGTGTGTGTGAATGACTGTGTTGTTGTCTGCTGTTGATAGTATATTCAGTGGAGAGTCTTGGTCTGCTAGACGTTTGTGTGTGTGTTTGAAAGTGGAGAGACAGAGTGTGTATCAAACACAAAGAAGAGTCAGAGCAGGGTTCACTGGAAAAGAGATTGAGTTGTAGGCTGGTGTGTGTGTGTGTGTGTGAGAGAGAAAAGAAGAGTGTGTGCGTGGGGAGGTTGGGAGGGGGTGTAGGTGTCTGACTGGCAGACAGCTTGACAGAGCTCATCTGTGGCAGTGGCCCTCCTGTGTGTTATCAACGACGCCCAAACGGGAGCTGCCAATCACTGCGCATGCTGAAGGGACAGCGCATCAGCACACTAAGCCGAACCACACACACACATGCATGCACAAACACCTGGCGCTTAGTCTTTGGGAAACACTGGAATACACTTATACAGTATTTGGGGTTTTACTGAATGCTTTAGCTGACAGGCATCACTTAAATGGAAATACAGAGGTCTGAGATCTACTCACACACACTAGATCCACCTTAGACTCCAACCAATCTGTTCTCACTTTATGTTGTATCATTAGGGAAAGCTTGGTGGAAGTATTTGATCAATGTCAGACTGATGAAGACCTGATATAAAGATTGGAAACGACTGAGCCCCGTATTTTGAGATCAGACCCACTCCCATCCCCTCTTCAACCATGAGTGAAACACTTTGCAGCATTTATCAAGAGAGGAAGAGCTTCTTTTAACAGGCAGAAACCTTGAGTAGAACCAGACTTATGTCAGACAGTCATCTCCTGAGACTAAGCTAGGTTAAGAGAGGGGAGAGAGCGGTGGTTCATCTTCCACTAAGTCGAAAGAAGTGTCATGTCGAGGTTGCAGCGAACTCAAACTAACTATGACGACATCTTCTGAAGGTAAAAGGGTAGTAACGGTTTGTCAGAGCCAAGAAAATCTGGCTTCATGTCCACCATAATTGTGTCTAAACTGGATCCAAACCCCAGCCTCTGAAGTGATTAACAAGACAAAAGATTTTCATTTTGTGTAACCCTGAACAGACTAACAGAAGAGGGTTGAGTCATGCTGTTAACCAGTGAGGGTAAAACTGCGGATTTAACCAAAGCAGACCAGATCAAGCCAAAACAATTGGAAAATTTGAGACCATCCAAAACCGGTCTGGCTTGATTAACCACAATCGCTGCCAGGCAATCCTCAAGGAAACGAGATAGAGATCTAGGATCTTGACAAAACCACCCTATTTCATGTACTATGAGTTTACTGGTACCAGAATGAAGTCTCTACTACGTTGATATTTTTATCATACTATACCATGAAATTTTTTTATCGAACAACACTGTGACATTTTTATAATTCTATACTTTAATTTTTTTAATCAAACCACACTGTAAAATTTTTATTATTTTATACTATGATATTTTTATCATACTTTTTTAATCATACTATACCATAACATTTTTTTCACAAAAAATTGAAAAATGTTATTTAAACTATACTATGACATTTTTATAATATAATATAAAATCTTTGACATATTATATTATCGCAATTTTTTTCGTAAAAAAAATGGATTTTTTATCATACTTTTCTGACATTTTTTTATCATACTAGACTATGATAAAAAATTGCATTTTTTAAACTAACTATTCTATGACATTTTATAAAATACTATACATCGATTTTTTTCACATTCTATACTGATATTATTTCCAATCCAAAATTTTTATCATACTTGACTATAAAATTTTCATACAAAACTTTTTTTATCATGCTATACTATGACGTTTTTTCACATATTATATTATATATATAATATTTTCATGCAAAAAAAACATTTTTAACATACTATACTATGTCCTTTCTTAACATACTATACTATGACATTTTTTCATACAGAAATATGAATGTTTTTATCATACTATACTATGACATTTTTACACACTACACTATGCCATTTTTTATCATGCTATACTATGACAATTTTATCATACTATACTATGACATTTGTTATACAAAAATATTTTTTGATACATTTTTTGAACTATGATATTTTTATCATACTATACTATGACCTTTTTTTCTAAAAAAATTTTTTAATCTTTTGTCATACAATACTATGAGATTTTAAACATACTATATTATGACATTTTTGACATACATGACATTTTCATCACCCCATACTTTGACTTTTTCTATCCTTAAATTTGAAATTCTGATCATACTTAACTATGACTTTTTTATCATACAATACGATAACATTTTTTCTCATACTATGTTTTCATTAAACCATACATGACTAGGATTTGAACCTAGGGCCTTTGGACTCTGAAGCAATAGCACTAACCATCACACCACTGTGCCACACACTACAGTGCATGATTTTATTATACTATACTATGATTTTTTTTTAACATACTATACTATGACATTTTTATTATACTATACTATGTCCTTTTTAAACATACTATCCTATGACATTTTTCAAACAAAAATTTGAATTTTTTTTAACATAATATACTATGACATTTTTGACATATTATGCTATGATGAATATTTCATACAAATGTTTATTTTTTATTTTTATACTATACTTTGAAATTTTTAATATACTATACTATGCTCTTTTAATCATATAATCTTTTGACACTTTTTCATACATTTTTTTTTCAAATACTAAACTATGATATTTTTATTATACTGTACTATGACCTTTTTTCAAACAAAAATGTGAATGTTTATATCATACTATACTATGACATTTTTTTTACAAACAATACAATTACATTTTTTTAATCCAAATTTTTTTATTGTTTATATCATCCTATTCTACAACATTTTTATAATGCTATACTATGACATTTTTTGACATTCCATACTATGACAATTTTTTCTAACAAAAATGTTGAACTATATGTCATACCATACTATGACATTTTAAACATACTATACTATGACATTTTAAACATACTATACTATGACATTTTTGACATACTATACTATGACAATTTTTTCATATAATTTTTTTAAAATTTTTTATACTAAACTGATATTTATATCAGGGATTTATAGGGATTTATGAATAGAAAGCTGAAACTGCAGCCAGAGGTACCCACAATAGTCTACTTTCAGACATGCACAACTTTTCATGATGAGGCTTACTCTTGCAACAGCGCCGCCTCAAAGACAAGTAGAGCTTTTTACAAGGTTGTTTTTAGAAGTAGCGGTGCGACACTGCTTGGGCCCATTGATGCCCCGTGGGATGCTAGTTACCGTTAAATTCCCTTTCATTTCATTTCACTTGGAAATGATGCGATCCTCTCTTTTCATTCATATTTACGTCTCTGTTGTTAATCGGGTGGAATAATGATGCAGATTGAAATATTTACACTGATTTGTTGGCATTTAATTCCTTCTATATTCCACAAATGTGTTCATTCACTGTGTTCATTATGAGGCTTTTGCATTGTGCTCTCGTTCTTTGTTTTTGTCCAGTTTTCTATTTGCAGTCACTTCATCCAAATCCACGTGTGTCCCTCGTGGTTTTGCCGTATCCCGATCTGCCACAAACACATCTGTCACACCAAACATTGTTTCCATAACAACCATTATTGAGACGGGTAACCGTAGTCTGTTCAGAGTGTCAATTAACTCAAAAGGGAAGGATGCACGAGCCTATGGACACACATACTGTCCATGCAAATGATGCAAACACGACCACGCATACACACATAGATATCTCAATGACAGCTTGGGTCACATTTGCTTAACAGAAGATTTTATTATTCCACCAATTCAAGCAGAAAATAATGATTAGTTTCTCATTACCATGTTGTTCTGTAGCACTCTTTCTTTCTTCATTGCTCTATCTCTCTCACACACACAGGCACATACACACTGACTGATAACACTGCAACACATTCTGGTTACGAGTGTCAAGCTGCCTTATTCAAGTTAATTGGTGATGTGTAAATCTGTCAGTCTGTGGGCTTAAATGCAGAAGGGTCTCTCTTTGTCAAAGTGCTATACAGACACCATCTGCTAATACAACAGTGAATGATATTATTAATATTATTGAATGAGGTTTTATCTTTAAAAAAATAACACTGATACGGAAAGAGAGCTGAGCAGCAACAGCTCATTAGACATTCAAGTGTTTGTTCACAGAGAGCAGCAGTGGTTCAGTGAGAAGTGTGATTATAAGGTGTGAAAATGAATGTGAATGAACACAGAGAAGGATTCTTCTGCAGGTGTGCAGACTTTATAAATGACACATGCTGATAATCTGATGCATGGTCTGCATTACGGTGTTGGTAAGGTTATGAGGAGAAAAATGCAGACTTTCAACATCTGTCCAGGAGGCACACTAATGACAGGTAGTTGACCCTTGTGATCATAAACTGCTGCAGAAAAAAAAACTTTTATGCACACTATAGACAGTTGTAACTTCATTAATAATTTAAATATCCAAACATTCTGAAATGATCAGTCAGAATCTAATTTTTTATGAGGGAAATGGGTTTCTAAATATCCAAAAGGTCCAGGTACAGACCAATAGCAGCAGAATTTAGATGCAGAATTGTTGAAATTAAGAGTTCAAAATAAAAATAATGAGTTATTTTGAGATAAAAAGTCATAATGATGACAGTTGGTAGTTATCTTTACTTCAATTATTACAACTTTTATCTTATAATTTGACTTTTGACTTATTATAAGGTTTTTTTCTTTTTCATTTTTTATGTAGACCAAACCATTTTTAAATGGGCATGAATGGGCTTCCATATGAATCTGATTAGGGGGTTGTCACTAAAAATTAGAAGGTATATATGCAGTTTAAATGTGCTTTTCTTTCAGCTGTGCATTTTCTGCCCAGCCTGTGTTGTCAGTAACCTGTTGTTTAAAGCTGATTCAGGTTTTCTGTAAAGGAGTAGGTCTATGGGAGTCTGAGGCCGGCTGATTGACAGTCCATGGTTCTGATCGGTTCTGATCATTGGACAGTTTGGATGAGAGGTGCACCATGAGCCTCTCTACAGGGGGATGTAAATAGTCTGCCAGAAAACTGGTTGGAAAATGTCATGATTAAAGATTTATGGTATATATGTTGTAACATCTTTGTAGGAGAGCACGTCAGTCTGACTAACTCTGGTCTTTTGGAGAAAATAAATGTAACACAGACAGGTTTTTCTGTTGCACACCTGCAGTCTCTTTTCTAAGCTACCAGTTCAGACAACCCACAGTTTGGAGTGACACAGCAGCTCTCTCCTTAAATCCACAGGTAATGAGGACTCCACTTTGGCCTGTTCCTGATTCCTCTCTGGTGACTCAGACTGGAACATCAGGGACTCAAGACTGGACTCAGACGTCAGTATCGGTGACTCATCCACACCACAGTCTTATAAAACGATCTGCCTTATTACCACAGTAGGCTTTATAACCAGTTGGATGTGGTCATTTTATGGCGCGTCAATATCACAATGACAGATCTACGGTATGATAATTATCCAAATTATTGTGTCAAAACACTGTTGGGTGTCCCCTGATGACCTCCGTAATCTGGTGCAAGAGACATCAGAACTGAACCATGGAGCATTGGAGGGAAGGAAATCCAGTTCAAAGTGTTGACTTGGCTCTCAATCCAGTCAGGTGTCTGGTGGAGGTCCACGGATCCATGAAGGCCCATCTTTGTGCTTGATACAACAGGACACCTTCAGAGTTCAGGGTCCATGTCTCATTAGGTTCAGAATGTAGGAGTTATATTCCGCTGAAAAAAACAAGAACAAGTGCACGGTGGTGTAATTTGGTGTCTCTAAAATCTGTCAAAGACGGGTAAACATGAAGTTCCAACAGGTAATGTATAATTGGTGAAAAAGGTTATTACCTTTCAACGCACACGTTTCCATTAACTCCAATTTCTGCATTGTTGTGGAGCATTTCTGTCTCGTTTCAAAGGCAATCTTCACAGACTCTGATTGAGGGAAAAAATAGAGCAGAGGATATTAATCATTAGGTCCATAAAGTCAGACTGATGCAAGATGAGTCAGTCTAAACTTACTTTTATTTTGTTTGTGTTTGTGTGTTTGTGTGTGTGTTAGTTCATACTCAGGAAACAGAAGTCTAAAGCTTTGATGCTTCAGCACAGAGAGGACGCTGCCGATGTGTGGAGTTTGCTTGTTTGTTGTCGTCCTTGTCATGTGTTTGTTTTTGTGTTTTGATGCCCCAGTTAAAACTCGACACTTTGTTCCTCAAACTAATATGAGTCTCCAAACAGCGCTGATACACATAAATTTTTACATATGCAAATGATGGTGCAAACACAGCATTAGTCAGGGATTTTTGGAGGAACTTCAATCACCAAGGGCAATGCATGTGGAGGAGCTCGGAGAGATGGTGCATGAATTTAGAGCTGAGTTTCAAACAAATAGAGCTTTAGATAGCACAGAGAGAGAGAAGTCACCCTGTGGATAGCCGGCTGTGCTGACTGTATGTTCAGTGGGATGCATTTAAACCTTGCCAATCACATCCCCCCGTAGCATCATAAAGACATATACCCCACAGATAAGTTTGTCAGGAAATTAGACAGAAAGTTTGCTCTTTTGAAACGATACTGACTGTTCACATGACGTTGAACTTTGCTTAAAAGGTACAGCAAATGTAAAAAATACTGTGAAGTATCATCATGGAGGAGACGACTGACCTGCTGTTAGCTAGAAGATAATCAGTGACTCTACAAAGGTCTCACGGTTAGGGTTAGGGATAGGGTTAAAGCTAGGGTTAGGGTTAGGGTTGGAGCTAGGGTTAGGGTTAGGGTTGCATCTAGGGTTGGGTTGGAGATAGGGTTAGGGTTAGGGTAAGAGCTAGCTTAAACCCTAACCCTAACCCTAACCCTAGCTGCAACCCTAACCCTAACCCTAACCCCAGCTCCAACCCTAACCCTAACCCTAGCTCTAACCCTAACCCTAACCCTAGCTCCAACCCTAACCCTAACCCTAGCTCTAACCCTAACCCTAACCCCAGCACCAACCCTAACCCTAGATGCAACCCTAACCCTAACCCCAGCTCCAACCCTAACCCTAATTCTAACCCTAGCTCCAACCCTAACCCTAACCCTAATTCCAACCCTAACCCTAACCCCAGATCCAACCCTAACCCTAACCCTAACCCCAGCTCCAACTCTAACCCTAACCCTAACCCTAACCCCAGCTCCAACTCTAACCCTAACCCTAACCCTAGCTCCAACCCTAACCCTAACCCTAACCCTAACCCCAGCTCCAACTCTAACCCTAACCCTAACCCTATCCCCACCTCAACTCTAACCCTAACCGTAACCCTAGCTCCAACCCTAACCCTAACCCTAACCCCAGCTCCAACTCTAACCCTTACCCTAACCCTAACCCCAGCTCCAACCCTAACCCTAACCCTAACCCCAGCTCCAACTCTAACTCTAACCCAAACCCTAACCCCAGCTCCAACCCTAACCCTAACCCTAACCCCAGCTCCAACTCTAACCCTAACCCTAACCCCAGCTCCAACTCTAACCCTAACCCTAACCCCAGCTCCAACTCTAACCCTAACCCCAGCTCCAACCCTAACCCTAACCCTAACCCCAGCTCCAACTCTAACCCTAACCCTAACCCTAACCCCAGCTCCAACTCTAACCTTAATCCTAACCCTAACCCTAGCTCCAACCCTAACCCTAAACCTAGCTCTAACCCTAACCCTAACCCTAGCTCCAACCCTAACCCTAACCCTAGCTCTAACCCTAACCCTAGCTCCAACCCTAACCCTAACCCTAACCATAGCTCTAACCCTAACCCTAACCCTAGCTCTAACCCTCACCCTAACACTAACCCTAGGTCCAACCCTAACCCTAACCCTAGCTCCAACCCTAACCCTAACCCTGACCCTAGTTCTAACCCTAACCCTAACCCTAGCTCCAACCCTAACCCTAACCGTAACTCCAACTCTAACCCTAACCCTAGCTCCAACCCTAACCCTAACCCTGACTCTAGCTCTAACCCTAACCCTAACCCTAGCTCCAACCTTAACCCTAGCTCCAACCCTAACCCTAACCCTAACCCTAGCTCCAACCCTAACCCTAACCCTAGCTCCAACCCTAACCCTAACCCTAGCTTTAACCCTAACCCTAACCCTGACCCTAGCTGCAACCCTAACCCTAACCCTAACCCTAGCTCCAACCCTAACCCTAACCCTAGCTTTAACCCTAACCCTAACCCTGACCCTAGCTGCAACCCTAACCCTAACCCTAACCCTAGGTCCAACCCTAGATACTTAATAGAAATGCTGATTTCCTGTTCCACCTGCCTGCAGCGTCAAATGGTTTACCCAAAAAATTTCTGTGGTTTGAATCCCATAGAGAGTTTGAAGGTTACTGTCAAGAAGAAGATGAAGAAAACACCTCACCCCAAAATAAAGATGAGCTGAAGGCTACAACCAAATCAATATGCAAGTAGAGTCACAGGTTGGTCAACATTAGGGTTGCAAAATTCCAGGAATTTTCAAAGTTGGAAACTTTCCATGGGAGTTAACGGGAATCAATCTGAAATTTACAAAATTGAAGGTTGGTCCTTAACAGGGAACTTAACCTGATTAAATGCAAGTACACTCCTCAGTCACATGCACACAGCCCACTGTTTACTGCAGGGCTATTGAGGCCACACCCCCTCACATACACAGATGATTTCTTGAACCCTGGAGGCCACACTTTTGAGCCCACGGACTATATAAAGTCAAATAAGTTTCTATAATAGTATGGGGTAAATATATTTCATCTATAACAGTATTTTACTTGCAAGAATTAAATGAAAATAGGTGCTAAATGTAAACTATTTTTCAATTCATTGAGCATTTAAGGGGCTACCTTTTCATGGTGGTTGTAGCTACCTCAAATGTGATGCTGTTTCTTATGACTCCTGCAAGACGGTTTTCTGTAACTGTACAATAATTTATACATCAATTGTCAAATATTTTGAAGACCATTCCAGTTTTATAGCCAACTATATTTCTGCTCATGCCATTGCATTTGTGTTTTTACAAACTTTTTTTGTTGTTTTTTTTCTACAGAAAATGCCATGTTCACCATCTGATGTGTGGAAGCATTTCACAGAAGCTAATGTTGAAGGAAAAATTGTTTGTTTGGATATGATACAGTTTGTTTAAATTACCCCCAATTTCCAGTTAATTTCCATAAATTCCCATAATTCCCATAGAAAGTTTCCAATTTGGAATATTTCCACATATACCCAGCTTAACTTCCCATGAAAAGTTTCTGGAAATTTACCAGAAATTTTCCGCCCCTCTGCAACCCTAGTCACCATAATGCTACGGTACATATGATTTGTTCATGGTGAAGGAGATCTGACATTTTGGTATTAAACATCCTTTTTTTAATCATCTTAACCTATTTTGATCAAGTCATGACCTTTTTCATGATGTTCTGATCTGTTATGACACACCTGTATTCAGTTTTTTACTCTACATAGCAAGACCTGTGATTTTTTTTATGCAATAAAGTTTGTTTTTTACTCATAATAACCTGAGAACCCAACGTGTTTTTTGGCAGACGTAGTTCAGGAACTTTTATGTATGAATTTAATTTTCATCGCATGGAGTAATTTCATTTTAATAAAAGTGTCAACACGTCCAAACCCCTGCAAATCCCACTTACACCAGGACAAATAAAAAGCAATTTTCACTTTGCCATGGTGCCCTGGTTACCCATCATGGTTTAAAGTACAGACTGTGACTCATGACGTTTTCAGTCCAGGTCCAGCTGTGGACCCACTCTCCGTTTGTCCTTTGCTCCTATTTCTCTGCATGAATTAGCTCACACATATGCACACACACACACACACACACACACACACACACACACACACACACACACACACACACACACACACACACACACACACACACACACACACACACGGGCACAACAACAAAACTTTAAAATAACAAAATATCTCAGTCTCTCGCTGCAGCTGAAATCCTGGGACTGTTTTTGTTTTGCAGTAGAGAGGACTGAGTTTGCAGAAGAAACAGAGTGTCGAAGAAATGGAAAGTGGCCTTTGGGGATGATGTGTTGCCGTATAAGTTTTTTGCATAAGAAAAAGAAGTAAAGAGAGTTTTTTAAGGTCAACAGAAATATCACAAAATCATCATGCTTACTCTTTTAACACAGACTTACCTTTTACTTAGGAGCTCAGCCTGCTGCCAATTAATATAAAAATAAAAAAAAGACAGAAACTCAAGGATGAACTGGATTTCTCTCGGGTTAGGACATTAAGTTTTTACATGAAATCTGCCTGTGATGGGCCAGCCATAAAAAGAAACAGGGAAATTGTCAGAAGTGAATAATCTTTTTAATTTAGTCAGTGTGTGTGTAATGGCGAGGAACACACTGAAAAGGGCAGAGTCAGTGGCATGAATAAAAATGATTGTCTTATTAGAAAACAGCATGGCAATCACTACATTTCCACAAGCCTGCACAGCTATAATACATATTTTATTCCACCGATATTGAAATGCCTTATTATTTCATGCACACACTGTGCGTGAGCTGTATAACTCTTTTTCTCTTATTGAAATAAATGCCAAATATGTCCAGGGACTCCTCCTGGAACTTTATGTGCTATTATTTTGAAAAAGTAATTCTGTTTTTAGGGAGCGGTTTTCACCTGTCAGCACCTGTCTGGTACCATACCTGGAAATACCTGGTAACCTGGAAATAAAACAATTAAATTTAAACACAGATTATGTCCAAATTGACTTTAAACAAACCTCTTTCCTCAGACTTTACTGAGGTGTTTTTGTTGCTTCATCATCACCTCAGTCTCTGTAGGAATTCTGTGTTTTCTGTCCCTGCCATCCACCAAACCACATCCTTATAAACAGGCATAGTACCAACAGCATCTGGGAGAAGATTTTAGCTCGAGATGAAACAAACTTCTGCTTTTGTGTGACAAACAAGGCTGTCAGGAAGAAGTTTTGGAGTTATTTCTAAAGCAAATGCTTCTGTGGGGTTGGTGTCAGACGAGGCAGTCAGCAGCACTCTGCCAAAACAGACTTTTTCACAGTTTACATCGCACAGATTTAAAGTGAGTGTCATGTCTGACTGTCAAGAGAAACAGAGTGAGTTTCTTGGCAGAGAACACGACTTACACATATACAGTCTAAGCAAAGCAAGGCAGCAGAACTTATGCTGGGGTTGTTACTGGAAGAAAAAAAAAAGTTAGATATACTAACAAGCAGAAAGATGGAGAAGCAGCTGATGGAGAAGAGCAGGAAACTGCAGCTCCACATACACACCACAGAGTATATTTAAAGCTGAATGTAGGAGGCTTCAAAATTCCACTTTAGAAACAAACAAGTGACACCACCAAGATAAAGTCCATGTATCGCACAATCTTTGCATATCACACATTTCTATCTGGTATGTTATAAAGGTACAGTGCCAAGTCCCTCACTGATGAAAGTAACTGTTGTCATTAAAAAAAGATCACATTACTTTTGCAATACTTCAAAACATCAACTGTGATGCCACGCCACATAACTGCCAATAAACAACATAACCTTACATCTTATATGGTCATTTTAAAAACTATAAAGGCAACAGCAAAGTTGTAAACATCATTCCAAACTGCCTAGTACAGAAAAAGTTTAAATCATTTTGAAATTTTTACTTTTGTTTTATTTTAATTTCCTTACTGTTTAAAATCTTACTTAAGTTTTAGTGACTTTAATTAGTTTAAATGCAGATTTATAGTTTAGGGACAGAGACTTAACTTTCAATTACTGATGTATTTATTTATTTATTTATTGTTATTTTTTATATTTTTCAGAAATACCACCAGAAATACCACTAGTTTTTATTGACATTTACAACCAAATGTTTTTAAATTTATGATTAAATCAATGTAGTTTTCATGTTTAATTCTGTATTAAATGTCTGCTCATTCCATATATATAAATATATATATATATATATATATATATATATATATATATATATATATATATATATATATATATATTATTATATTATATTTTACTTTTATTTATTTATTTATTTTTTGCCATGTTGAGTGTCATAGAGCTTGCAGCAGTGGGAAGGTTTTTTTGTTATTATTTTTCTTTTATGTCTTTTTTTTTTGTCTTTTCAGCAAGAAATTCAATGTTATGTGTATCTCTGGCCTTGTGAATGCAAAAGTTTTAAATCCACCTTAATCTTTATTTACAGGCTTTGTAAAAGTGCAAAAGTTAGTCTGCCAGTTTTAAAACTGACAATTTAAACTTGAATTAACTCTTTGACTCGTTTCGCTCCATTCAGAGTTGAATGAAATGGTTGGATGTCTAAATGTGTACAAATGTGCTCTTACGTGGGTGTAATCTCATTTAAAATGGTTCACTGAGTCCTCTCCTGAACTCCTCTGAGCCACCACACAACATGTCATCCACCTATTCACGCGGTCAGCGCTGTGATCCGAGGCGAGCCGGGCTGCTTTGTGAATAATATCAATTCTCCATGGGAAACTAATGAGTGGTGGACATGCCCAGCGGTCACAGGGGACACAATCCATTCCTTCACACTGGGCGTCTGTCAGAGGCTGTGTTGTGTCGCCCTGTCTGTGTGTGTGGAACTGCTCGCTCAATAATCCACCATATGGCCACTCCGTCAGACCCCTCCAGGAGTTTTTTTTTCCTGAAGAGTCACCCTGTGGGCCCTACTGTGTGTCCAGACATGGTCCACTCATGCTGCGCCAAGACGGAGACAAAGTGAGCACCTCAGAGGGAAGAGAGGGATGGTGGAAATAGAAAACCTGATCCACGGAGGAAAGAAAGTCAAAGATTCGCATTTGGAAGAAGGAGAAACAGAGAAAGATTTCTGGTTTTTAAGTTAAACGAAAAGAGAGGGAGGAAACACGGATGTTAGAAGTGGCAGTAGAAGAGATGGAGACGCTGTCAGATGGAGAGAAGCGACAGATTGAGGAAGACGCACAGAAGAGAAAGAACTATTCAGTTACAGAAAAGGCGAGAGAGGAAGAGGAGGGAAACATGTTGCGAACAGAGAAGAAAGAGGAATGATGAGAGAAGGGGTAAAAAGGAGTAAAAGAGAGGAAATGGAGTGAGAGAAAGCGAAGAGGCCAGGTGCAGCAGCAGAGCAGATGGAGGGAAGGAAAGAGGGAGGGAGAGAAAGAGTGATGGCGGGGGGGAACAGAGGGAGCAGAGAAGTTAATGTCTGGGCTGTTGTGTGATGGGGCGTGTCTGTTCCAATGCCAGGACGCTTTTCTACACACTCATCTAAAGAGCCAACATTTTTCCCAGTCTACTCTTCCTCTTTTTTCCAAGCTTCCTTTTTCATCACTCTGTCTCAATCTTCTTGCTCTTTTCTCTTGCAGATCAGTTCACACTGACATGACTTCACACCGCAAAGAAAGGCACTCCATCTCCCAAAACCCAACTTTGAAACAACTAAAACAAAAAAAATCCACAGATGGAGGCCTGGAGTTACAATTTCTTTACATAGATGTAGAAACTTTTAGATCGGATTCAATAGTTCAAAAGTTTGGTGCTTTTAACCCTCCTCCTGTGTTGGGGTCTGAACTGACCCATTTTTGTTTTTAAAACCACTTAAATTAGCTTTTTTGTAACAAGACTTTTTGACTTTGTCAGGAAACTCTATTTCAACAAAATAAAAAAAAGAAATTGACTAAATTATAAAATGCTCTTATTAAAGTTATCGCACTTGTTGTGCTAGGGTTGCTGTTGACCCGGTTAGATTAATATCTAATAATCAGAGCAAAATTAAAATCATAAGTGAACTGTCACGCACCACTCTGACAGTCAGATCCTCCTCCAATCATTTGAGATTTAGGAAACTCTTATTTTTCCATTTTTTTTCCCTGCACAAAAAACGTCAGGCATGTCCAGACATGTGATCAATTCAGAAAAGATGTCTGTATGAGGGGTATACTAACAAAGAAAGGCCCAGAGGACCACAACAAAAAATATTACTCAGGCCACTTTTAGACGGAAACGGTCTCCATAGAAAACTGAAAAATTTAGTTTCGTTTAGGGGGTTCCGTTTAGACGGCAACTGTGTTTTCAGGAGATGAAATCGTAACAAAGTGAAAACCCCCTCCAGAGTGGAAATGTTGTAAACGCTCTGCTCGTCCCGCTTTCGTCTACAGTACAAAAATGCTGAAAACGGTCAAACCTGTGACGTCCTGGCTCACGTCGGCTCACGTGCTGCGTGCTTCTAGGAAGTAGAACGGAAGTTGTTCTACATATGCGTTGTTGGTCTATATGGGAGCGCGGTCACACCGACACGCGCCACCTAGTGACCTGGCATACACATTACAGCGTTTTCGTGTAAACACAGCATAAAAACTGAAAACGAAACGGCACTTTTCCGTTTTCTATGGAGACCGTTTCCGTCAAAAAGTGGCCTTAGGTAGTTTGTTCGTTCGTTTATTGTCCAGAAGTGGAAATTTGTCTTTAGTCTCATCGTGTACAAAAAACAGATCAACAGTAACAAGGACAGCGGCAACACACACATAACAAATACACACAAAAAATCTTGGCAGCAAAAGAGGGAGGACAACAGTGGCAGGTTCTGTACATAACAGGCAGAGCTAACGGGACACAGGCCTACTATCATTCAGAGCCCTGATGGCATAAGGAATGAATGAGTTTTTGAAGAGGTTGTGATTTGCCTTAGGTACTTGATAACGTCTGCCTGAACGAAGTATAACAGACTCACTGTGAAATATTTTCATGGATAATGAAGCCTAAAAAAAAAATAACCTAGAGATGAGAACCAAATTGGATGATAGAGAATTGATTTTAGTGTAATTTTTTGCTGATTTAAGACCCTTAACATAGTGGGTTAGTAGTAAAAGCTAACACAGGAGGAAGGTTAAAGTGTACAAATGGGAATATTTAGCAGTATTTAGTGGTGGTCCAGATTGAAACGCTCCCTTGCTCACCCCCATGTGTCTTAAATAAGTTGCAAACATCAACAGAAAATTTTCTGTCTTCTTTAAACTTTTCAGAAAATCTTGAAGCCTGAACAGCTTGCAGACTCGTCTCAGCTGCCCTCATGATGATAAACAAGTTTGATGTGAAAAGTGTACAATCTGGATGATTACGTCAATCTTTCATTAGGCAGACCATAATAGCAAAACAGGGAGAGCGAGTCTGAGCTGCTGGTATCGTTGCCAAGCAACAAACCCCCTCTGGTAGTTAGCACACAACTGTGAACAGAGTTTTTCAGGTACAACTAATCCTCTGTCTTGTTAGGAGTTGTGAAGAAGTCTGCTGTGGTTTTCTCTCTTACTGACGCAGGTTTTAGTCATTATATGTATTTTTTTAAATCACAGGTGGTAAGTTTCTCCTTTTGGCAAATATGTTAACTAAATATTTTGCAGTTTTGCACGTTAATGTTCAAATTTGGTTCTTTGTTTACGATCTGCATTACAGAAACAACCACTATAACATTTCCCCTTTGTGCTCGAAGCATAGATTTCAAAATTCGTTTTCAGCTGCATTATGATTTTATGTATTTGTTTTGAATTTAATCTCTCCAAACACACACACACAGACGCACACACACACACACGTCTCTTCAACACTCAGTGAAGTCTCGGCGAAGGTTTTCCGTCACAGAAATCAGAGTGGAAATAGCATGAACAATCTCTCTCCTGGCTGTCAAAGGGTCACTGGAGCAGCGCAGACGTAAACATAATAATCCCTTTGAGCACTGTGGGGGGACAGGATGCCCATATTTGGAAGCGAGGAGAAAGGGAGGCGTGCCGGGCTCTACAGGGCCGCGACAGGGAACTTGACATGGCGGAACGGCTGAATTATATTGTAGGGC